TTCAGTGTATGTTCACTGGTGTTAATATGTCTTTTGATTTAGTTAAGCCATTTCAATTGATATTTTATAGTGTGTCTTTCTATGTTGTGATGTTACACTATTGTTTCAGATACGGGTGAAGGTTTGGTACCAATAAAACGTTTAAACCCGCTGCAATTGTTTGCACCTGTCCTAAGTCAGGAATTTGATGTTCAGTAGTTGTCGTTTGTTGATGTGGTTCATAAGTGTTTCTTGTTTCTCGTTTTTTTTATATAGATTGACCGTTGGTTTTCCTGTTTGAATAGTTTTATACTAGTAATTTTTGGGGCCCTTTATAGCTTGCTGTTCGGTGTGAGCCAAGGCTCCGTGTTGAAGACCGTACTTTGACCTATAATAGTTTACTTTTATAAGTTTTGACTTGTGTGGAGAGTTGTCTCATTGGCACTCATACCACATCTTCTTATATCTGTATAATTTAACAAATCTTCAACCCGTGACATCCGCCCATGTATAACCAATGAAAGGCATACATAGCTTAAAAAGTATTGTAGGAAAGAAAGTAAAGTAATTAAGAAAATAAATGTAATGGTGCAATTATTCCCTATGATTCCAACGATACTTCCGATAATTATCAGAATAGTACTGCTTAAAGCGAGATCGGAGTATTTGATTTCCCAAAGAACCTGAACATAATCAGTGCTATTCACCATTTACGTATATTATTTACGTCTTTGTGTCAGAATAAAAGTGTGGTGAAATATACGATTTAAATTGTATTCGATATTACTTTGCTTCCTTTCCTAGAATATTTTTTAAGTTACGTTTTCCGTGATCCTCGGGTTGTTAGCGTGGAAAGAGCGTGGGACTCCATCTACGCGAGGCATCGGAATTATCGTTCTATCTTATACATCCATCAAAGCCAAACAAAGCCCAATTTTGGCAATGATTTTGCTGTCGGTCGGAAGAAAACCAAGGGATGACGATATTGCTATACTCCAGTCAACCACTGCAGTCTAATTATGAAATTGTAGGCAATTGCAGCTAGATTTAAATATGCACACACATTCTCCTTTGTATTTTCAGGCCATGCGTATGTCATAAAAGTAACACAATAAATTCTACACAGTCCAGCTACCAACAGGTTAATTAATTTAAACAAGGAATAAAATATTGTATAAAATTTGGAAAGCTGGGTCAAAATGTGTTTAACTGCTACAGAAAGTTGTCAAAAGTAGCAACAGCTGTTTGTTGAATACTTCTGGTCAATAATGTGTTCATATTGCTGACAGTAACGCTAGTACACAGACAAGTGAGAGAATACAATATCTAAAAGTTGTGCAACAACAATACGAACTAGAAATGTCATTGCAAGCAATGGCGGATATCACACCCGCTAACTGTCACTAAACGGTAGCCACTTTGAAAACTGTAAAGTCGAATGCCACATCCACACATGCCAGCTAACATTTCTGTAAAGTTTAATTAAGTTCGGACATTTCATTTTTTTACAATTTGCTGTTTCCATGGTTAAGGCAGTCATGTTGAAAATTCCAAAGTAAACGGCACATCTACACATGCCAATTAAAGTTTGTGTGAAGATTCATTAATTTTGGAGCATTTTTATTATTTTTTTTGCTGTTTCCATGGTGACAGTTGACTTTTTGAGAATTTTGAACATTTAATTCCACATTTATACATTGAAGATAACAAATCGATAAAAAACATTAGTTTTGATCTAATTGTCTTTAGGAAAATGTTACTTTTGTGTTTTACCGTACGATTCTATGTTAACCATATTCCAGAAAAGGCACAGCCGTGAAGTTCTGAAGATACTCACTATCATACAAAACCTTGTATAGCGAACATCTACATTGTATAAAAATTTCATGATTTATAGATCAGGTAACTCAAATTAGGCATAAACTAAATGTTTGCATTTTCCATAGTAAAGGCGGCCATTTTAAAAATTCCTGCACCATTACTGCACATCTACATATGGTGGTTCTCGTTATGGTTTATTTTTTTTAAGATTGATCCAACAGTACCTGAAAAATAGCGCGAATAAAATATCATTGGAATAATAATGATAACAGAGAAACGATAGCGATAGATTCCATCGGGGTGACATAATGAAATGGTACATAGTGCTGTAAGAAGGGAATATATATCAACCTATATACAGGCTTCTCTAATGTAAATTATCAGCTAGCTGTGTGTTGCTATCGAGATTAACGTGTTGCTGAAGTCAAATGAAGTTTAAATAGTTCTTAGTCTTGAAAATAAATTTCCATTATACCCTTTGCAATTGGAGTTGTAAGTTTTCAGATCAAGAATAAGCATCATACAAATGTTTTTTTACCAACCAAAAGACTACAAAAGTAGATTTAATATAAACATAAAGGGGATGCTATGAAATAATGGCCAATAAAACAACTATCCATTGTCATTTGATGGAAAGGGGCTACAACAACAGAAACATGAACAATGGTTTTCAAAAAAAGTGGAACTGACAGGTCTCCACTTTTCATATACAAAGAAAATCAGAGACAGTGCTGACATACTATCAAGAATTAAAGGACTTAATATATATAATCTAGGACAGTCGAAAGATATTATTAAACATTCCAAACTTTCAAAAATATTTCCAAACATGCTTGCTTACAAAATTTTAAAAAGCCTCGTGGATTAGCTAGTGAAATCTGTAATACCAGTTGCTCAACCTTAAATTATACAGTTTTCACACTTAATCCCCCATCTATTGATATCAGATTTCATCCTCTTTAGTAATAATATCTTCCAGTAATACCTATCACGCGGCACTTTGAATATCAAAGTCAGTTAATTGAGGTATACTTTTACAATTACCATTTTCACCCAAAAGAAGAAATATGGCCATAGAGTGTGACATTTTAAATTCAGTAAAATGCATTGAATATATTTTTATCATCACAAGTTATCAAATATAAATGAATTAACATTTGTATTTGTTTAATGAGAGTGATAGTTTTATGATATCAAAAAGATAGCGAAGTCCTCGAAGGTAAATTAACCCAACAAAATCTTCAACACACACCAAACGAAAATTTTTCAAAAAAATTCCTGCAGATTTCAACCTGAACATGAAGTTTGTTTTTATCACTATATCAGAAACATGTATATTATATTTATCTATATCCATGTCATTTGAACTCTAGTGGAGAGTTGCCTTATTTTTAAGTGGTTTTGAATGATTCTTTGTCCAATTAAAAAAGACTGAAGCACGAAGCACGTCGTCCCCACCTCCCATAGCCCTTCCCCCCGCACAGAGAGTAAATGAAAGTACATGTGACAATTAACATCAGCCTCCAGTTAATTATTATGTGATTAATATAAAACTTACTGACCTTCCTAGCTACATTCTCACCCGTGCTGAGGTATATTTCATTTCTATCATGGTAAATGGAAAATGATAGCTTTCAATAATATAGAAGTTTTTTTTTATCTCATATTATGATATAGCATATAGACTATCCAACAATATTTATATTGTGTAATCAATTATAACGACATAGTATACCAAATCACATAATTATAAGCCCTGTTTAGTGTTACTTATCACTGCGACATTACAGGGACATATAATAATTATAATAAACTCTGAGATCGCTTCAAAATATCTTTGCTAGCCAAGGGTTATGCGGTACCTTTTTATCTCTACGGAGAACAAAGCACTGTACCATTACTTACCCTTTGTAAATGAAGATGATAGCGATTGGGAAACTGAGAATAACTGAAAGGCAACATCAGTTTCCTTCCTTGGTTCATTCATATCACATTTTTTTTCTGAAGTTTTAAACCTAAAGGAACACTACTTTTATCGTTTTTCATTTATTTGAGTCATATGAATTCTCGTCTTATTAATAATGGAGCGTTGACTTTATTTTGTACTGGTAAATTCAGGCTTAAAGAACAAAGAATTTTAAAAAGTAATTTTATTTAAAAATGATTACAATATTATTTATACTTTATACAAAATAGTTTATACAAATCACAATTGAATATGCCATTGCCTTAATAGCTACACGAAAAGAGTTCACCGTTTACGTAGAAAGTAAAATGATTAGTTTATTAAAACCAGTCAAAATGCCTCCAAGAAATCGGCAGTGAAATAGAGTATCTTTAAATCAAGTAAACGCGTTTATGTTTCTCAATCCAACGTTGTCTTCACACTTTATTTATTAGTTTGTACCACCCAGTATGTGTTTACCTGTGTAAATAACTTTCTCAATTATGTTCTAAACTTCTCATCAAAGTAACTATATATAAAGAGATTGACAATGTGGTTTAGAAACAAAAAACGCGCAAGGTAAGTACAAACAAAAGCTGCCTCCATGGATATAGATATAAAATTGAAATCACTAACAGCATATACTTAAATTAAAATGAATTACGAAGGAATATAAGATAAAACATAAGCAACAATGATGACAAAAACATAATTTTTATTCTTGTTGTTGCCTTTTCCTTTCTTTTTCTTTCCCTGTCCTCGGTCGCTAAAGTATTTACTGGTTTATTAGTATCCTGATCACCTCGCAAAGTAGAGGGTTTATTAATGCTGGGATTGGAGCTTGATTTATCCTGGATCTGAATATTAGTAGTTTTCCTAAGTATTTGAGTTCTTTATCTTTTGTTAACACTAAATCAGTATAACGTGGTGTATTTCGATGTTTCCTTTACTTATGCCCACTTCTGATGTCCCCAGAAAGGAGAGTTTATCCTCTTCAAAACTAGTAAAACAAACTTATGGTTATCAGAATACTGACAATCGTTAACAGAAAAAAAACGCAAAATAACGGAACATACACCTACTGATACCAACATAAAAAAACATGCATGTATATTTTAACTAATCTTCCATTCGTGACATCCGCCGATGTATAATCAGGGAAAGGATCACGGAAAACAATTCATTCTAGGAAAGGAAGAAAAGTAATATCGAAAACATATAAAATCGTATATTTCCCCACACTTTTATTCTGACACAAAGACGTAAATAATAGTATGACGAATAACACTGATTATCTTCAGGTTCTTTGGGAACTGAAATACTCCGATCTCGCTTTAAGCAGTACTATTCTGATAATCATCGGAGGTATCGTTGGAATCCTAGGGAATGTTTCAGTAATAATATGTTACTTCTTTCGGATTGAGAAGTGCGGAGAGCGTTATTTTATTCCGGTGTTGGCAGTCGTTGACCTGGTTGCTTGTATAACAAGTTCTATTTTCTATGTTATGGATAATACATTTTTCTTCAATTATCCCTACGATTTGATGTGTCGTATTCTGACATTTCTGCAGCTGCTTGTACCAGCGACTTCGGCAAGTTTATTGGTCATAATTAGTCTTCAAAGATATTTATTAGTTTGCAAACCTCACGGACCAAAGATGACATTACGTTGGAAAAGGATTTCAATTGGTGTCGCATGCTTGTTTACTTTATCTTACTCTGCACCGATGCTTGCGATATCTGGGATTAAAACATCAAATGAAACGTTTCAGAATCATACAATACAAATTACAGTCTGTAAATTTTCAACAGCAGAAACTTCAGCTAAGATAACAGTGTACTTCGGTTTTCTTCTTCTGTTAACGATTATCAGTATTCTGGTAACCATAAGTTTGTTCATACCAGTTTTGAGGAGGATAAAACTCTCCCTTCTTGGGAAATTCAGAAATAAACATCAAAATACACCACCTTATACTGATTCGGTGTCCACAAAAGATATAGAACTGAGAAAATGCGTAGGAAAAACGCAGGAAATTCAGATCCAGGAAAAATCTAGCTCCAATCCAAGCATTGATACATCCTCTACTTTGAGAGGTGATCTTGATGCTAATAAATCAGTAAATACTTTAGCAACCGAGGACAGTGAAAGAATAAGAAAGGAAAAAACAACAAGAAGAATAACAATTATGTTTTTTGTCATCATTGTTGCTTATGTTTTATCTTATATTCCTTCGTTAATCATTTTAATTGTAGTATATACTGTTGGTGATCTCAATTTTATTTCTATATCCAAAGAGGCAGCATTTGTTAGTACTTACCTTGCGCGGTTTGTGTTTCTAAACCACATTGTCAATCCCTTTATTTATAGTTACTTTGATGAAAAGTTTAGAACAGAACTGAGAAAGTTATTAACACAGGTAAAAACATACTGGATGGTACAAAATGATGAATAAAGTGTGTAGACACAGTTGGATTGAGAAAATGAGTTAATTTATTCAATTATATACACGTTAACTAGATTTCAAGAGACTCAATTTCACTGCCAATTTTGAGGCATTTGGACTGGTTTTAATATACTAACCTCCTTACTGTCAATGTTAACGGTGAATTCGAACTCTTTTCAATGGAACATTTCAAACAATTAAAATGTAGATGGAGATATTGCTGAGAGAGATGTGTCAAAAACATTTTATTCGAGTATCCGAGTACGGAATTTGCAATCGAGTGTTCGGTCTTCAGAGCGAGTACTCGTCCAGGATATGGTTGGTCACCTAAAAAAATGATTAAATTACGATTTCTTTGCTAATTTAATGTAATCAATAACATAACAATTACTCCTAAATTCAAATGTAATCGATTACATTTGATCGATTACTTTTTTTTAAGTAATCATGATTACATTGGATTACATTGTATACTGTGATATTAAAGTTTTTTTTAAAACATAAAAAACGAAAAAAAGAACGTTAATTTTTGTGAAAAGTTGTGTTTTTAATATCTTTAATATATATACAGCATATATGTTATTAAGAACTTAAATCAGGAGCAGTGTAATATTAGTATTGTTTGATAGCATAAGAAAATGACATTTCTCTATCATAGAAAAAACATTGTCTTTAAATTTATGAATATTTTAGCCCAGTGTTTATTTGCAGTTAACAAAAACAATTGAGGGACTATTGAATGATCAAATAGCTTTATTGTATATTTTGCCATGGACATGATTGTATGAAAAAATTTCAATATTGGATATTAAAAACACATTTGAATTTTTATAGAACAAAAAATTGATGAAGATTGTGAAACAAAAAAATTAAGGTGTGATTTCCGAAGCACCAGAGATCACCCCCAGTTTTTGGTGGGGTTCGTGTTGCTCAGGCTTTGGTTTTCTAAGTTGTGTTTTGTATACTGTTGTTTGTTTGTTTGTCTTTTTCTTTTTTAGCCATGGCATTGTCAGTTTATTTTCGATTTATGATTTTGCATGTCCCTTTAATATTCTTCGCCTCTCTTTTTCCATTACTTTTAAATGGGGTCATTTATGTTAATCATCATAGTCAAAAATGGAATTAATTCCCTAAAATAATGTTCTATGCTGTTAAATGTCAAGGAAACAGAGAACAAAATATTGTGATATCTAGAATTGTAATTTTTATCAAAATTTAACCATCAGGAAACCCAAAATATTCTCAATGCAGACATTTCGTATTACAAGGACTCAATCTCCAAATGAAACATTAGAAAACGTAATTCATTAAGTGAATTATTGTCAAAACAAATCACACAATTTCACTGTACATGTCTTAAAAGAGAGGCGAAAGATACCAAAAGGACATTAAAACTCATAAGTCGAAAATAAACTGACAACGCCATAGCTAAAAAAGAAAAAGACCAAAAGACAAACAATAGTACACAAAACGCAACATTGCAAACTAAAGACTGAGCAACACGAACCCCATCAAAAACTGGGGGTGATCTCAGGTGCTCCGGAAGGGTAAGCAGATTCTGCTCCACATGTGGCACCCGTCGTGTTGCTCATGTTAGTACAAAACCGGTAATAAGTCTAATTCGGTAGGTCACATTCGCGAAAATGGGACGGGATTATAGTTACGACATTAGGAACATATACGCTATCATCTGTGAAACGGACATTCCGTAACGGTCAACCAACTCGTGATGGCGTCCGTAAATTTTAAGCGTAGTTTTATACTGGTTATACTGTTGCAGGGAATGAAATCTACCCCTATTCAAAATATCCATATTTTAGCGGTAGTCTTAATTTCATATCAACTCCCGCTCTACCTTGAAAAACTAGCTATTGTTTATTTGTTTTCGTCCTTGTTCTAGATGAACTATTTGCCACTGGACTTTAAAGCAACAATTAATCAATCACTCAATGAATCTGAAAGATGCAAAATGATTGTATATGATCAATTGCAGAGGTTTATGGAATATTTCTATGTCAATTGTGATTTGTATAACTATTATGTATATATTATATTGTAATCATTCTTAAATAAAGTTATTCTTTAAGCTTATTTTTTCCCTTAAGCCTGTTTACCTGTACAAATGTCAACATACTACTTCATTGTAAGTAAGACGATAATTCATATAATTCAAATGAATAAACAAGAAACAAACTGCAATAAAGATTGAGGTACACTCACATAATGAATGTCATAAAAAACTTAATGTGTAAACGATGACTAAACAAGAGATCTTTTACAATATCTAAAATATATTTTATGTATGAAATTAATATGCAAAAAAAAAAAAAAAAAAAAAAAACGAAACATTCCAGTAGTGTTTCAAACAGTAGATAAACAATTCCTAAATATAAACAATATGATTAAAACCTTTATCAATTAATGTATTAAAACGATTAAAACCTTTACCAATAATTGTATAAAATAAAACAAAAAGAATGTAAAAGGCGTTGTCTTATATTGTTCACTGAATATATAAGTTTTAAATTAAAAGGTTGTTAAAGACCTTTTTGAAATTCTTATTGAAAGAGCATACTAAATGTTCAATAAAAAACTATAAGTCGGATTGAAATAGACAACACCCTGGCCAAAAAAGATAAACGATGAAAAGAAAAGAAAACCAATTCGCGAAAGAGTTTTCTAAAAAAATCAAGATTAAGGCTCCGATTTCCATCCAAAATCAAAAGTAATCTAAAGTCCTGGGGAAAGATAAGTAGTTCCTTTTCCGCTAACGGTACCTGTCGTGTTACTCAATGCAAGAACATATTCTATGATAAGTCGCATTTGGTAATGTCACAATCAAAGAAAAATAAAATTGGATTTGTAGCTACGACAATTGGAATATACTCGTGCTCATCGGAGACACAGATATTACATTAGGTTCAACTAAATCATGACTACGTCAGAAAGATGAAAATTGTAAAAATTTGACTTCTTTTATACAGAGTACTTTTACAATTTTTAGTTGGTTTGACATACACGGGGTTGTATTGACGATTTGAATATACGGAAAATTTCCATGACTAAAAAAATATATCATTAACAAAGCAAAACCGGTTAGGACATCTTTCTTTTTCAATAATATACTTATTGATAAAGGTAATGATATTAGCATTCTTTTTTATGGAATTATTTGATATTATTTGATATTGTTATAGGCCTACCTTCCATTCTAAAGCGGTGGTATATAGTGTTAGGAGAGTCCGTCAGTCCGTGTGCCTATCTGTCCCACTTTTGTATCTACAACTGCTCCTGAACTGCTTGACATAATTATTTGAAACTTTCATAGATTCTTAATCACATACGGGAACCAATTGATTTTCGGGGGCGGGCGGGAGAGTTTCGAAAATGAATATTCTGTTCTGGTATGAACTGAAAAAAAATAACTTTGGCCAAGACAGGATGGAAATGAATATTCTGCAACACAATATGCAGGAAAGAAAATGTGTAGAAAATTGAAGATAAATTAAAAAAAAAAAATTTTTACGCGGAAAATAAGCATGCATAGTTACAAATGAAAATGACTAGTTTAAACTGCAACAAATCCTCCTTATCAAATGTTAATCCCTTATGTACTTCTGCATCTCCTATTTCATTTCCTTAACTGAGTGATTCTTTGGGTTTACTTTGGGATTCATTTCTGAACACTATTAGTACACATTTGGAGGATACCAATTTTGTACCTGCAATTTTGGGGTTCCCTTACTGAAGCATTGACTTTGCAAGGATTGGGGGTATCATTTTTGAACTTTGCTCACGGTACCTCTTAGCCAGCAGAATTCCTTGGGGGCAAAATTATGTTATTAAATAGTTAAATTATGGAAAATGAAAAATGAACATGGAAGGAAAGAGGATACTGACTAACTTCTAGACTATAAGACTATATATTTGTTTCTTTTAAAGTCACGTTCGTAAGCCCCCCCCCCCCCCCCCCCCCCCCCTCTCCTCCCACACACATCGACGTTTCAGTGCTATGCCACTGCTATATCTAAAGAGTTGGCATCGTCAGTTGGAGATTTGACATAGGGCTCAGCCAGTAAACAGATATTAACGACTGCCAAAGCCCAAATTGAAGGTTGCAACTATTCACAGTCCCGTTATTCCTATTCTAATGCAAATTCAAAGCTTATGTAAAACTAGTAAAATTTTCATAATTTATTTCAAAATAAAATATCTAAATTATTCTAATAATTCAACAATGTTGTCAAGGATGCCGATTAGTCATATAACATATGACTTCACATTCTTATTAATTTTTTAACGTTTTTATTCTGATATTTTCATATTTTTTCGGAATGCGGCACATGAATAGTTAAAAAAATAATTAGAAAAAAGGCAAAATAAGTAAAAAGAAAATATCAGAAATAAATAAGTGTAGAAATAATGCCCCCGAGGTCATATATTATAGGTCTATGACGCCGATCTGATATTAATTCATTTTCACAAGCTAAGGATTTGATCAAAAACATGAAATTGGCTATTTATATCCATCATAATCTATTGCAGTAACGATATGAAAAACGATCAAAATATTGTTCTTTTAAGTACTATTTCCTGTAGGTTCCTGAAGCTATCTCGGACTTCATTATCATTATATGTCCCTACAATGATGCAGTGATAAATAACAGAAAATAGGGCATACAGATATTTGATTTTGGTATATGTAATATTTGATAACACCATATTAATATAATTGGATAGTATATATGCTATGTCATAAAATAAGTTCAAATTTCTATTTCCTAAAAAAAAACTTCTATGATATTGAAAGCTATCATTTTTCAATTACCATAATATAAATGAAATATACCTCATCAGGGGTCAGAATGTAGCTAGGAAGGTCAGTAAGTATTAATCACGTAAGGATTAACTGGAGGCTGATGTTAAATGTCACATGCACTAACATATACTCCCCATGCATGTGGAATGGAAATGGGAGGTGGGAAGGAGGTGCTTTGTGATTCAGTCTTTTTCAGATGTGTAAAGAATCTCTCAATAGCACTTGAATAAAAATAAGGAGATGCAGTATGATTGCCAATGAGACAACTATTCACCTGACTATCAAATGACGTGAATATAGGTAAACATAGTTTACATGTCTATGATCTAGTGATTAAAACAAACTTCATCTTCAGCTAGAAGTGAACGGGGAATTTTGATTTTGCGTTGGGTGGGTGTTGAAGATTTGTTTGGGTTAATTTATTTCTGATGACTTCTTTTTGATATCATAAAGCAATCACACTAATTTAAAAATTACAAATGTTTATACATATATATATATTTGATAACTTATGATAATAAAAATACATTCAATGCATTTTACTGAATTTGAAATGTCAAACTTTAAGGCCATATTTATTCTTTTTGGTGAAAATGGTAATTGTAAAAGTATACCTCAATTAACGGACTTTGATATTCAAATTGCCGCATGATCGGTTATACTTAAGAAGATATCATTACTTAAGAAGATGAACTCAGATGCCAATAAATGGGGGATTAAGTAGAAAAACTTTTTAATATTTAGATCTAGCAACTGGTATTACAGACTTCACTAGCTTATCCACAAGATTTTAAAAAAAAATTTAAGCAGGCAGGTTTTGGAAATATTTTTGAAAGTTTTAAATGTTTTATAATATCTTTCTACTAATCCTAGATTATTTTAATTAATTCTTACAAAATCCTGATAGTATTTCAGCACTGCCTCTAATTTTCTTTGTATTTGAAAAGTTGAGACCTGCCAGTTTGATGTCTGTTGAGAACCATTGTTCATGTTGCTGTTGTTGTAGCCCCTTTCCATCAAATGACCATGGATAGTTGTCTCATTACACAGCATCTCCTTGTGTATTTTTTTCATATTAAATTGACTTTTGTTGTCTTTTTGGTTGGTAGAAAAGATTAGTATGATGCTTATTCTTGATTTAAAAACTAACAACTTTAATTCCAAAGGGTGTAAATGAAAAGTAATATCAAGACTTTAAGAATTAAAATCTATATATATAAACCTCATTAGACTTGAGCAACACATCAATCTAGGTAACAACAAATAATTATAGCCTACCATTCACAATAGAGAAGCTTGCATGTGAGGTGAAATATATTCTGTTTTTACTAGCATTATTTACCATTTCATTATGTTATTCCGAACAAATGGCATATATCTCTTGCTCCGTTTGTTTTTTCGATTATCAATATTCTTCCAATGCTTTTTGTCTTTGCGATTTCTCAGGTTCTATTGGACCAATCTTCATGAAAGTACAGTCAAACCTGCCTTAACGGCCACCTCGTTTCAACGGTCACCTGCCTCTAACTGCCACTTTCAGATCTTCCCAAACGTTTTCTCTATGAAATTTAACACTTTTAAACAGTCACCTGTCTAACGCGGTCTGCGGTCACCTAATTGTACCACGAAATCGTCATTTCAATTTTTAACAACGGCCATTTTAATTTTTTTGACAACCAAAATATAATCATGACGATAAATATATGTGTTCAGTATCGAGGTCAGAATGAGGATTGAAGCCCGTTTGTAACCGAGATCGTGCAAATAGGATATGATGTGTCAGTCTCCATTAAAAACCGTATCATCGACTTATTTATCCACGAATATTAGCTATTTCGAATGTTTTCCTCAGGTTGTAGGTACCAGTTTTGGTGTACTAGAATATGTGTCCCACACAGAAATGTTGTTATAGTTAAGTAATGAAGAATTTTATTGCATACACAGATTGGGGATTTCCTTTACATGTGGGACCAATCAGAAGTCAAAATTGGGTCTCTTCTCTTGATTTCATCCAATCAAAGTAGGTAAAAAATTCAGTTTTATGTGAACAAAATATCTTGAGAGTTTGGTGGTAAGGCTAGGTGCGGATAAGGCTCTAATTCATTGGATACTATTTATCTCTTTAAATTTGTGTAGCAGGATTCTGAAGGTGAGGATTAGATTTGTATCAGGGCATCACATTTTTTTTGCCTTACTTGCAATGCATTTATAAATTTTAAAATCTCCATGCTGGACAGAGACCCAAATTCACAGGTTTTCTATATATTCACGTAAGCACGCACACATCTTAGTTACCCGAACAATACATTGTATTTGCATATTAGCTTTAATGCTTTTTCAGGAATATTAAATCATAAATCCATGAAATTCTAAAGATTTATTATAAAATAACTGGTTTCTGCCACCTTAAGGATAAACCTGATTTTGTATATGATCAAATGTGCTTTTGTAGGAGTTCTACAGGTGTGTGATGTTATATTTCTTTTATTCACAGCCAATGTATAGGCCTGTTTGCAAGCATATAGTTTTTTCATAGATTTAAAGAATTATCAAATATCAAGATAGATAACTCTGTATCCCATGACAAACAATGACATTCAATTGATAAGTGTTAAAATGATTATGTTCACCATAGAATGATTTATAATCATAAAACATAAAGAAGAAGCATTTGCAAAGAGTAAAATAAGTAATATAAGTCTCAGCATAATACTAGAAAAGCTGATTATACTGTTTATTACCTGTTTAAATGATTAATTTCACATGACTTGAACATTGTTTTTTTTACTTTTTTACTCTGAAAATATGAATTCTTCTTTTTTTATAGGTCTACTACAAAGTTAATGCTGTAGGAACGGCCAAAGAAATATAAAAACTGGTCTGTCCCATCAGGAATAGTGTGACAATTCTAAAATTTCATCATGCGGCCTACACAGCAGTCTCTTATGTGGAGAAGAGATGAGAGTGATTGCGAATAAATGTACACTTAGTTTAGTGCATCATGGATCGGCAAAGTGATACCAACGAAATTAATTTATTCATAACTAGATATAGGAAGATGTGGTATGAGTGCCAATGAGACAACTCTCCATCCAAGTTACAATTTATAAAAGTAAACCATTATAGGTCAAGGTACGGCCTTCAACATAAGCTATTTTAAGTACTGCAGTCGACAGAACAATGAAAGTCACAAGATTAAAGCTTATTTAATACTTCGAACAATAGAAAAATACTTCCCGAGATCAGCTGTAAAATGGTTTTATATCACGCATATAACAATAAACTCAAGTATTTTTGAGGTCTGTTGGATAAATCATTCATACACTTTATCAAAAAACTCATATGATAGACTTTTTTGAATTTGAACACAATCATTTTAAATTTGTTTTATATGTTCAAAACAGCTTGACGACAATTGACAAAAATATTGCTTTGATAAATTTGGTCTAACCAAGTCTATGTATGATTTTTTTTATGATGTAACCAATTGCACTGTATGCATTTTTAATAGTAAATGACTGCAGAACTCTAACAGACTAAAAATTAAAATATATTCTTTTCAATAAGTGGCTAAAGGTGGCAAGTATCAGTTTTGGTGTACCAGAACATGTGTCTCGCGCAGAAATTTTGTTATAGTTAAGTAATGAAGTATAGAATTGCATCATGTGGACTGAAAAAAAACCCCAAATGAATGTAAATTGTAGGCTATTGTACTACATTAGTAAGTAGTTGCATACACAGATTGGGGATTTCCTTCACACATGGGACCAATCAGATGTAAAAATTGGGGTCTCCTCTCTTGATTTCCTCCAATCAAAGTAGGGAAAAAATTCAGTTTTATGTAAAAAAAAAATCTTGAGATTTTGATGGTAAGGAGAAGTGCGGACAAGGCTCTAATTCATTGAATAAATTTGATTAAAAGTCTTCCCTGCCATTATGCCAATCAATGGGGGATTAAGTGGAAAACTGTTTAATATTTAGGTCCAGCAACTGGTATTACAGAATTCACTAGCTTATTCCAAGATTTTTAAAAAAATTTAAGCAGGCAGGTTTTAGAAATATTTTTGAAAGTTTGGAATGTTTTATAATATCTTTCTACTGTCCTTGACTATCTATATTAAATACTATAAATCCTGATAGTATTTCAGCACTGTCTCTAATTTTCTTTGTAATTGAAAGTTGAGACCTGCCAGTTCAACTTCTTTTGAGAACCATTGTTCATGTTGCTGTTGTTGTAGCTCCTTTTCATTAAATGACGATGGATAGTTGTCTCATTACACAGCAGCTCCTTGTTTATTATTTTAATATTAAATTGACTTTTGTAGTCGTTTTGGTTGGTAGAAAAGATTAGTATGATGCTTATTCTTGATCTGAAAACTGACAACTTTAATTCCAAAGGGTGTAAATGTAAAGTAATATCAAGACTTTAAGAATTAAAATCTATATGAAAACCTTATTAGACTTGAGCAAAACATCCATCTAGGTAACAACAAATAATTTGAGCTGACCATTCACAATAGAGAAGCTTGCATGTAAGGTGAAATATATTCCGTTTTTACTAGCATTATGTACCAATGTATTTAATGAATCTTCACCACCATGTTAATTTGCATATGTAGAAGTGGCATTCGACTTTGGAATTTTCAAAATGGCTGCCGTGTAGTGGCAATTGGCGGGGTGACATCCGCTATTGCTTGCAATGGTAATTCAAGTTCTAATTGTTGTTGCATAACTTTTAGATATTGTATGCTTTCACTTGTCTGTGTAGTATTGTTACTGTTAACAATATGAACACTTTATTGACCAGAAGTATTCAACAAACAGCTGTTGCTACTTTTGCCAACAATCAAAAGCAGCAAACACATTTTGACTCAGCTTTCAAGATTAAATGCCATATTATTTTTCTTTGTTCACATTAATCAACTTGTTGATAGCTGGACTGTGCAGAATGTATTCATCATTAGAATACAGGGGTTGACTGAGGTAAAGCAATGTGTTCACCCCATGGTTTTCTTCCGACCGACAATGAAACCCTTGCCAAAGTGGGGCCTCCATTTGGCTGTACGTGATGTATACAATTGCAGCCACGTCCGGTCAGAATTGGGACATTAATTCCGATGCCTCGCGTAGAGGTAGTACTACGCTCTTTACACGCTAGGAAACGTTGCAACAACTCTTTGGGGGTCTGTAGGTTGCCAGTTGCAAGGCTAAATTTCTATCCCTATCCAATATACACTCATTTCTTAGTGGTATTCCACAATTCCCGCCAATCATATCGATAAACTCCCTATTGCAGAGCCTACCTATTGTGTTTATTGTTAATTTGTTCTCGTCCTGAACATGTATAAGATATTTTCCACTAGGCGTAAAGCAAACAACAATCAATCAATCTTCACATGATAGAAAAAGTCAATACGCATAATCAGGAGACATTTTTTTCTAAGTATGATATTACCAGAACAGTACAATTTTCATCTTCACAATGTTGCTTCCAAAATCAGATTGTAATAAAATGAGTTTTTAAGGAAATTTCCTACAAAATAACACAAATTTACAGAAACATAATGATTATCTTTGGCTGATACCTGCTTGAAAAAAACGCAAAATTTGAAAATAACGGAACATACACCTACTTATACCAACATACAAAAACAATGTATGCATAATTTAACAAATCTTCCACATGTGACATCTGCCGATGTATAATAAGTAAAGGGTATGCGGAAAACATAACTTAAAAGATATTCTAGGAAAGGCAGTAAAGTAATATTGAAAACAAATATAATCGTATATCTTTTCACAGTTTTATTCTTACATAGAGACGTAAATAATAGTATGGCGAATAACACTGATTATGTTCAGGTTCTTTGGGAGCTGAAATACTCCGATCTCGCTTTAAGCAGTACCATTCTAATAATAATCGGATGTATCGTTGGAATCATAGGGAATGGTTCAGTTATAATATGTTACTTCTTTCGGATTCAAGAAAGAGGAGAGCGTTATTTTATTCCGGTGTTGGCAGTCGTAGACTTAGTTGCTTGTATAACAAGTTCTATCTTCTACGTGATGGATAATACATTTTTCTTCAGTTATCCCCATGATTTGATGTGTCGTATTCTGACATTTTTGCAGCTACTTGTACCAGCGACTTCGGCAAGTTTATTAGTCATAATTAGTGTTCAAAGATATCTTTTAGTTTGCAAACCTCACGTACCAAAGATGACATTACGTTTGAAAAGGATTTCAATTGGTGTCGCATGCTTGTTTACTTTATCTTACTCTGCACCGATGCTTGCGATATCTGGAATTAAAACATCAAATGAAACGTTTCAGAATCATACAATACAAATTACAGTCTGTAAATTTTCAACAGCAGAAACTTCAGCTAAGATAACAGTGTACTTCGGTTTTCTTCTTTTGTTAACGATTATCAGTACTCTGATAACCATAGGTTTGTTCATACCAGTTTTGAAGACGATAAAACTCTCCCTTCTTGGGAAATTCAGAAATTGGCGTAAGTCAAGTAAACACAGGAAAAAACCACCTAATACTGATTCGGCGTCAACAAAAGATATAGAACTGGGGAAATACGTAGGAAAAAATCCTGAAATTCAGATCCTTGAAAAATCAAGCTCAAATCCAAGTATTGATACATCCTCTACTTTGAGAGGTGATATTAATAAACCAGTAAATACTTTAACAACCGAGGACAGTGAAAGAATAAAAAAGGAAAAGGCAACAAGAAGAATAACAATTATGTTTTTTGTCATCATTGTTGCTTATGTTTTATCTTATATTCCTGCGTTAATCATTTTAATTTTAGTATATGCTGTTGGTGATCTCAATAATTTTATTTCTATATCCAGAGAGGCAGCATTTGTTTGTACTTACCTTGCTCGTTTTGTGTTTCTAAACCATATTGTCAATCCCTTTATATACAGTTACTTCGATGAGAAGTTTAGAACAGAATTGAGAAAGTTATTTACACAGGTAAATGAATACTGGATGGTACAAAATGATAAATAAAGTGTAAAGGCACAGTTGGATTGAGAAATTGTGTTGATTTATTCAATCATAAACACGTTAACTAGATTTCAAGAGACTCAATTTCACTGCCTATTTTGGTTGAGGCATTTTGACTGATTTTAATATAATAACCTTCTTACTGTCAACGTTAACGGTAAACTCTTTTCATGTTGCAATAAATGGAACCTTTCAAATAATAAAAATGTAGATGTAAATATTGCTGAGAGAGATGTGTCAAACACAGTTTATTCGAGTATCCGAGAATTTGCCATCGAGTGTTCGGTCTTCAGAGCGAGTACTTGTCAGGAATATGGTTGGTCACTTAAAAGAAAATGGTTAAATTAAGATTACTTTGCTAATTTTATGAAATTCAGTAACATAACAATTACTCCTAAATTCAAATGTAATCGATTACATTTAATGGATTACTTTTTTTTTAAAGTACATAAAAACGAAAGAAAAAAAACCCGCTAATTTGTGTGAAAAGTTGTGTTTTTAATATTTTTAATATATATATAGTATATATGTTATTAAGACCTTAAATCAGGAGCAGTGTAATATTAGTATTGTTTGATAGCATAAGAAAATGGCATTTCTCTATCAAAGAAATAACATTGTTTTTAAATTATGAATATTTAGCAAATAGGGACTTTTTAATGATCTAGTATCTTTATTGTCTGTGGAGACATACTTGACGTTTTCATATGTATTTACAGGTGCTAATCCCATTTTCAAACTCAAATTTTATGACAACCAATAGGTGAGTGTGGGTAATAAAAGTAAATCATATCAACGATAATCAATAAAGTTATATGTAATTTATTTTCATCATGTACATGTTTGCATGAAAATTTTAATATTTCGTATTTAGAAAACATATATTCAACTTTTTATAGAACACAAAATTCATAAAAAATGTTAAACCAAAAAAAAAAAGGTTCTAAATTCCATTACTTTTTAAGTGGGGTCATTTATGTCAATCATCAAAGTCAAAAATGGAATTAACTCCCCCCAAAATATGTGCTTTGCTGTTAAATGTCCAGGAAGTTATGACAAAATATTGTGTTAACTAAAATTGACGTTGTTATCAAAAGTTGTCCTTCAGGAAACACAAAATATTCTCAGTGCAGATATTTTATATTACAAGAACTCAATCTCAAAATGAAACATTTGGACTAGTCAATTCATTAAGTGTACTGTTGTCAAAATAGATCACACAATTTCACTGCACATGTCTTAAGCGTGGTTATACTGATTTATACTGGTTATACTGTTGCAGGGGATGAAATCTACTCCAATTCGTTACATCCACATTTCCAATGGTAGTCTTAACTTCATGTAGACTCCCGCTCTACCTTGGATAACCTATTTATTATTAATTTGTTCTCTCTGTTTGGTTCTGAATATGCACGAACTGTTTGCCACTGTACTTTAAAGCAACAATCAATCAATCACTCAATCAATCAATCTGAGGGATGCAAAATAATCGTAAATGATCAATTGCAGTGATATATGAAATATTTCACCGTCAGCTGTGATGTGTATCACTATTATGTATATATTGTATTGTAATGTGACAACTATTATGTATATATGATATTGTAATCATTCTTAAATATAATTACCTTTTCAGCTTATTTTTTTCCTTAAGCCTGTATTTACCAGTACAAAAATAACGTTAACATACCACATTATTATTAAGACGAGAATTCGTATAATTCAAATTAATAAATAAGAATTATAATATGACGTTCCTCAAACGCTTTAAGTACACACCCGTGGTAAAATATGAATATATTGATATGTCAGCTGATCCTCAACGTCTTGTATTGTTTAGGCTGTTCCAATCTTACTCCCGCGTCGTTTGCTTTTTATGAATGAATTACCTGAGATTAGATGTGTAAACGACGTCATTGAACGATGACGTAAGGATATAAGCATTCTACGGGAAAATGCACGAATTTGAAACTGATAGTCGCCAAAACATGAAAACATAAGAGACAATGATAAGTATTTGTTGAAAGTCCATTTTCTTAAATAAATGTAAGATAATCAATCAATTTCGTCGAAACCTGTCTTAGTATGTTATTGTAAATCATTTAAGCATGTCAGTTATTCAGTTTTCTTCGTATTTTACGTCAATATTAATAGTGTGTTCAATCACGGGAACAGCAAACATTTCCCTTCATCTAGAGCGCTTCGAAACAAAAGAATTGCTGTCTTTGTCCTATTATAATAGAAATAATTCATTGGGGATTGAATCTATATTGATTTTATCACGTGTTGGCCCTTTATGCAAAATATTTTACCAAGAGCGATAGCGAGGGGTAAAATATCAGCATAAAGGGATAACCCGTGGTAAAATCGATATAAATTCAAGCTCCCATGAATTATTTCTTAAACAATCTGCAATAATGGTTAAGGTACACTCATTGCAAAAAATGTCATAACAAACCGTAATTTGTAACGGTGCAGAAACAAGAGATCTTTTACGATACCTTAAGTATTTTTATTTATTATATACTTAGTACTAAATACATGATAAACTGTATGTGTAGTACAATTAATGGCAATCGTGCTGTATCAAGCATCCGTGATGATATCGATATCAGTCACGGTTGCAAAAGCTTTATCAAACCCCTAAACTCTATGACGTCACGTCATCGATATCAGTCACGGTTGTAAAGGCTTTATCAAACCACTAATCTGAATTACACTATCTCACGTGAAAAAAAACCCATCTACTTGAAGTATATAATAAAGTGTATATGATATGGCTTATTAATATCACACCCCGTATCAACCCTCAACCAATATAATCCCTCGAGCAGAGCTCTTGGGATTATATTAGTGTCTCGGATTGATACGAGTGTGATATTGAAAAAGCCATATGATATTCTCTATGTATCAAATTGCTTTACAAAAAAAAAAAAAAAAAAAAAATAACAAAACATACCAATAGTGTTTCAAACTGTAGATAAACAATTTCAAAATATAAACATAACGATTAAAACATATATCAATAATTTTATTATTACAAAAAGGATTTTAAAAAGCCGTTTTCTTAAATTGTTCACTAAACTAATGATTTTAACATCAAAAGCTTGTAAGATACCATTTTATTTGGAGACTTTCTGAAAAGGCATAACAAATGGTCAATTAACTCATTGCAAGAAAAAAGTCTGTTACAAGTCGCATTCGGTAATAACACAATTGAGGAAAATAAAACAAGGATTGTAGCTACAAGTGGAACATATCAGTTCTCATCTGAGTCATAGATATTCCATTGGGTTCATCCAAATCATTATTACGTCAGAAAGATGAAAATTGCTTCAACAATAAACACCTATATTTGTAAAACCTTGTTTCAAGTTTGACAATTTTATGATATCTATATTTTTGTATAAAAGCATTTAAGTGATGAAAATTTTATTTGTCTCATTAAAATCCGAGTAGTTACTGCATTGCAGTACAAAACATATCGAAGCAGCTGAAATATACCCTCCATTAGAAAAAAAAAAAGAACAGAAGGAAAATGAGATTTGCTTTGGCTCCTTTGGTATCTTATAAGGTATGAATTATCTTTCAATAAGAAATTTGGACGCATATGGGTGAGAATGGGGATTAAAACATGTATTCAATTTTAAGTTTTCATATAAATTATCTTAATTACAAAAAAATAATTTACAGACCACAATGTTTAAAGTCCTGGCATGCATTAATTCCATAAATATATCCTCCATAACTAGAAATTGAAGAAACAACAGACACGGCTTCCTCCTCCTCATTTGCAGACTTATACCTCGAATTTGACATAAGCGGTCATCTAAGTACCAGAATCTATGACAAATGAGATTTTTTTTTATTTTGAAATTATAAATTTCCCCCTCCTTAGCAGCAATATACCAACTTCACCTGCATATGGGATATGCATTTCCCAACTCATTCGGTATTCAAGAGCTTGCAGCTGCTACTCAGACTTGATAAAACGTGACCAGTGTCTGAGCAGAAATTTGATGAACCAGGGTTATGTCAAAGAACGTCTCGTCCTTTTTCTAAAAATGTTCATCGGAAGATACAAAGACCTTCTTGATAAATATTCCGTATCAACTTCACAATTAAAACATGATGGTCTTGAAGTATAGATTCTAGGTTCTGACGTTGTTTATCATCTTAATTACTTGTTATAGTGTTTTTATTTGTCTTTGTATATTTTTAACCTTTACTGTTTATTCCAATTTTGGTAATATACTTTTGATGTGGATCGGTATTTATACATCCCGCCATATTATTATTGTGCTATGGTCAATTTTTGTATACTTGTCTTTCATTTTTGCTTATGTAATTTTTCTATAGAGTGTCTATATGCCATTTTGTTTTTCTTTGTTGAAATAGTTATTTGGCACTCATACCACATCTTCATATATCTATTTGTTTTTATAGTGATTAAGATTATAACACAATGTTGACTGCTGTACCCCAATTTTTGACAATTTTACCTTTTATGTCGGTTTGTTTTGCTCACACATTATTGTCAATATAATGGAATTCTATGCGTCAGACAAGTGAGAGGTTTGGCTAGTATAGGGCCAGGTTCATATTACCGTTTTCTACGTAGGGAAATGCCTGTGCCAAGTCGGGAATATGACGGTTGTTTTCCATTCATTTGATGTGTTTGGGCTTTTGATTTTGCCATTTGATCGAGGACTTTCCGTTTTGAATTTTCCTTGGAGTTCGGTATTTTTGCTATTTTACTGTTTTTCTTTTACATAAAGAAAAACCCGATTTTCAGGTTCTTACTCTACCTTGAAGATAATATGGCTAAACTTTATAAAAGCCTAACAAAGTATGATTCATCCATTCAACAAAATACGACTTGATACCAAAACCTGTATTTGTTTAGATTTATCTAAATATACCAAATTGGCAATGAAATCGCCACTGAAGTTTGTCTTTTTTTAATTATCTAAAGTTAAAAGTGGTCGTAGTTATTTTGTTAGACTTTGATATTATAATTTCTTATGGTTATCTTCACACAAAAATGTATTACAAAAGAGGTGGACTTTCCCTTTCCTTCTCTTAGTTTTCCTTTGCTCTTGTTAGATTACCTTACCTACTGTTAGTTTTGCTTTCCTACTGTTACTTTCCATTCTACTGTTAGTTACTACTGTTAGTTTTTCTCTCCTACTGTATTTTCTATTATTAGTTGTCCTTTCTTATTGTTAGTTTATTTTCTTCTGTTAGTTTTCCTTTCCTACTATTAGTTAACCTTTCCTACTGTTAGTTTTCCTCTCCTACTGTTAGTTTTTAATTCTTTCATGATGGTGTGCATTCGACTTCTTTTTATGCAGAGTACATTTACCAGTTGGTTTTACATGCGTGTGCTTGTATTGACGATTTGAATATACGAAATATTATCATGACTTAAAAAAAATTGTTCAACAATGGTAAAGATCAGACATATTTGATTGGTAAATAATTTAGCTTCATTTAATCACACAAATAAAGGGATTTATTTTTTTTCTTACAAGAAGAAATTCACTCAAAAGTGGTATTTCATATCCAACTTTTATGGCTATATCGTTAACAAAGCAAATACGGTTAGAATCTGTCCTTCGACATATTTCCGTTTTCAATAATATAATTACTGATAAAGGTAATAATTTTACCATTGATGTTTAATCTTGTAGGTATGTAACTAGACAAGACTGCTTCTTAAATCAGCAGATTAAGTATTTGCTTCTGGTAACTACGAGCATTCTTTTATTATGGTATTATTTCATAATGTTATACCTAACTTTCTAAAGAGGTGGTATATAGTGATAGAGGAGTCCGTTAGTCGAAGTCGAAGTCGACAACGTTGTTGTCAATGACGCCGATCTAATATTAGTTTTATTTTCACAATCTAAGGATTGGCTATTTTTATCCATCATAATTTATTACAATAAAGATATGAAAAACGATAAAAGTTTCCGTAACAAAGGATTGTTCTTTTAAGTACTGTTTCCTTTAGGTTAAAAACTTCGGAAAAAAGCTGATATGAATGAATGACAAAAGGAAGGAAACCACTGTTGCATTTAAATTGTTTTCTGTTTTCCTTTGGCATTTATCTTCACTTACAAAGGGTTAGTAATGTTACAATGCGGTGTTCTCTGTAAGGATGCTGAAAAGGCACCGCATAACCCTTGGCTAGGAAAGATATTTTAAAGCAATCTCGGAGTTCATTGTTATTAATAGTAAATAGAGCATATAAAATGTGTATGATAACACCATAATGACATTACATATAATTGAATAGTCTATATGCTACATCCGAATATGAGGTCAAATTCCTTGCAAAATACACTTCTATACATATTATTGAAAGCTTATGTTTCTGGAAAAGACGTTGCTAAGTTGAAACACTGCATGGTTTCTAATCCATTTGTCTTTTTGAACAATAATATATGTAAAAACTGTCATGTACCATAATATAAATGAAATATACATCATCAATGGTAAGAATGGAGCTTTAACAAATTAGGAAGGTCAGTAAGTGATATGATTAACTGGAGGTTAATGTATAATGTCACATGCACTTACATTCTCTCTCTGTTAAGGGGAAAATTGTAAAATGGGATGGAGAGGGACGGGGTGCTTCATACTTCAGTCTATTTTCAATGGGTATATAATTTCTTCAAACCACTGATGTTTGTATGGAATTTTGTATGTTCTAACCTTTACACATTACAAAAAAAAATTCCAGGAACCGATTGAAGTCATCGTTTTTTTTTTACAGGGAAATACCTATTTTTTTAGTCTACGATATTGACAATACTTCTTTTCTTTATACTGTTGTGAATCTCAATGACTCAATTCTATGTTCATGTTCAAACCAATGTAATCTACCTTAATAAGTTAATTTCGAGGAAATGAAAAGTTTCATTTACAAAATAGACACTTAAAACAACTGATTTATATTATTCATGGAAAGCGGTATGATTTTCAAATGCAATATTTCAAATTGTTTTCTCATCAAAATATGTTGAAATATTCGGAAATAACCAATTGGTATTAACTACATGTATGACACAAATAACCTTGTATTTTCAAACGATTTCCATGTGAAAAAAAGTATAACAGAAATACTGAACTCGAATGCGAATTCAAAAAGGGGAAATCCATGAAAACTGACAAAATCAAATGGTACCAATCACCGGAACAAGATAAAACAACTGCCATATTCCAGTTTTCAAAATTATATGCCATATTTTAATTCCTTGTTTAAATTAGTTCACCCGGTTGGAAGTTGGACTGTGCAGTTTTTATTATTTATATGACATGTATTTATGGTCAAAAAAGACAACGGAGATGTTTGCTCACATAAAACTGGTTTTACTTGCCAAGTTTTGTGCCAAGTCATGATCTGGATTATGTGTTGTTAGTTGTTGTTTGTCTTTGTTTGTGTGTCTATCCCATTGGAGAAGTAAGAGGTTTGTGGTTTTGGGTAATCTGTTGTACAGTATAGATCAGTATAGTATTGTTGGTGATTCCAATTATCCTTTTCATGTACTTTGTATTCATTATTACTCATGTGATTCCAATTTAAGTGGATTTCATATGTTCAACGAAGTACACATTTCTATAGCTTGAATGCATACTTTGGCAAATCCAAGAAATCAAATATCTACGAAAATAATCAAAGCATCGTCGGTGCTGCGATTCAACCATTTTTTAGCTATTGCAGGTAGACAGACATTTTTTCTGATCTCATTTTTAATTAAAAAAAATGTATACGTGCTCCTGTAAGACATTTAGAGACAACCATCACAACTTTGGTTAAGTGATTTTGGCCCAAAATGTTAATTTGTGTTCAAACCGAAAAGAAACCAATGGACAATCTAATATCATGTGTTAAAAAAAAAACAGACAACACAAGGATCATCTTCGCTAGCCAAGGGTTACGATCCACTTCCCTCCTCTCCACCCTTAGCAGATTAAGCCAACATTTGTGATAACAATGTTGCGCCATCTATGGGTAGATTAAAGTCACGCCCATTCCTAATACATTATTCTTGACCAATGGTAGCACTCGAACTCTTCAATTTGGAGGTAAAACACGGTAGCGTCTAGATTCTACACACTTGGTAAAGCAGGAAACGAAAATATACGTTGACATTAATGCATTTGTGCAAGAAACATACACAGGAACTTCTATTAGTTGATTAAAAACATTCAAATTGTCACCAAATATAGTCGTATGTTAAGGGATGTAAAGACTTGTTGCACAATAAGCACGTGGCAATTGTTTACATACACTTTCTACATTTACACGTGATTATGTTATAGGCGCTTTTTGAGTTTCGACTGCAACCAATGAAAATCATTACCTTGTGTCTCCGAAATTCTATCTCAATCCGCCAAAGGTGGAGAGGAGGGAAGTGGATCGTAACCATTGGCTAGCGAAGATGCACAAGGATTGAATATAGCACTTTATCATTTTCATTACTATTTCACTAAAACATTACCAGTGTTATTTTTCTTTTTTAAACATAGGTATGCAATTTTTCTACCTGATCTGATGATCATTTATTGATTTTTTATAAACATTTTGACACTGAAGATGAATAGTTTTATTTCATTTCCATAATCTTACTAAAAAAATTGTGTTCAATTGTCCAAAGATGGAGAATTTCTCAATTTTCATACAAATTCTTTTGATATTTCAATTTTTAGAAGATGCTCTGATTTCCAATATCTTCTTTTTATTCAATTAAATAATGTTTGCAACCATGTTTGCATGATTGCAAATAGAAATCTTCAAAGGAAGGTGTAGTATATTTTTTTATTGAAGTTTGACTTAATAATTTCAGATAAGAGGCATTGAAAATGCACTTTAACAACAACAAAAATTATATAAAAACATTTTTTTATTTTAATTGGTGTTCATTCTTCATTGAGAAAAATAATTTCCTGTATTCAAATATACATGTACAAATACATTATACTGTTAAATAGCAATATTAACAAATAAATTTTATATAGATATAAGAAGATGTGGTATGAGTGCCAATGAGACAACTCTCCATCCAAGTCAAAATTTATAAAAATAAACCATTATAGGTCACAGTACGGTCTTCAACACGGATATGTATACACTGTATTTAAAAGAATGTTGATGTTATTACTGATAATAATTGATTACTTTTTACTGAGCTTTTTCCCAGGAGATTCAGTAACTAATAACAGGGATACTTGGGCTAACGCTGTGATCCGAGTAAATTGTTAAAACAGCAGATATGTAATAAAAGATATTTACTTTAAAAAAAAAAAAAAAAACAAAAACAAAAATCTTATTGCAGAAAATCTCCAGATTAGAGTTATGCAATTTTTTTTATTGTTTCAATCTAAATAGTGATAATTGAAACTTAAATTTGAATTCTATGCGTCAGACAAGTGAGAGGTTTGGCTAGCTATAGGGCCAGGTTCATATTACCGTTTTCTACGTAGGGAAATGCCTGTGCCAAGTCGGGAATATGACGGTTGTTTTCCATTCATTTGATGTGTTTGGGCTTTTGATTTTGCCATTTGATCGAGGACTTTCCGTTTTGAATTTTCCTTGGAGTTCGGTATTTTTGCTATTTTACTGTTTTTCTTTTACATAAAAAAAACCCGATTTTCAGGTTCTTACTCTACCTTGAAGATAATATGGCTAAACTTTATAAAAGCCTAACAAAGTATGATTCATCCATTCAACAAAATACGACTTGATACCAAAACCTGTATTTGTTTAGATTTATCTAAATATACCAAATTGGCAATGAAATCGCCACTGAAGTTTGTCTTTTTTTAATTATCTAAAGTTAAAAGTGGTCGTAGTTATTTTGTTAGACTTTGATATTATAATTTCTTATGGTTATCTTCACACAAAAATGTATTACAAAAGAGGTGGACTTTCCCTTTCCTTCTCTTAGTTTTCCTTTGCTCTTGTTAGATTACCTTACCTACTGTTAGTTTTGCTTTCCTACTGTTACTTTCCATTCTACTGTTAGTTACTACTGTTAGTTTTCCTCTCCTACTGTTAGTTTTATTTTCTTTTATTAGTTGTCCTTTCTTATTGTTAGTTTATTTTCTTCTGTTAGTTTTCCTTTCCTACTGTTTGTTTACCTTTCCTACTTTTAGTTTTACTTTCCTACTATTAGTTTACCTTTCCTACTGTTAGTTTTCCTCTCCTACTGTTAGTTTTTAATTCTTTCATGATGGTGTGCATTCGACTTCTTTTTATGCAGAGTACATTTACCAGTTGGTTTTACATGCGTGTGCTTGTATTGACGATTTGAATATACGAAATATTATCATGACTTAAAAAAAATTGTTCAACAATGGTAAAGATCAGACATATTTGATTGGTAAATAATTTAGCTTCATTTAATCACACAAATAAAGGGATTTATTTATTTTCTTACAAGAAGAAATTAACTCAAAAGTGGTATTTCATATCCAACTTTTATGGCTATATCGTTAACAAAGCAAATACGGTTAGAATCTGTCCTTCGACATATTTCCGTTTTCAATAATATAATTACTGATAAAGGTAATAATTTTACCATTGATGTTTAATCTTGTAGGTATGTAACTAGACAAGACTGCTTCTTAAATCAGCAGATTAAGTATTTGCTTCTGGTAACTACGAGCATTCTTTTATTATGGTATTATTTTAAATGTTATACCTAACTTTCTAAAGAGGTGGTATATAGTGATAGAGGAGTCCGTTAGTCCGTTTGTCCATCTGTCCCACTTTGTTATCCGCAATTACTCCTGAACTGCTTGGCATACTAATTTGAAACTTTCATAGATTCCCAAGCAACGCTTAATAGTCCCGTTACTTCAATTCTAATGCAAAACTTGTACAATTTTCAAAATTAAATATTAAAATTATTCGAAGTCGAAGTCGAAGTCGACAACGTTGTTGTCAATGACGCCGATCTAATATTAGTTTTATTTTCACAATCTAAGGATTGGCTATTTTTATCCATCATAATTATTACAATAAAGATATGAAAAACGATAAAAGTTTCCGTAACAAAGGATTGTTCTTTTAAATACTGTTTCCTTTAGGTTAAAAACTTCGGAAAAAAGCTGATATGAATGAATGACAAAAGGAAGGAAACCACTGTTGCATTTAAATTATTTTCTGTTTTCCTTTGGCATTTATCTTCACTTACAAAGGGTTAGTAATGTTACAATGCGGTGTTCTCTGTAAGGATGCTGAAAAGGCACCGCATAACCCTTGGCTAGGAAAGATATTTTAAAGCAATCTCGGAGTTCATTGTTATTAATAGTAAATAGAGCATATAAAATGTGTATGATAACACCATAATGACATTACATATAATTGAATAGTCTATATGCTACATCCGAATATGAGGTCAAATTCCTTGCAAAATACACTTCTATACATATTATTGAAAGCTTATGTTTCTGGAAAAGACGTTGCTAAGTTGAAACACTGGTTTCTAATCCATTTGTCTTTTTGAACAATAAAATATGTAAAAACTGTCATGTACCATAATATAAATGAAATATACATCATCAATGGTAAGAATGTAGCTTTAACAAATTAGGAAGGTCAGTAAGTGATATGATTAACTGGAGGTTGATGTAAAATATCACATGCACTTACATTCTCTCTCTGTTAAGGGGAAAATTGTAAAATGGGATGGAGAGGGACGGGGTGCTTCATACTTCAGTCTATTTTCAATGGGTATATGATTTCTTCAAACCACTGATGTTTGTAGGGAATTTGATATGTTCTAACCTTTACACATTACAAAAAAAAAATTCCAGGAACCAATTGAAGTCATCGTTTTTTTTTTTTTTACAGAGAAATACCTATTTCTTATTCTACGATATTGACAATACTTCTTTTCTTTATACTGTTGTGAATCTCAATGACTCAACTCCATGTTCATGTTGAAACCAATGTAATCTACCTTAATAAGTTAATTTCGAGGAAATGAAAAGTTTCATTTACAAAATAGACACTTAAAACAACAGATTTATATTATTCATGGAAAGCGGTATGATTTTCAAATGCAATATTTCAAATTGTTTTCTCATCAAAATATGTTGAAATATTCGGAAATAACCAATTGGTATTAACTTCATGTATGACACAAATAACCTTGTATTTTCAAACGATTTCCATGTGAAAAAAAGTATAACAGAAATACTGAACTCGAATGCGAATTCAAAAAGGGGAAATCCATGAAAACTGACAAAATCGAATGGTACCAATCACCGGAACAAGATAAAAACAACTGCCATATTCCAGTTTTCAAAATTATATGCCATATTTTAATTCCTTGTTTAAATTAGTTCACCCGGTTGGAAGTTGGACTGTGCAGTTTTTATTATTTATATGACATGTATTTATGGTAAAAAAAGACAACGGGGATGTTTGCTCACATAAAACTGGTTTTACTTGCCAAGTTTTTGTGCCAAGTCAGGATCTGGAATATGTGTTGTTAGTTGTTGTTTGTCTTTGTTTGTGTGTCTATCCCATTGGAGAAGTAAGAGGTTTGTGGTTTTGGGTAATCTGTTGTACAGCATAGATCAGTATAGTATTGTTGGTGATTCCAATTATCCTTTTCATGTACTTTGTATTCATTATTACTCATGTGATTCCAATTTAAGTGGATTTCATATGTTCCACGAAGTACAAATTTCTATAGCTTGAATGCATACTTTGGCAAATCCAAGAAATCAAATATCTACGAAAATAATCAAAGCATCGTCGGTGCTGCGATTCAACCATTTTTTAGCTATTGCAGGTAGACAGACATTTTTTCTGATCTCGTTTTTAATTAAAAAAAAATGTATACGTGCTCCTGTAAGACATTTAGAGACAACCATCACAACTTTGGTTAAGTGATTTTGGCCCAAAATGTTAATTTGTGTTCAAACCGAAAAGAAACCAATGGACAATCTAATATCATGTGTTTAAAAAAAAACAGACAACACAAGGATCATCTTCGCTAGCCAAAGGTTACGATCCACTTCCCTCCTCTCCACCCTTGGCAGATTAAGCCAACATTTGTGATAACAATGTTGCGCCATCTATGGGTAGATTAAAGTCACGCCCATTCCTAATACATTATTCTTGACCAATGGTAGCACTCGAACTCTTCAATTTGGAGGTAAAACACGGTAGCGTCTAGATTCTACACACTTGGTAAAGCAGGAAACGAAAATATACGTTGACATTAATGCATTTGTGCAAGAAACATACACATGAACTTCTATTAGTTGATTAAAAACATTCAAATTGTCACTAAATATAGTCGTATGTTAAGGGATGTAAAGACTTGTTGCACAATAAGCACGTGGCAATTGTTTACATACACTTTCTACATTTACACGTGATTATGTTATAGGCTCTTTTTGAGTTTCGACTGCAACCAATGAAAATCATTACCTTGTGTCTCCGAAATTCTATCTCAATCCGCCAAGGGTGGAGAGGAGGGAAGTGGATCGTAACCATTGGCTAGCGAAGATGAACAAGGATTGAATATAGCACTTTATCATTTTCATTACTATTTCACTAAAACATTACCAGCGTTATTTTTCTTTTTTAAACATAGGTATGCAATTTTTCTACCTGATCTGATGATCATTTATTGATTTTTTATAAAAATTTTGACACTGAAGATGAATAGTTTTATTTCATTTCCATAATCTTACTAAAAAAATTGTGTTCAATTGTCCAAAGATGGAGAATTTCTCAATTTTCATACAAATTCTTTTGATATTTCAATTTTTAGAAGATGTTCTGATTTCCAATATCTTCTTTTTATTCAATTAAATAATGTTTGCAATCATGTTTGCATGATTGCAAATAGAAATCTTCAAAGGAAGGTGTAGTATATTTTTTTATTGAAGTTTGACTTAATAATTTCAGAAAAGAGGCATTGAAAATGCACTTTAACAACAACAAAAATTATATAACAACAATTTTTTATTTTAATTGGTGTTCATTCTTCATTGAGAAAAATAATTTCCTGTATTCAAATATACATGTACAAATACATTACACTGTTAAATAGCAATATTAACAAATAAATTTTATATAGATATAAGAAGATGTGGTATGAGTGCCAATGAGACAACTCTCCATCCAAGTCAAAATTTATAAAAATAAACCATTATAGGTCACAGTACGGTCTTCAACACGGATATGTATACACTGTATTTAAAAGAATGTTGATGTTATTACTGATAATAATTGATTACTTTTTACTGAGCTTTTTCCCAGGAGATTCAGTAACTAATAACAGGGATACTTGTGCTAACGCTGTGATCCGAGTAAATTGTTAAAACAGCAGATATGTAATAAAAGATATTTACTTTCAAAAAAAAAAACCAAATAAAAAAAAAAATCTTATTGCAGAAATCTTCAGATTAGAGTTATGCAAATTTTTTTATTGTTTCAATCTAAATAGTGATAATTGAAACTTAAATTTGAATTCTATGCGTCAGACTAGTGAGAGGTTTGGCTAACTATAGGGCCAGGTTCATATTACCGTTTTCTACGTAGGGAAATGCCTGTGCCAAGTCGGGAATATGACGGTTGTTTTCCATTCATTTGATGTGTTTGGGCTTTTGATTTTGCCATTTGATAGAGGAGTCCGTTAGTCCGTTTGTCCATCTGTCCCACTTTGTTATCCGCAATTACTCCTGAACTGCTTGGCATACTAATTTGAAACTTTCATAGATTCCTAAGCAACGCTTAATAGTCCCGTTACTTCAATTCTAATGCAAAACTTGTACAATTTTCAAAATTAAATATTTAAATTATTCGAAGTCGAAGTCGAAGTCGACAACGTTGTTGTCAATGACGCCGATCTAATATTAGTTTTATTTTCACAATCTAAGGATTGGCTATTTTTATCCATCATAATTTATTGCAATAAAGATATGAAAAACGATAAAAGTTTCCGTAACAAAGGATTGTTCTTTTAAGTACTGTTTCCTTTAGGTTAAAAACTTCGGAAAAAAGCTGATATGAATGAATGACAAAAGGAAGGAAACCACTGTTGCATTTAAATTGTTTTCTGTTTTCCTTTGGCATTTATCTTCACTTACAAAGGGTTAGTAATGTTACAATGCGGTGTTCTCTGTAAGGATGCTGAAAAGGCACCGCATAACCCTTGGCTAGGAAACATACTTTAAAGCAATCTCGGAGTTCATTGTTATTAATAGTAAATAGAGCATATAAAATGTGTATGATAACACCATAATGACATTACATATAATTGAATAGTCTATATGCTACATCCGAATATGAGGTCAAATTCCTTGCAAAATACACTTCTATACATATTATTGAAAGCTTATGTTTCTGGAAAAGACGTTGCTAAGTTAAAACACTGGTTTCTAATCCATTTGTCTTTTTGAACAATTAAATATGTAAAAACTGTCATGTACCATAATATAAATGAAATATACATCATCAATGGTAAGAATGTAGCTTTAACAAATTAGGAAGGTCAGTTAGTGATATGATTAACTGGAGGTTAATGTAAAATGTCACATGCACTTACATTCTCTCTCTGTTAAGGGGAAAATTGTAAAATGGGATGGAGAGGGACGGGGTGCTTCATACTTCAGTCGATTTTCAATGGGTATATAATTTCTTCAAACCACTGATGTTTGTATGGAATTTTGTATGTTCTAACCTTTACACATTACAAAAAAAAATTCCAGGAACCGATTGAAGTCATCGTTTTTACAGGGAAATACCTATTTCTTATTCTACGATATTGACAATACTTCTTTTCTTTATACTGTTGTGAATCTCAATGACTCAACTCCATGTTCATGTTGAAACCAATGTGATCTACCTTAATAAGTTAATTTCGAGGAAATGAAAAGTTTCATTTACAAAATAGACACTTAAAACAACAGATTTATATTATTCATGGAAAGCGGTATGATTTTCAAATGCAATATTTCAAATTGTTTTCTCATCAAAATATGTTGAAATATTCGGAAATAACCAATTGGTATTAACTACATGTATGACACAAATAACCTTGTATTTTCAAACGATTTCCATGTGAAAAAAAGTATAACAGAAATACTGAACTCGAATGCGAATTCAAAAAGGGGAAATCCATGAAAACTGACAAAATCAAATGGTACCAATCACCGGAACAAGAGAAAAACAACTGCCATATTCCAGTTTTCAAAATTATATGCCATATTTTAATTCCTTGTTTAAATTAGTTCACCCGGTTGGAAGTTGGACTGTGCAGTTTTTATTATTTATATGACATGTATTTATGGTCAAAAAAGACAACAGGGATGTTTGCTCTCATAAAACTGGTTTTACTTGCCAAGTTTTTGTGCCAAGTCAGGATCTGGATTATGTGTTGTTAGTTGTTGTTTGTCTTTGTTTGTGTGTCTATCCCATTGGAAAAGTAAGAGGTTTGTGGTTTTGGGTAATCTGTTGTACAGTATAGATCAGTATAGTATTGTTGGTGATTCCAATTATCCTTTTCATGTACTTTGTATTTATTAATACTCATGTGATTCCAATTCAAGTGGATTTCATATGTTCCACGAAGTACAAATTTCTATAGCTTGAATGCATACTTTGGCAAATCCAAGAAATCAAATATCTACGAAAATAATCAAAGCATCGTCGGTGCTGCGATTCAACCATTTTTTAGCTATTGCAGGTAGACAGACATTTTTTCTGATCTCATTTTTAATAAAAAAAAAATGTATACGTGCTCCTGTAAGACATTTAGAGACAACCATCACAACTTTGGTAAAGTGATTTTGGCAAAAAATGTTAATTTGTGTTCAAACCGAAAAGAAACCAATGGACAATCTAATATCATGTGTTTAAAAAAAAAAAAAAGACAACACAAGGATCATATTCGCTAGCCAAGGGTTACGATCCACTTCCCTCCTCTCCACCCTTGGCAGATTAAGCCAACATTTGTGATAACAATGTTGCGCCATCTATGGGTAGATTAAAGTCACGCCCATTCCTAATACATTATTCTTGACCAATGGTAGCACTCGAACTCTTCAATTTGGAGGTAAAACACGGTAGCGTCTAGATTCTACACACTTAGTAAAGCAGGAAACGAAAATATACGTTGACATTAATGCATTTGTGCAAGAAACATACACAGGAACTTCTAATAGTTGATTAAAAACATTCAAATTGTCACTAAATATAGTCGTATGTTAAAAGATGTAAAGACTTGTTGCACAATAAGCACGTGGCAATTGTTTACATACACTTTCTACATTTACACGTGATTATGTTATAGGCGCTTTTTGAGTTTCGACTGCAACCAATGAAAATCATTACCTTGTGTCTCCGAAATTCTATCTCAATCCGCCAAGGGTGGAGAGGAGGGAAGTGGATCGTAACCATTGGCTAGCGAAGATGCACAAGGATTGAATATAGCACTTTATCATTTTCATTACTATTTCACTAAAACATTACCAGTGTTATTTTTCTTTTTTAAACATAGGTATGCAATTTTTCTACCTGATCTGATGATCATTTATTGATTTTTTATAAAAACTTTGACACTGAAGATGAATAGTTTTATTTCATTTCCATAATCTTACTAAAAAAATTGTGTTCAATTGTCCAAAGATGGAGAATTTCTCAATTTTCATACAAATTCTTTTGATATTTCAATTTTTAGAAGATGTTCTGATTTCCAATATCTTCTTTTTATTCAATTAAATAATGTTTGCAATCATGTTTGCATGATTGCAAATAGAAATCTTCAAAGGAAGGTGTAGTATATTTTTTTTATTGAAGTTTGACTTAATAATTTCAGAAAAGAGGCATTGAAAATGCACTTTAACAACAACAAAAATTATATACCAACAATTTTTTATTTTAATTGGTGTTCATTCTTCATTGAGAAAAATAATTTCCTGTATTCAAATATACATGTACAAATACATTACACTGTTAAATAGCAATATTAACAAATAAATTTTATATAGATATAAGAAGATGTGGTATGAGTGCCAATGAGACAACTCTCCATCCAAGTCAAAATTTATAAAAGTAAACCATTATAGGTCACAGTACGGTCTTCAACACGGATATGTATACACTGTATTTAAAAGAATGTTGATGTTATTACTGATAATAATTGATTACTTTTTACTGAGCTTTTTCCCAGGAGATTCAGTAACTAATAACAGGGATACTTGTGCTAACGCTGTGATCCGAGTAAATTGTTAAAACAGCAGATATGTAATAAAAGATATTTACTTTCCAAAAAAAAAACAAACAAAAAAAAAATCTTATTGCAGAAAATCTCCAGATTAGAGTTATGCAATTTTTTTTATTGTTTCAATCTAAATAGTGATAATTGAAACTTAAATTAACCAAAAATTTTGACTAATATCAGATGATTTTTAACACTAATTTTTCAAGTAAAATAGATCCTGCTTGCACTTTTTCGTACATATTTTTTTTTCTTTTCCTTTCAAAAAATGCATCTTTTTTATCGTTAATTATTCATCTCTGAGAGATAATTCACTGAATAATTTTATGTAGTGTAGATCAAAAGTGATTATAGGTATACTATTGAGGTCAATATTATTGTGTAATAAAAGAGATATCAAAACTGATCAATTAAGATTGACATTAAAGTGGAGGGTATTCCAATTAATACTCCACCTTTGAGTGAAATATTTGTAAGCAATGACAGTTGTCAATTAGTTCTCTTATTTGCCTAAGAAAAGAATTAAAATAATAGCATTTCAAAAAAGTGTGAGAATCAACTTTGATATCAATACACATCTTGTACCACATGTTGTTCAATTACTTACACAAGTCTTAGATACTGATAAAATACTTTCAAAATTCTCATCAACTGCTCAAATTTGATATATTACATTTTCACATTACTAGTAATTCAAAATAAATAGTAATCTATTATAAATTTTGATGTATAAAGGAACTATATGCAAGTGTATATCTAAGATACAGGAGCTATTCGACCAATCTTTTCTTGATTTAAGGGCAAATAACATGTCAAAAGTTGGCAATAGTTAACTAAAATTGTGTATAAAGTTTCTGCAAGTCATAAAAACACATAATTAGTTTCATGATATGTCTTCAACTTCTAATTCTGCACCATCTCCAAATCCGGAGTGATCACATAGATCCAGCATGGCTGAATCGAAATATTCCTCAAACCATGAAAATAAATGAATCCACAGTATTACATAGGATGAGGGTTGGTAATTTTGTTTGTCCCTTATAAGTCTGTTCATTTAACATTATGTTTATAAAATGCAGTGATTTATCAGATAGATTATCATTACTAAGAAGTGTGGTTCTTAAGTGTTTCTTGTTTTTTATATAGATTAGACCGTTGGTTTTCCTGTTTGAATTGTTATACATTATTCATTTTCGAGCCCTTTATAGCTTGCTGTTCGGTGTGAGCCAAGGCTCCGTGTTGGAGGCCGTACTTTGACCTATAATTGTTTACTTTTTACACATTGTGACTTGGATGGAAGGTTGTCTCATTGGTACTCATACCACATCTTCTTATTTCTACTTACCATTTTCAAAAAAGATTATGCTTAAACATAAACAACTTAAAACAATGAATAGTCTCTCCCAATATTTCGTTAAACTGTTTTGATTGGTTGGTGATTAACTTTTTTCTCATTCATTCTCATTGTAATTCATAAATCATTTATTTTTTTGGATTTTTATTATCATTATCAAATGAGTATTGCACATAACATAATAGATTATAACAAAACAATCATAACAAAAACATTACCGTATTAATACAAACATTATATTCATTATATTTGGCTCAGCCTACAGCAAAAAAGTACGCAATTCTTCTTCCAAGTCAGTGAATCCTTCATCTATACAAAAATGTATGGTTAATTTTTGTAAGGAGTAATTTTCATTATTATTTTGGTTAATTTTTGTAAGGAGTAATTTTCATTATTATTTTTAAGTTTAAATCAAACCTTGCTATTTAATTAAATTATTAAAAACAAATATTCCATATTTCACAACTGAATGCAATGTAACTGAAACAATATTTTTTTTTTTAAATATTTGAAATGAATGAAGAAGAAGAATGTTTAAAAGGACAAATAAAAAGTAGATAATGCCAATGCAATTAATTTTTTCCTCTGATACACAAATTGATATGGCTTCAACTAAGGAAAGCTCCATAGGAGCTATTGTGTTTATAGACCTTTAATGTCATTTTTCTCTCTTTTACTCATAAAAGTGCAATTGGCTTTTTGAGCCTTTATTTTCAGACATTATTATCAGTATTTGAAGATTAAACTTCTGAGAGTTGTAAAATATTGTATTCAACATGATGCTGTGATATTTTTTCCTATTGATTTCTACATGATAACTGATTAATCATTGTTATCTCTTTCTAGAAACCCATTAACATGTGTTCTTTATGTGTTGTCAGCATGTTAAGTCACCTTTTATCATGATGTCCAAATGGGAAAAATCAAACAATACCAAAAAAATTTGTGGATCAATTCAGCAAAATTTCAAATGACAAATGGCTGAAAACACTAAAACCAGACATTGTTTAGCAATAAATAAATAAAATTGCATCAAAATGTACAAATCAGTACAGAATTGAAATTAAATTGAATTGAACTGTTTATCCACTGTTTTTTTTCAATCATTTGTAAATGTTTTACTTATTTCCAGCTAAAAAGAGGATGGTTATCCTGTTTTAATTTAATTCCAGCTAGAATGGGACTGGTCTTCTTCCTCTTCATCAATGAATGGTTTATCTACACATCTGAAAGGATAAATCATTGCTAGGATAAGAAATATTAATAAAATCATGTTTCCTTTGACATTATTATTATGGTTAATAAAACATGTCAGCATGTTTTTCTTATGATTTTTTTCTCAGTATATTTTGGATAAACTATGTTATGTGCATCCCTTTCAAATAATTTATTTGTCTACACTGTCTTTGTGACTGTGTACTGTGGATTCATCATTGATACCAGATTTTGTGGGATTTTGTAAGTATAGGTGAACCACGACTTTAAATGTCCAAACAAACTGGGAATTTACTGCAGGCTTATATGTAGATTTTTACAAAACCACTAAATCAAAATATCCACGGAAATACAGCTTTTCCTCAATCCATGAAAATTAATGAATCCACAGTAATAGAATTGTTCGAGTATCAACTTGATGTCAACCATAATAATGTATCTTTTTTTCCAAAACATTACTTGCATAAAAGCCTTAAAATCTTTTTTTTTTAAGAAATTTATATTCACTAAAATACAGCTTTTCCTCAATCAAGGAAAATTAATGAATCCACAGACAGTAACAGAATTGTTTGAGTATCAACTCTTAATAATGTAATTTTTTTTTACAATCTATATCAGTGTTTTTGTTTGATTTCCTTTTGCAACTTCAAATCCATTAGTCACACTAAACATATAAATGGACTGAGGTTTGCTTATGAAGTTTTTTGTTCCCAATGGTTAAAAGTGCATTTAAAATTCAATTTACAATACAACATAAGGATTTTTTTTAATTTGTAATATGGACGGATGAGTTCATGTTTAACACTGGGACCATGTCCAGAAAATTGAATTGATACCATGATGATAACAAATTTGAAAATGAACGCTTCCTTGTTAAAGACAGACAAACCAAGCCAGATTTTTATAATTCTACCTTAGAAGATAACAGTCCATAAGAGAGCATGTCACCTCAAAGGATCAACCTTACAAGGTAACAGTCCATAAGAGAGCATGTCACCTCAAAGGATCAACCTTACAAGGTAACAGTCCATAAGAGAGCATGTCACCTCAAAAGGATCAACCTTACAAGGTAACAGTCCATAAGAGAGCATGTCACCTCAAAGGATCAACCTTACAAAGTAACAGTCCATAAGAGAGCATGTCACCACAAAGGATCAACCTTACAAGGTAACAGTCCATAAGAGAGCATGTCACCACAAAGGATCAACCTTACAAGGTAACAGTCCATAAGAGAGCATGTCACCTCAAAGGATCAACCTTACAAGGTAACAGTCCATAAGAGAGCATGTCACCACAAAGGATCAACCTTACAAGGTAACAGTCCATAAGAGAGCATGTCACCTCAAAGGATCAACCTTACAAGGTAACAGTCCATAAGAGAGCATGTCACCTCAAAGGATCAACCTTACAAGGTAACAGTCCATAAGAGAGCATGTCACCTCAAAGGATCAACCTTACAAGGTAACAGTCCATAAGAGAGCATGTCACCTCAAAGGATCAACCTTACAAGGTAACAGTCCATAAGAGAGCATGTCACCACAAACCATCAAATGGACACAATAATGTGGATCTTTGTACAAGCCATCAAAATTATTATTCCTATACCTATGTGTTCAAAGTTTTAGCTGTACAGACTAAAGCCTGAGAGAAGTGTCTGGTTTTTTTTTATTACATTTCAGCAAAGTATAAAACATTCTGTCAAAAGACACTGCAAAAAACAGCCATTTAATTGGTTCTAGTGAACTAGAAATTGGGGATGACTTGGTAATGTTAAGAACTCCAGGGCTTGCGGTCATAAAAGTTTTGAGCACGATTATCGTACTCAGACTCAGAAATCAACCAATCAAAATACTGGATTTAGTGTTTCAAGCACAAATATTGTACTCCGAGTACTGAGTACAGTTTTATGACCGAGGACCCTGAACTTAGTTTTAAATTAGTTTTGTCCATTCACTACCTGTTTCTATATCTAGCAAATTCATTCCATTCTTTTTTCTTAAAAAGACTTGTCTTCTATCTCAAAGTCTAAATTATATTGGTAATTTAGGATTATTGTATCATAAACTCATCATAGATACCAGGATAAAAATTTTGTACACCAGATGTGCATTTCGTCTAAGTGACGCTCAAATGAAAACAGTTAAAATGTCCTTGGTTAAAATATTACATTGTACAAGCCTTCAATTGCAAGTAATATTCTACCAGGGATAATATTCTTATTTATAGTATGGACAAATTTTAAATGACAAAAGATAATTTTTGGTCATGTTCATTGGAAATTGCTATACAATATACTAATGTATACCTTATCATAAAATCACCACAATAAAGACATTCTGATGCTACAAGATCATCTAATTCTGCCTGAAAGTACAAAAAAAAACAAATTTCAAACATTTGATTCATAACTAACTATCGTATAAGTATTGCAAAGTGCCTGAGCTAGACCTAAAGGCTAGTCAAGGTTGTTGAACACCCTCATAGTAGTCAATGTGCAAAATATTCCATGTTTATTTCCTGTAAATATTCAATGTCAAGCTCTTCGTTGGTGGTGAAAAATCATACCAATATATCTTGAATATCTTTCCAAAGAGTTTAAAATAAAAACAACAGAAAGAAGTTGTGCCGTTTGATCTTTTGACAAATATATGAATCAAATTTGTAACATTGTCCTCTGAGCTTGACATGAAAAGCTTAAATATGAAACACTAAATGGTTTAGAACACTCAGGAGAAGTATCATACAATATCAATGACAATGATCATGGATTTCAAAACTTGTACACCAGAAACAACTGAAATATTCTTGGGTATAAAAACTAATTTATCCAAGCAGTTGAAAAGATTTAGGCCTCACAAGATTTATGACAGATGAATACTTGGATGGAATGGTTTCAACCACCTGATTTCTACATAGTTCCATTTAGTAGTTTTCCAGACTCTAACAATGATAAGTCTTCAAATAATATATAGATATAAGAAGATGTGGTATGAGTGCCAATGAGACAACTCTCCATCCAAGTCACAATTTGTAAAAGTAAAGCATTATAGGTCAAAGTACGGTCTTCAACACGAAGCCTCTGCTCACATCAAACAGCAAGCTATAAAGGGCCCCAAAAATGACTAGTGTAAAACCATTTAAACAGGAAAACCAACGGTCAATCTATATAAAAAAACGGGAAACGAGAAACACTTATGAACCATATCAACAAACGACAACCACTGAACATCAGGCTCAATACATGTATTAAGATCCCATTTGTAACAACACCATCTATCACTAAAAGGGGAAAAAATCAACAAAATAATACACATTATAATATTTATATTTAATTGGTACTAATTTTCCTTGAATTATCCTTCAAAATATAAACTGTTTTTGCCACAATAAATCAATTTATAACACTGAGATCAAGAAAACAAAAGATCCATACATGTTTCCAATGTTTGTGTTTGGAAGGTTATGCATTTGATGGCTGTTCATTTCAGAATATACCTTATCTGCGACAACTGACATAAGAATTTGTGAACTTGAGCTATTGACATCATACAACAATCACTTGTCCTTTCAGGTGTCAGGTATTTTCTATTGTGATGTAAAATTTTACAGGAACCTTTGTGATGTCCAGTTATGTCGAACAATAGCAATAAGGTGAATACAAATATAAACAATATACCCTCAATGTGGTAGCACTCTTACCTTTATATTTAAATGTTTAGGAATGTTTAATGTGATGTCCAGTTATGGTGGACAATAGCAAGAAGGTGAATTCAAATATATACAATATCCCCTCAATGTGGTAGCACTCGTACCTTTATATCTAAATGTTTAGGAATGTTTAGCGACGATAAATCATTTGATTGTTGTTGTTGTAATTTACTGCTTTCATGTTCTGCAAGTTTCCTTTGTAAATCTACCACACGGTTTTTCTTTGTAGTTGTTAAATTTGGTATCACCTGAAAAAAGTAATCCAATATCATTTCATGTTATAGTGAATTATAGTGTTTGTTCAAGCTATGAGATAAGTAACAGGGGTTAAAATTGTTTAGTACAACTGTACTTTTCTGCCACCTCCCATTGTTTTATGCCCCCTTTTTTTGTTGAAAATCCTGGATCTGCCAGTGACTATGTCAGTGACTGGTACCCTGTAACAACTGACATTGCTGTCCAAATATTAACTTTTATTTGACGAGTTTTTAATCGTGATCAGCATAACTGAGTAAACTAACATACACCACATATCACCTTTATTCACATTCCTTTCCTGAATATCTTAAACTAGTTACCATGCCATACTTGTAAAATTTGAATTACATATCTTTTAAAATCATTCAATCAAATTGTCTTTTGATTGGGAGTTTTATTCTTTTTTATTCCCCCATCATATTCACTTTAGCTCTCATCCTAATATTTTGCTCAATAATGACAGATGTTTTAATTTCAGCCCAACTTAATTTTCATCTCCATTTATATAGTGCAGACTGCTCTTTAAATGTACAAACTAAATAAATAACCTACTTCTTCTATCAAACAGTCTGAATGGAATTTATGTTGGCATGGAAATAAGTAGAACCCTCGGGTCATCAATGGATAATTACAAGCTGCACATTTATCATTCGCCTTCACTGTTGAATATCTGAAATATAAAAGATATAAAATTTCCCCATTAACTTAACTGTATATATATATATATATATGTAATATTAAAATAGATACCAAATTCAACTTAGGCCTCACTGTGACTTTAAGATGTAGAACAGCAATAAAAGCACTGTTCCTTTGCTTTTGCATTTTTTGCTATGCATGTACTGATTTTGTGTCGTGGATGGATACCCCATATCCTTTTTTTTTCTATTATTGGAATTTACTATAGTGTTGTACCAAGCATTGGAACAAGGCAATGTAACTCTTTAAATTAGTTTTTTAGTGTTCATAATGTTCAGGTCAGATCATGAACCTTTAACATATTAATTTGCATGGCAATACCTAAAACTTTTAAAATATTAAATTCTTTTGATGAGCAATAAATATATATAACAGTGAATTTTATTTCCAATTTATGCCAAGCAAAAATACCAAGCGATCCTTGAACACAGAAGAGGTGTTGTAATAATTCAGACAATAAAATGCATTTCATTTACTGTAAATTCAGAGATTATTGTGTGCATTTATTATTGCGATTTTCGAAGAATAGACAAAAATGGGAGATTAATTATTGCAATTTCTGGAAAATCTGCATACAGATATATGTATCAGATATCAGAATGAGAGTTTATATTATTGCGATAGCCACCAAGTCCCATTATATGCATTAATAAAAATCTCCCAATAATTTCTGAATTTACAGTATCACTATTTTTTAACCCAAGCAACTTTTGTTGTGTATTTTCATTGTATATAAAATATATCTCAATTTTATTCTCATCTACACCAACAGGAAAACCTTTGAGTCAATGAAAACTGATAAAATTTTACTTATTATCATTTTGATGTCTTAAAAACATATGAATTTACATTATTTTTATTTACTTTACTGACAGGCATGTTGTTTGGTGGTTCGGATAATTTTAAAGAGTTGATAAATATATTGCAAAATACACTCATTTGGAAATTTTTTGCTTCTTTTTTTTGATGCTCATTACTCATCTTTGGTTGTAGACTTAGAAGATATAGTACAAATCTGTGAAGACGTTTATCATAGCTGTGGCAAAAAAAAATTTAATGTAAAATGAAATAACCTTTTTTTATAATAGTTTCAATATTTCAGGATATATGGCTACTGTTCATCTTGATCATTCATAACATTCAAATCACATAGAATAATTGATATTTAATTAAGGCAGACAGGCTTCACCTACAGAGGTGTGTAATTTTAGTAATTTGATTAAAAAAAATTAATCATACATTTAACTGTTATTAAAACTGGACTAAAAAAACATTAAACATACTTATTTCTAAAACTTTGTATTTCTTTACGGATTTCTTCTGCACTTCCTGTAGCTTCATCCATCTCTTCTTTTAATGTTTCTATATGACTGTTGTATTCTTGCAATGATGTAATGATGGCATCCTGGAATGACCAAATAAGAAATCAGATTCATCTCCAGTGTTTTATGTCATAGTAAGGCCATATTAAGTCATACATTTGATCTATTTTAGTGTAGACTTTCCAAAGCCCATTTTTGTTCTTCACCTATATAAAGTATGAGGTCAAGGTAATTTGATTCTAAACATTTTCTGTTTACTTTTGGAACTTTGATCTGTGTCCTGGAACAACCAAAAAAGAAATCAGATTTATATCCAGTGAAATTGTGGCATAAAATTTGATACAGTGGAACATTCAATGAGTAAATTTATAAAATAACGACTTTTGAATGGAAAGCAATATGTAAATGTTTGTAGTAAAAGCAGAATTACATAGATATCTGTAAAAAGTTTGCATATTCTTTACAGATAAAAGAATCTGACAACATTACTAATAAGGTTTTTAATTACAAAAATGTGCAATGGTCTATTGGCAGACACTTTTTGTATTATAACAAGCTTTCATCATCAGACAATACTTTTCTATGGTGAACACTATATTAAGTTCTTGTGTTTAATTCTGATTTTATAAACCAAAATATCAAGACTTGGTAGTTCCAAAATGGCGCTCCTTCCTGTCACATTTGATGATTGATTGATGGTTGGTGTTTAACCCCACTTTCAGCACTATAAGCTATATCGTTGCAGTCAGTTTTTATTTGGGCACAGATTGTCACATTTGATAAATTTTCCTTAGTTTATCTAAATATATAGGGTCAAGGGAAAGGATATTGTAAACATTATCAGTCAAATGTGGTTGTGCAACAAATAAAATAACTCAGTATCTATCAAGAATTATTCTTACTGCCATACTTGATTTCATCTGGTTTAGTGGTTCTCTAGGTTTCATTTTTTTTCTAAATGTCTTGTGTTAAATAGTCCCTAACAGTGTGATATATAGAGTGATATATATAGAGAATATCATATGGCTTTTTCAATATCACACCTGTATCAACCTGAGACACCAATATAATCCTAAGAGCTCTGCTCGAGGGATTATTAGGTTGAGGGTTGATAAGGTGTGTGATATTGAAAAGGCCATATCATATACATTTTATTATATATTTCAAGTAGAGTTGATTCTAGATTTTTTTTATGTGACGTGACGTCATACAGATAAGGTGTTTGATAAAGCCTTTGCAATGGTGATTGATATCGATGATGTGACGTCATACAGATTAAGGGTGTGATAAAGCCTTTGCAACCGTAACTGCTATCGATATCATTATGGATGGCTGATACAGCACGATTGCCATTGATTGTATTACACATACAATTTACATGTATTTACTTCTAAGTAGATAATAAAGCTTGGTACATAGACATCAACATGATCAAGTAACAGTGTTGCAAGGAAGTCAATATCAAGTTTAACTTTAAACTCTTTACCTGATTCTCCAGAAGTAGATAAAATATAAACAGATTTTTTTTTGAAGAAGTATAAAAGTAACTACATAAAATTGCTTAAATGCATAGTTCACGAATGGTGGTATAATATATAATTTTAAATACCTTAAAATGGTCAATGGTAACAAAATCAGGAAAAAATGGTAGGATATCTTCAATTTTAAGTAAATCACACTCATGGAGAAATTCCATGGCTCTTTTTACATCTTTTTCTTTTTCTACAACATGTCTGGCTGCAAAAATAATGTAACAAAATAATTTTACAAATGAGGACAAAAGGAAGCAATTCAACATTTACTGTCATTTCTTAAAACTTTTCAGAATCAATATAAAAAAATTCCAAACCTCTTTCAAGTAAGCTCTAGACAGAAAATTTATGAAAGTTTGCTAAAAAATCATGTTCAAAAATTAAAATAAAATGAAGATAAAAATCTATGTGAAATACCCATTAATCATGCAAATTAGATTCCTAAAAACCAGTAGCCACCAGTAACATGTTGTTTTTGTAATTGGTATACTATGTATAATTCCAGTAGATAGTAAGATTGAAGTTAGGCGAAGGGATACAGGTTCTTTAGAACCCCTTTCTCTTTGAATTATCTTTGCTTATCTAACTTACCAATTCTAAGCCAAAGTTTCTTTTTTAACTCATCGTCAGTATCTTCAGGTTTTTCAGCTTGTTGCTTAGCTAACTCTACATCAACCTAAATGAAAAAAAAAATGCTTTTCATATATTTCATTGTCCTTAGTTCTACTGTAAAATAACTGCTTTCAATAAAATTATAATTTTCTGTCAGGTTAAGTTCAGTATGACCTATTATCCTTTTATAAAAGATTGACAGATTATAATTCCTGTTTTATGTATTGTATGTTGTTATGTTCTATATAACAATCAGACTGTAATTCTAATCAAAGTACACTCACGTCTAATGCTAAATCTACAGCTTCTTCATACAGTCCCATTAAAGAATAAATATGTACACAGGCCTTCTTACGATCATGTTCCATACACAATCTTAATGCATATTTCAAATCATAACAGACTTCATCTGAATCCTAGAAAAAAACAAAAAATCACATGATAGATAAATGATTTAAAGATGGAAGAAAGAAATACAAAGTCAATTTCTCTATTTTGTTGCGCCATAATGTTTTATGTATTATTGGAAGAGGTACATTTGGCCCATACCTACTTTTTATTTTATTAAGCATATCATCTGAAATTTAGTCAAATAAAATCAAACAAGAGTGCACAAACTCAGACCTAACTAATAAAAATTAACACTGACAAATGAACCATGAAAATGAGGTCAAGGCCAGATAATCCATAACAATGACATCTACAACTGATAATCATTCTATCCATTAAATATAGTTGACCTCCTTATAGTATATGAGGAATAGAACTAATCATGAAGACATAATGCTGCCTGGTGAACAATAAAAATGAAGTCAGGATGAGAGACTCTGTCAGAAAGACATTTACATCTTACAATCATTCAACAAACCAAATATTGTTGACCTTTTATTTATAGTATCTGAGAAACAGACCTAATTTTAGTTTGTTCTTATGTTGTGCTGTTACACCACTGTCCCAGGTTAGGGGGAGGGTTGAGCGCTCACAAACATGTTAAACCTTGCATGCTTACATCCACTTTATTTGAACTTTGGTGGATAGTTGTCTCATTGGCAATCATACCTCATCTCCTTATTTTTATACTATTAAATCATGAAAACATAATCATGAAGATTAGATCAAGGTCAGATGAACTCTGTCAAACAGACATGTATACCTTACAGTCATTATATATACAGATTATAGTTAAAGTATGTGCCAAAATGAATGCATTATTTTGTCCCTGTGACTTCACATAACTCCAAAACTAGTTATTCAAATTAATGGTATGAATTAATTTCATGATCAAGCAGTTAGACAACATGACTTTTTGCAAACTGTCAAATTTTTAAACAAGAGTGCACACGCTGAAATGTCTCGCCTTCTTTACTAATCATTGATATTATGTTGATAGTCCTAAATATAAAGCTTTACTACAACTATCACATACACTTAACATGATCCAAGAAAATGAGGTCAAGGTCATATAAACCAAACAAGAAATACATGTACACCTTACAATCATTCAATACACTAAATATAGTTGACCTATTGTTTATAGTTTCTAAGATACAGACTTAACCAAGAAAACTAAACATTGACCAATGAACCAAGAAAATGAGGTCAAGGTCAGATGAACAATGCCAGGCAGACATGTACTACAGCTTGCAATCCTTCCATACAACAAATATAGTTGACCTATTGCTTATAGTATTAGAAAAACAGACCAAAACACAAAAACTTAACACTGAGCAATGAACCGTGAAAATGAGGTCAAGGTCAAATAAAACCTGCAAGACTGACAGGTACATAATAAAATATTTCCATACACCAAATATAGATGACCTATTGCATATAGTATTAGAAAAAAAAACCAAAACTCAAAAACTTAACTTTGACCACTGAACCATGAAAATGAGGTCAAGGTCAGAAGACACCTACCCGCTAGACATGTACACCTTACAATCATTCCATACACCAAATATAGTAGACCTATGGCATACTGTATAAGAAAAACAGACCAAAACACAAAAACTTAACAATAACCACTGAACCATGAAAATGAGGTCAAGGTCAGATGACACCTGCCAGTTGGACATGTACACCTTACAGTCCTTCCATACACCGAATATACTAGACCTATTGCTTATAGTATCTGAGATATGGACTTGACCACCAAAACTTAACCTTGTTCATTGATCCATGAAATGAGGTCGAGGTCAAGTTAAAACTGTGTGACGGGCATCAGGACCTTGCAAGGTACGCACATACCACATATAGTTGAACTATTGCATATAGTATTAGAAAAAAAGACCAAAACTCAAAAACTTAACTTTGACCACTGAACCATGAAAATGAGGTCAAGGTCAGATGACACCTGTCCGCTAGACATGTACACCTTACAATCATTCCATACACCAAATATAGTAGACCTATGGCATACTGTATAAGAAAAACAGACTAAAACACAAAAACTTAACTATAACCACTGAACCATGAAAATGAGGTCAAGGTCAGATGACACCTGCCAGTTGGACATGTACACCTTACAGTCCTTCCATACACCGAATATACTAGACCTATTGCTTATAGTATCTGAGATATGGACTTGACCACCAAAACTTAACCTTGTTCATTGATCCATGAAATGAGGTCGAGGTCAAGTGAAAACTGTGTGACGGGCATCAGGACCTTGCAAGGTACGCACATACCACATATAGTTGAACTATTGCATATAGTATTAGAAAAAAAGACCAAAACTCAAAAACTTAACTTTGACCACTGAACCATGAAAATGAGGTCAAGGTCAGATGACACCTGCCCGCTAGACTTGTACACCTTACAATCATTCCATACACCAAATATAGTAGACCTATGGCATACTGTATAAGAAAAACAGACTAAAACACAAAAACCTAACTATAACCACTGAACCATGAAAATGAGGTCAAGGTCAGATGACACCTGCCAGTTGGACATGTACACCTTACAGTCCTTCCATACACCGAATATACTAGACCTATTGCTTATAGTATCTGAGATATGGACTTGACCACCAAAACTTAACCTTGTTCACTGATCCATGAAATGAGGTCGAGGTCAAGTGAAAACTGTCTGATGGGCATGAGGACCTTGCAAGGTACGCACATACCAAATATAGTTATCCTGTTACTTATAATAAGAGAGAATCTAACATTACAAAAAATCTTAACTTTTTTTTCAAGTAGTCACCGAACCATGAAAATGAGGTCAAGGACATTGGACATGTGACTGACGGAAACTTCGTAACATGAGGCATCCATATACAAAGTATGAAGCATCCAGATCTTCCACCTTCTAAAATATAAAGCTTTTAAGAAGTTAGCTAACGCCGCCGCCGCCGCCGGATCACTATCCCTATGTCGAGCTTTCTGCGACAAAAGTCGCAGGCTCGACAAAAATTGGACCAGTGAGGTTTGCACAGTTTATTCTATTAGAAGTATTTGTAGTATATCATGACACTACAAACCAGTAAAAGTCTGAAATGGCCTATATCTGTACTCGACTGTACTGATTTTTACTCGACCAGTCTGAATTGGTCTGAAATTTACTTGATAATACTCGACTGTAGTCTGAACCATACTTAACAGTCTGAACTTGTACTCTACCCTTACTCGACCAGTACTTAACCATTTTATATGCGTCTGAACCATGCTCGACCTAGTCTGAACCATACTCGACCTAGTCTGAACCATACTCGACCAAGTCTTAACCAACCTAGACCTATTTTTTGTATCTATCTATTGTATTTCATCAATTTAGGAACGGTTTTTAACAACAGCTATTTCCCCTGGCTAGAAATTTGAACAACAATTTGAAATTAAAAATGTATTCAATATAGCATTGAAACCAAAATTTCACAATAAACATAATATAACTTCATCACCATATTCATCAACACTTGTTTACATACATATATATCACCTTTAAAATAAAAATAAAACAAGCTAATCAAATAATCTCAAAACTGAATTGTTAGTAATATTTTCAATGTTATTCAAAATTTTTTGAATGTTTCAGATATATTTTATGGTTACTGGACAATTTTCACCATTAATTTAAACCTCGTATAGATTTATGGTGTCAGTCGAGTTAAAATAATAATGCAGTGAACATTTTTTTTATTAAAATATATGTAAAATAGCATATAAAGCAACTTAATAAATTAAAAAAATGACACCTTTGTTTTATTAAACCAAGAATTTAATATTATCATGATAATAGAACTTCCATAGTAATCCTGTGATAAACTTTCAAAAAAGGAAATGTGTTCCAAAGTTACAGTAAAAATTTATTTCAATTAAATTTAAATAATTTTTGTCAAAATTAAAGACAAGGCATACAAGAAGCACTTTAATAAGGTTTAATTACCTTAGTACATGTGTGTTTTACAGGTAAAAAGAAAGCCTTATTTTTCTTAAACTTGTGTATTATTTATCTAGTGAATTCAAAAGGCCTTGCGATTTAAGTTTCACAGGATGTTGCAATTTTGAATGTTATTTAGAATTTAATACTCTCTGACCAGGTGTGATCTTTTTCATGAGTTTGCCTCAAGCAGGAGGTACTACTTTATACTTCACCACTAATCAAAAGAACAATTTTATTAATTTCTTTAATTTTTATCCCTTTTTGATATATATTGTATATAATATATCCCAAATTATAATAATAGATATATTTCTAAAATAAGGTTAAACAATTTCAGTGATTTTGTTGGCTGTTGTTACCTCATTAAAAAGATAATTATATAACTATTGTACATTTTTTGTATGTAATCATGAAACCTATGTAGTCTTTATTTAGGAATTTAGGAAAATTAATTTAAAAAAAAAGTACATGCCAAACAAGAAGCACCTTAATAAGGTTTAATTACCCTCAGTATAGGTGTGGTTTTTAGGTAAAAGAAATCCTTTTTTAACAAAACTCTAAAACTTTAAAATTGATATAATTAAATTATTATATAAGATAATTTGATTTAACTATATAATATAATTTAATTTAACTATCTCTATTCGATAAATCTGAGAATCATGTAAGAATGTAAAAATCTGTTTTTATAATATATCTTTATTTTATTGTGGCTGTTGTCATGTCAGTAAAAAAGAAATTTATTTTAACAGTTAAAATTTAGAAAAAGTACAGGTTATTTGGTTCAGACTGGTCGAGTATTGTTCAGACCTTTGGTCGAGTATGGTTAAGACTGAAAAAAATAGGTCGAGTACAGGTTGAGAATGGGTTAAGACTGTTTCAGACTGGTCGAGTAATAGTTCAGACTATTTTCAATGGCAAAGATAAGGGTTTAAGTACAAATCAGTACAGTCGAGTATGGTTAAGACTGGGGTCGAGTAATGTCGAGTAAAATTCAGACCAATTCAGACTGGTCGAGTAAAAATCAGTACAGTCGAGTACAGATATAGGCCATTTCAGACTTTTACTGGTTTGTAGTGTGATTTTCAAGAGTTTAGTATAATGATACGTTTCCAGTTACAGTTTGGTACAGGTTTCGTTGTATTTAAGCATTATCTTTTCCAAATAATTTCTATTTTGTTTTTTCCACAATGAATTTCTATATTAAAAAATGAGAGAACCAATACTTACTGTTCCTTGTATGTCCAGATACTGGATGAGTCGGTCTGGTCGAAGGATAGCATATAGAGATAGAAGATAGTTATGTATGGCCATCTCTTTGTTAGTCAGACTTTCTACACAGAACTCTAGGTATGTTATTGCTTCATTACCCTGTAATATTACATGAAATTCACACTTTAAAATGATGTCTATCAAAATTTAAATAATAAAAATTAACATGAGCTAATAATATTAAGATTTGATCAAATAGTCTTTGTATAACTTTATTTAAACTTACAGCTGGTCTGCATTGCCTTTAAAATTTGTTAAAAATCATAATCAACAAAACAATTGTTTTTTATATTTTTTTGTCTTATGGTTCGATATAATTAAGTTGAAAGATGATCATCTAAGGTAAAATTCAATTTCAATTTTCACCAGCAAAAAGGACCCATCATCTTTTTATATAATATTGTAAACTACCCGGTAAAATAATGAAAATTTTTAATTTGTGTTGTGGCAAATATATAGATTCTGCCACTGGATCAAGTGGGATACAAAATTTCTATACTTGAGACAGTTATATTTTCAAATTTAAAATGAGAGGCTTGTTGATAAAATTTAACTGTCAAGAATTTGTTTCTCCAATGATTTATAGACGATATACAGATAAACTTTATCTTTCTATGTGATATCATCAGGCATTGTAACCTTTTTCCATGACGTCACAAATGGAAATTTAGCAGAGAGCAAGAAAACGTGATGTCATATTCAAATTTTGACCAATGGAGAAATGAGATCAAATAAACCACACTTTGATTACAAATCAAAGCACGAAAGCGCTGTAAAGGCAGTTAATTACAGGTTGTGTGTATTTTAAGTCGTTATATCATTATCTTGCATAGTACAGTGTACTTATCAGAGGTGGCTTTCAGTATTTAAGATTTAGAGTTCTCTAATGATATTGAATAAGTTTTATGAATGTCATATTCTGAGCACTATATGAAGGCGATTGTTCTCACTTGTTTATGAACTAGTGCATTATGTCCAGTTTGTACCTTTTTTATCTATGTTTATAGTCAAATTAGTTATCAAATGTACCAGGATTATAATTTAATACGCCAGACGTGTGTTTCGTCTACATAAGACTCATCAGTGACGTTCAGATCAAAATAGTAACAAAGCCAAACAAGTACAAAGATGAAGAGCATTGAGGACCCAAAATTCCAAAAAGTTGTGCCAAATACGGCTAAGGTAATCTATTCCTTGGATAAGAAAATCCTTAGTTTTTTCATTGGCAATCATAACACATCTCCTTATTTATATAATGATCTATATTCAACGACCTCAGGTACAAAAAAAATGTATGTAACTAAACTATGATGGGAAACCTTTGACTTCTTTCTTTATATAAACTTTTGATTTGGTACCATAGAACTATGTAGAGTAAATGTACATTGCAACATGTCAACTGTTTCAACTCCAAGCAAAATTATATTTCCAAGCATAAAGTAATTTATGAATGAAATAAAATGCTCCGCTGGGGTGCAGCTTGATACGACCGCAGAGGTCAAACCCTGAACAGTTGGGGCAAGTATGAACACAACATTCAAGCTTGATTCAGCACTGAATTTGGATTGTAATTAAATATTTGACACAGCATAGGTTTCTGACACAGAATGAAAGTGGTCTAAGATACTTAAAAAAATTTAATTTACCTATTCAAACCATATCATTATTATTTGCTTTTATATATAAATCAGAAATAACCAATTTAAAATGGAAAATTTTAAAGAAAAAAAAGGAAAAAGAATCCCCCCCCAATTTTTTGAACCCCCTTATGATTCATCACCCCAAAACTCAATCCCAGCCTTCCCTTTGTGGTATGGTACCTTGCAGTACAATTTCAGAAAGATCCATACACTTGAACACATGTTATTGTCTGGAAACTAGAAAAATGCTTGTTTTTTGGCCCCTTTTTGGTCCCAAATTCCTAAACATTTAGGGCAATTACCCCCAAACTCAAACCCAGCTTTCCCTTTGTGATATGGAACCTTGTAGTACAATTTCATAAAGATCCATACACTTACACACAAGTTATTGCCATGAAACTAGAAAAATGCTTGTTTTTTGCCCCTTTTTGGCCCCTAATTCCTAAAATTTGGAGGCAATTACCCCCAAAATCAATCCCAGCATTCCCTTTGTGATATGGAACCATGGGATACAATGTCAGAGAGATCCATAGATTTACACACAAGTTATTGTCATGAAACTAGAAAAATGCTTGTTTTTTGCCCCTTTTTGGCCCCTAATTCCTAAAATTTGGAGGCAATTACCCCTTAAAATCAATCCCAGCATTCCCTTTGGGGTATGGTACCTTGCAGTACAATTTCAGAGAGATCCATACACTTGAGCACAAGTTATTGTCTGGAAACTAGAAAAATGCTTATTTTTGGCCCCTTATTCCTAAACTTTTTGGGCAATTACCCCCAAACTCAATTCCAGCTTTCCCTTTGTGATATGGAACCTTGTAGTACAATTTCATAAAGATCCATACACTTACACACAAGTTATTGCCATGAAACTAGAAAAATGCTTGTTTTTTGCCCCTTTTTGGCCCCTAATTCCTAAACTGTTAGGACTATAACCCCCAAAATCAATCCCAATCTTCCTTTTGTTGTTATAAACCTTGAGTTTAAATTTCATAGATTTCTATTTACATTTACTAAAGTTATTGTCCGGAAACCAAATGTCTTCGGACGACACTGACGACGACGAAGACGACGACAACGTGATACCAATATACGACTGCAAAATTTTTTGCAGTCGTATAAAAACCCGAAATAATAAATGTTACCCCCAAATTCAATCCCAGCATTCCCTTTGTGATACAATGTCAGAGAGATCCATAGACTTGCACACAAGTTATTGTCATGAAACTAGAAAAATGCTTGTTTTTTGCCCCTTTTTGGCCCCTAATTCCTAAAATTTGGAGGCAATTACCCCCAAAAATCAATCCCAGCATTCCCTTTGTGATATGGAACCTTGTTGTACAATGTCAGAGAGATCCATACACTTACACACAAGTTATGTCTGGAAGTTACAAAAATGCTTATTTTTGGCCCCTTTTTGGCCCCTAATTCCTGAACTGTTGGTACCATAACCCCCAAAATCAATCCCCACTTTCCCTTTGTGGTATTGAACCTTATTTTAAAATTTCATTGAGATCCATTCACTTAAACTAAAGTCAGAGTGGGAAAACTAATGTGTCTTCGAGAGACGACGCCAACGCCATACCAATATATGACCACAAAATTTTTTTTGCGGTCGTATAAAAAGGAGTTCTGATTAAGAAATAAACTGATTCGCTGAGCGCAGCTGGATACACCCGCAGAGGTACTACCCTGAACAGCTGGGGCAAAAATGGACTCAATATTCAAGCTTGATACAGGTCTGAATTTGGATTGTAATTAAATATTTGACATATTATAGTTTCTGAATAAATGTAGTCAATGAACTTGAAATCGGTTATATGAATTGAATTTATATTCAATTAAAGATTTCTTGCTGTTGTGCAATACACTGTGCTGTTGTGCAATACTTAATAAATCTGTTGCCAGACTATAAACAAATAAAGTTCAATTTCTTCTCAATGTCATATTTGAAATTTATGAAAATCAATAGGGAGATTACATCAATAGCTATAAATAATTCACCAAAGTTTCATGTGAACTGCTTAAAGCATTTTTGAGTTGTTGTCCAAAAACTGAAAAATCCCCCCTTTTTTAATGAATAAAACCCCTTAACTCAGAAATGTAAAATCTAAAATTTATAAAATTCTAAAGGGAGCTTACGGATTGATAATTTAGTCTTAGATGCAAGATTTTTTTATCAGTTGTTAGTAGCTTTGAACTAGCTGTCAGTAACTGCGAGTACTCTCAGATTTGTACTTAGTGTCTTTTTGTTGTTTGGATGTACAACTACCTGACCACGTCCACTTGTATTTGTATTTATCCATCTGATGAGTTTAGCCTCTTTCAACTGATTTTTATAGTTCTTTCTTATATTGTACTGTTACACCACTGTCACAGGTTAGGGGGGGAGGGTTGGGATCCCGCTAACATGTTTAAGCCCGCCACATTCTGTATGTACATGTACATGTATGTGCCTGTCCCAAGTCAGCAGCCTACAAAAGTGTAATTCAGTGGTTGTCGTTTGTTTATGTGTTGCATATTTGTTATATTTGTTAATTTTTTTACATAAAATAGGCCGTTAGTTTTCTTGTTTGAATTGTTTTACATTGTCATTTCTGGGCCTTTTATAGCTGACTGTGCGGTATGGGCTTTGCTCATTGTTGAAGGCCGTACTGTGACCTATAGCTGTTAATTTCTGTGTCATTTGGTCTCTTGTGCATGTGTGGAGAGTTGTCTCATTGGCAATCATACCACATCTTCTTTTTTATATTTACATCAACAGATATAAAAAATTCACCAAAGTCAAGTTGAGACAACAAAACTTAGTTGTAAGATCTCTGAATTTTTTTACATGGTACGAGTTTTTCTCATTGTTGGAGATAGTACGGTGACAGTAACACCTGTAACTGCTTAAACCCATTTCTTATGCACTTTAGTTTGATAAACTCACTGAATATCATACCACATCTCCTTATTTTTATATGCATTACAATTTACATGTGCATGTAATTGTAAATATATATATATCAGAACAAAATTCATTGCGTCACTTTTATTTATGCATCCTTTGGCACAATACAAGTTCTAAAATTACACAACATAAAACAACTAAATGTTATTTCAGATGAAAGTTTTGTTTCAGTTCCATTCATAGGATTTATTAGAATTTTGTATGTTTTGCCAAGTCCAATAATTTGCTCTATGTGACATAGAGACATAGTTGACTAAATCACCAGGTGTCGAACATTCAAGAATTTTCAGTGTTTCTGTTTTTATTTGATGAAAAGGTTGCCTGAGCTCTAGGTTTTATCACGGGATAATCTGTGCTGTCAATAATAATCCAAGTCGTAGGAAACTTTAATTTGAAGTTGGATGGTGAAAAATACCTGACTAAACCACTAGATGGCCAAGTGTTAGCCTCACACCACTGTTTAGACATAAAAACAATCCATGTATACACAATATTCTTAACACTAGATTCAATCTAGAATCTAGACAGTTCAAAGTTGGTTGTATGATGCCTCAATTTCATCAAAGTCATAAAAAAACTGATTTTCAACTGACACCCTATCAATTTGAAATATATGTATCTCAAACAATGTGCTGCTGGACCAAGTGTGGTCAAAACAAATAAAAATTTAGTATACAACTCTAAACCGGTATAAAAATGCATGGCTGTGTCACGTGTCTTCATTTCAAAATTCTCTGCTGAAAACATAGGCATTGATGGTGTTTGCGTAATTCCATCTGTGACGCTCAACATTAGCTCGGCAGTTGGTGGTGGACAGTCATAAATCCTTTCTGCAGTATGAATGACTTCTTCAGGAAAACCAACTTTACAATCAAAACTTTCCTCTAGATTTCTACTACAATATTCATCAAGTTTAGTTCTTTTGTTTTCACAGGAAACTGCCCTGATTTTTCTTTTTGCGGACGATTCAGTCTCTTGCTTGGTCCAGGAAAATAGGCTGGGAATTGCAGTAGACTTAAGTCTCTGTATGGTGGGTTTGCGCCCTGAAAAAGGTTATAAAACATTAGTTTTTTTATAATTAAATGAACTTCCATTAGCAATGTATACTTTGTACTACCTGGCGAAATATTAACTAGATTTATTCATTACAATCTGGATAAAACTATGTTTGCCTGATTCAATGTATGTTATGTAAATCCAAAGGACAAACAATGAGAGACGTATGCAACAAACGTACATTGTTTGTACCTAAATAACTATAATATAGATGAGAGCATGTCATTGATTTGTTCCTGTTAACATTGTCATTGATATTTTTCAAGAAAGTCTATGAGGCATAGCTTATGCATTCCTGTCATTACTACATTAGCATAATTACTGCTAAAATAATTCACAGTATGATATACCTCTTGTAAGAAATAATTGTAGCAATCACCAAAAAATCTCAAACAGATCACATTGAATCGTAATCCAAAAAATTATGACGTCTTGAATTACCCACCCCCTTTTATTCTAAAACGATAATTGCGGTTGTAAACAGACTTTGGTTTATTCGCATGGCGATTACATATATAACTATATATTTCACAAAGAAAAAAGAGTTTTACCATGAATAGTTTCCTGCACGTAGTCTTTTTCAGTAAAACGTGCCTTGCAAACAACAGCTGATTGAGATGGACTCCACGATATCATCGTGTTCTCGTCCAATCTGCGTATGGGCCATGGCGTTGATCCAACTTTTCCTTCTTTTTAAGTCATTTGGAAATGCATGTCCTCCTCTTAAATGACATCCAGGTACACAACAACAAGTATTTGGCATCGTTAATTAAAAATATAACTGAAATAGTTGCACAGTGCAGAAACCGGAAGAAGAGGAACAGGATCCGCTACCACGGCGCCACCTTTTCAGGAACGATAATTTGCTACTTTATATAACTGCGAAAATAACGTTAGACGGGTTCACGTGCATAAACAGAAATGCGCTTTAAATTGTATAATATAATTCATGTTCAGTCGACCTTTAATTATTATATCAACGACTGAAATGATTTATAAACATCTAGATTGCAGATAACACTCGAAATTAACCCGAGCTCTTTCCACACGGAATTCAAATAATTCTAGTTTGTCAATCGGTTGACTGCTTATAATGCAAAATACTAATATATCAAAAGTTTTTAAAACTAACAAAACACAATGATCGTTTCTCTATTTCCCAATGTAAATGAAATGAAACAAAAAACATTTTATATCGCAATAAGAAGAGGAGAGAATTCAACATTTCCGGATCTACTTGGAGTCTAATGACCCCCCACGTAGATAAGTTGGATATCGCGGAAGGAAGGATTAACCCGGCAACTAGAAAGGCATTAAAGCACTGCCTTTAAAAATTAATCAAACAGTTGAATTGGGAAATGTATAAATCTGCTAAGAATTAAGAGAAATGAACATATCTACCTGTTCCCTATATTTATCATGATCATATTGAACAAGAGCTGGTATTAATTTCATTGGTTCTAACTCTGAAGATTTTGCAATCCATGCTGTGACTGTTTCCTTTGGTATATACTGCATTAATAAGGGAGAGAACTTGTAATATAGTTCCATGTCACTTTGTTTTCTCAATATTGACAATGCACCACTGTAATCATCTAATTGGATGTAATGGGATATCACTTTCTCAAAGTCTGCAAAATGATAAAACACAATTTTTCTTATGTAAAAAAATCTTAAGTTGATACTTATTATCGACAATATCCAACCAAGACTTGTAGTCTCCTTAGCTAGCTATACCTGTAGTAGCCAGCACATTTTTACCTTGTTTTTCTAATTATGTGCGTTTTTTTATTTCCTTTTTCAAGTACTGACAGGAGTCATTCTGTTTGTAGCTTAACTGTATTAGGCTTTTTACTGTGATTTGGTTCTACGAAAGAAAGATGGTAAAGAGGGAGGTCTCTGCTCACATAAAACTGTTTTAACCACCACCATATGTTCAGCCTGTACTTAGTCAGGCTATCTAGACAGTGTGTTGTTGATTGTATCTGAAGTTGGTTGGTATGGTCTGATGTTGGTTGATGTGGTCTGTTGTACTGTCCAATATTTTTGGTATTTCCTTTTATCTTTTTTTTATGTATTATTGTAATGCTCTGATTGGATTTGTTAGTATAAAATGTATTAGCTCACTTTACTAGAAACTTATAGGATTGTTTGTGTCATTGGGTTGCTGTCTCACTGACATATACCCAACATCTTCCTTTATTCATATATACAAAACCAAGTCAAGTGCCACTAGTTTAATCTAAGTTATCAATAAATAACTTGAGGAAATTGACAGTATAAGTCTCTAACTTATTCAATGATTAACATACTGTGGATTCATTTACTTTCATGGATACCAATTTTCATGGATTGAGAAAATATTGTATTTTCATGGATATTTGATTTCATTGTTTTGCCAAATACTGTAAAGAACCTTAAGAAAATTTGTATTTTGTTGAAATTGAAATTTGTGTTTGCTCAAACCGACAAAATCCAGGAAAATTGGTATACGACTAATAATAATCAATCCACAGAAGTTAATTTTACAACCTGATACAAATTGATTTGCAGCATCTATATCTGAACTTTATATTTTATTCCAACTTCCAAACAATGCCAATATCAAACTTTCAAAATTATTTCTCCAATAATCTTTTAAGAAATGAAGGCGAAAAGTGCTTACAATACAAATTTCCGCATAATTTACATTTCTAACAGGAATGACTTTCATAAAATTGTTCAATTAAACCAATTTAAGAGGTTTTAAAGATATTTTGGATAAAAGCCTTTCAAAAGAAATTTGCCAAGTCTGACAAGAAGTAGAAAAAATGCCAACCATTCCCTTGTCTCCTGTTTCACTGCTTCTGAGGAAATAAACAAGTGAATAAGGCATTACTAAGTGACAGCTGTTCACGATTTAAATAAATGGTGGGGATGGGAGGCTCTCTTTTAAGATCACTTCCACACATAATATAAAATTTTCAGTAATTCTTTTAAAATTCTAAAGAAAATGCAACCACCCACAATTTATTAATTTGAGTGCCCCCCATTCCCCCATGCAAATGTAAATCTGGAACAGCCCTAATCTTTTTCTTGACTGTTTACCTTGCATAAGAACAGCAAAGAAAACCATATCTTCTACGTTTCCATGACTGGCAATCAGATCATACACCACACCTCTGTTATTACTCACACATTCCTGTAAAAGAGAGAGGCGAAAGATACCAAAGGGACATTTAAACTTATAAGTTGAAAATAATGTAATAAAACAATGTGTTTTATATCAGCTCTTACAATTTGTTTAGTTCAACAAGCATTATTGGTCTTATGGTAGTGAAGTCTTCATTTTGTTTCTTTTGACAAAAAAAAACATTTTTTCAAGGACTGTTTTCCTTCTTGATTGACAAAAATGATGAAAAAGGCGAAAATATAATATGATTCAATAAAAAAATACACAGAATGCTGAACAAAACAGACACCTCTTAGATTTGACATCTAAATCCAGTGTGTAAAGCTGGGAACAACAAGTTAAGAAAGGCAAAGGGGTTTATAATATAGTCAAAAATATAGTTAGTTTTTCATCAAGATTTGTTTACTGTAAATTCAGAAATTATTGTGAGGTTTTTATTAATGCGAATAATGCGACTGTGTGAGTATCGCAATAATAAGAATTCGCATTCTCATATCTAATACATATATATGCACACATATTTTTCCGAAATCGCAATAATTAATCTCGCATTATTGTCCATTCTTCGAAAATAGCAATAATAAATGCACGCAATAATTTCTGAATTTACAGTACCTTTATTTTTGGTTCCTTCAGAAAACGTCTGAACTCCTCTTGAATTTTTTCATATTTGTCTGGTTGTTCTTCCATTTTTTCCTTTAGTTCACCTAGTTGATTCAGGAATATTTCAATCAACCAAGTCACTAACATGGTCATTTGTGTTTTATCCTGTATAAAAACATAAAATCAATGTATATTTACATCCTAACATCAGATTTATTTTAGAATGTTTGAAAATGTTTGTTTTAAGGCCATACAAAATAATATATAACTTCTCATGCTGCTTTTACAATTTCACATGAGTAAGAGAGTACACATAAAATTATATCAGTTTTTCAGATATTTATAGAAGTAATTGTATTTTATCAGACTCTGCTGATTTTTTTTCCAATCTAAAAAAAGGTTCATGAGGCAGGTATTGGGACCTAAACATCTACATGTTTTTTTTCTTCTTCATTTTACCTATTTATAGCAGATTTTTTATGTCTTAATGATAAGCCCTGAAAAGTTAGCAACAGTGTTACACAGATACCTATTTGGTTTATAGACTTCAGAGGTATCTAAACCCACACAGTCCTCATAACTTTATAATTGTTGTGCTCAGATATCACAGCAACATCAATAGTGGATTTCATCTTCCATGATAAAATGGATGGCAAGTTAGTGTGTAAAGATCACATAATAAATGTCCTACTAATCCAATATATGTAAGACCAAGTACTGAGAGATAAATTTTTGGCATGTTTGAAGTCTCAAATTGATGGAGTTTTTGTATTTATTCTTGATTTTGAATCTAGTTAGTGTCACTATTGATTTTAGTTCAGAGCTGTTTTCCACTTGCTAGAAAGTTTAAGTGTTTTCACTCCTAGAAGATATTGTATGCTTAAAGACATTTTTAGAAACACCTTTTTATATTGGGTTTACTTTTCAAAGTGTTTTATTTGATGTTTTCTCATATGCAGCTACATTTTATCCCCTTTTTTGGCTTTAAATGATAAGAAACAAGTAATTTGCTTATACTACTGTAGATTTATTTATTTTCATAGGTACCAAATTTTGTGGAATGAGGAAAAAATAGTATTTTGTGGATATTTGGTTTCATGGTTTTGGCAAAGTCTGCATACAAGCTAATAGAAATAAAAGAAGAATGTGTCTGAGGACACAAATGCCCCTGCTCAAGCTTGCTTATAATATGTGATAATACTTTTGGGATAGACAGACGGAAGGATGGGCGGAAGAACGAACAGTCAAGGGTAACCCTTAATGACTCTTTCACCTAGCTGTGGTGGCATAAATATATACTCCATTCAAGATTTAAGTTTGTGATTCACCTATAGCCTCAAAATCCACAAAACTGGTTTAAAAAAAATAACAATGAATCCACATACTATACAATAAAAGACATGCAAAATATATAATGTCATGTAAATTATCACTGTTGTAGTACCTGAGGGCCAAGAGATGATAATTTCTTCATTATAAATGATTTTAAAGCATCCTTTCTGTCAAGTCTGATAAATTTTAAAGCGACCTCTTCAAATGAGTTCCTGGTCTGTGCATATAGTACAGCACTTTCTTCATATCTAAAAATAAAAAAGCGTTAATTGTTGACTTGATTGTCTTGCTTTTCTGACTTCTTTATTTCGAAGTCTTCAAAATTTACAATTAGATACTGTGAGGAAAAAAATATAAAAATTGACCAATCAGAATCAAATAATGCTATTCCAGCCATGTTTTCTGTGTGATGGGTAAAAAATATGGGACTTTATATTTCAGACACCCATCAAAATTATTCCTGCACATGATTGGTGATTTTTTTTCTAACAGGAATAAATAGGAATATATGTAGGACTCACATCCATCTATGGTTGATTTCAAATCTATGGTAAATATGGCATCATTCCATCCCAAATCTATAGCAGATTTTTTTAATCCAAATCTATAGCAAATTTTCTAGATCTAGTTTCCTAATCTATGGCCGATTTTCTATTGTTTCCAAGTCTATGGCAGATTTCCTCAAATGGAGGACAAGCCATATCTGACCAATGACTTGACTTATATACTTTGTCAGCCGTAGATGCTAAAAATTATCTATAATTCTTTTAATGAAATATCTGCAAATAAAAACACTGGTGCCTTTATTTCTCGTTGTATTATGACATTATAGTTTACTCTTTTCACAGAAAATTACACAATTTCATAATCTGCCATAAATTTGGAGAAAACAAAAAACTCCCATAGATATATGATTTGTAAGGCATTAATATATATTTGTGACATCATATTTGTCATAGATTTGAAATCTGACATAGATCTGGAACCCACCATAGATTTGAGTCTTACATATATATTGCATCCTTGCTGTCATAAGCTCAAAAATGAGGAATCTTTGAGGCAAGTAGTTCTTATAAAGTTTTAAAAACATTTGGCCTTTCAACTCAAAATGTGAATCAAATTGAAAATTAAACAATCTAAATCGTCTTTGGCGAATGATAGATTCAAATAAATGGTAAGATAACAAGAATGTGTATCCATAAAACACAATGCTCTTTCTCACAATCACATTGCAATTTTCAGTGAACTATGAAATGACAACCGTTATTTGGCATATAGTAGGCCTTACCTCTTCTTGGAAAACAGATGTTCTGCCTGTTTTGTTAATACTCTATCAACTTGAGCTGGATTATCACTGCAATATTCTCTGGCATTTTCAAACTCCTCTGTGTCTAAATACATCTGCCACACATCTCTAAAAATACAAAGATAGCTACAATACCGGTAACGTTAACATTTTTTCTTGCTGTACATGTATTACAAAATGTTCTTTACATGATAGAAATATTTCAAATAGCACTTCAAAATTATGAACTTATGAGAAGGCCAATGAATTTCCTATAAACAAATAACTCATTATTTTGTGATTTGCATAATGAAATAATTCCTTTGTTTTATGTTAATGAAGTTCCTTGTTCATTTCAGTCTGCATAAAGTTGTGTAGAATCTGTATGTATGTATTACCTGCACACAGTTTAAATTCAAGACTTTTTGCCCCAAAAGTGTGGATGATACATATTTATATATATTAATTGTCCTTCCCTTCCCCTATTCACCCTGCTCACCTCTTCATACAATTATATATCACTGCTTTTTGACTTCAAATAGCTTGACACGACCTCAATAACTTTGACCGGACATATTAGTGACGTAATAATTCTCATCATATTGATATTGTAAAATATCAGCTGCTCGACACAATATGAAGCCTTATTGAACTTGTTCACTGCGCTAACTCGACAAAAAGTTTCATATTGTGACTGGCAGCTGATATTTTACAATATCAATATGCAGACAACCTAATAATCAGTACATATCAGTCCCCTTTACCTCCTAATTTCATGTTACTTTTACTCATCTAAATGTATTGACATATTTGATTATTTTCAACCTAGCAACCTAAAACAGTAATTCGTTGTATTTTTTAAGACGTTTCGGCCACTGGCCTTCTACATTTTTTTTTTTTATTTTCCTTCTAACCTTTGTATAGCATCTTAATGATTGTGAAAATGACATATCTACCATGTTAGGTTAGAAGGTTAATAAAGAAACCAAAGATGGCCAGTGGCCGAAACATCTTGAAAAATGATTTAACTATTACAATAATGTAAAATGGGTCCCATATTGGAATTTCTAAACAAAAACAGTAACAGACATATGAATCATTCTTGTTTGGCCATAGCAGTGTTATTCTTTAATCTTTTCATATTCAGTAATATAATATTAGAAATTTACAGAGACAATGAGGCATACATAATAAATATATACAATGTATTTATATATGTTTATCATAATTAAGTGTTTGACATGCAAAAAGCCTTGTAGCAATTTTATATTTGATATTTTTGGATTTTCTATATATACTTGCTTTGCATATAATCTTATAGCACATACTTTGGTCCTTTATAATGTATTTAGATCCCCTTGCCTTGCCTATCTGGTGAATTTATAATTAAATACAGTGTTGCCCATTTATATCCCCTTACCTTTCCTGTCTCTTAAACTTATAAATTGAATACAACCAGTGTTGCCTGTTTATACCCTATAACCTTGCCAATCTGTTGACCTTATAATTTTATAATTGAATACAATCAGTGTTGCCTATTCAGATCCTCTTACCTTGCCTCTCTGGTAACCTTATAATTGAATACAATCAGTGTTGCCTATTCAGATCCTCTTACCTTGCCTCTCTGGTGACCTTATAATTGAATACAATCAGTGTTGCCTATTCAGATCCTCTTCCCTTGCCTCTCTGGTAACCTTATAAATGAATACAATCAGTGTTGCCTATTCAGATCCTCTTACCTTGCCTCTCTGGTAACCTTATAATTAAATACAATCAGTGTTGCCTATTCAGATCCTCTTACCTTGCCTCTCTGGTAACCTTATATTTGAAGACATTCTGTGAGGTATAAGTCCAGATACTCATCTTCAGTGGATCTTTGTATAATCCCATTAGTTTGCCAAGTCTCTGTAATATACAAAGATTTTAATAAATCTTTCAACATTTTAAAAGCAAAATATATGATACGGTAAATTATACTACAGTAAATATTCCAAAAGTTTGTATTAATAATTCATTCTCATCAAATAATTTTGGTTATCATTTAACACCACTTAAACTTGCATTTCCCTAACATTCCATAGACAACATTAACCTTGTCATCCAACTTACTGTGGTTGGCAGTCATTATGTATCTGTTGCTTGTTTTATAAGTAGGTATAAACATTTTCAAGAATATATTATCTTTTACTAGGAATGCATTTGTTTAAATATTTCATCTTATTTATAAAGATGCATAAAAAATAGAACAATTATCGACATGTTCATAAAATTTAATAATCTGTATTTTGCAAGAGTAGATAACTATTGAAAATAAATGTTCAATGTAAGGGGAGATAATCACTTGGATATTACTGCAAATCAATTTAATCTTACAATATCAAGTGAAATAGCTATAAAATTAACATAGGTACACACTTTTTTCTTTTTTTTATCATGAAAGCCACTGATCTTAATTATTTCCTCATATAAAATTATCAATTTCCGTACATAAGTTTGTTTAATTGCAAAGACCTAATTTCTGCTAAAAAAATCTAAATAGCCCCATATTCATTGACCAAAGCAAAGTGATCTTTATTTTTAGAGATAAGTTTTGAATGATTATATGTTTACACCTCATTCAGAAAAATCTATGTTAAATTGATTTTAATGCTTACCTATCTTAAAAGTATTATTAAATATCTATTAAATTCTGAAATCTTTGCAAATTTACCAAATTTTAGAACAAAATTAGGAAATCTCATTCTTGGGGTCAAATATAGATAGGCAAAAGGAGAGGTAAATCCGGTCTAAACAAGAATGTGTCCATACTAAATGGATGCCCCACTCGCACTATCATTTTCTATGTTCAGTGGACCGTGAAATAGAGGTCAAAACTCTAATTTGGTGTTAAAATTAGAAAGATCATATCATAGGGAACATGTGTACTAAGTTTCAAGTTGATTGGACTTCAATTTCATCAAAAACTACCTTGACCAAAAACTTTAACAGGAAGAGGGTATTATCATTTTCTATGTTCAGTGGACCGTGAAATTGGAGTCAAAACTCTAATTTGGCATTAAAATTAAAAAGACCATATCATAGGAAACATGTGTACTAAGTTTCAAGTTGAATGGACTTCAACCTCATCAAAAATTACCTTGACCAAAAACTATAACCTGAAGCGGGACAGACAGACGGACGAATGGACGGACGCACTGACCGAAAAATATAATGCCTCTAGGTGGGGCATAAAAACACCACTGTTTGTGCCTGTACCAAGTCAGATTATCTAAACCATTCATTGTTCTTTGTCATCTGTTTGCATGTCATTCTTTTTCAGAGAAGCCTGGTGTTCCTTTGGTCTATTGTACTGTCCAACAATATTGTTTTGCTATACCTGTCATCCTCTGCTTTTTTATGTATTTTTTAACATTATCAAACTGGCCCATCCTTATGAAAAACATGAGCGCAAAAAAAGTGTCAACTCTTGATTTCTCTTTCTTACACATGAAGTTGTTGTAATCTGTACAGATATAAATAAACTACCTACATTAACCTCTTGACCCCCAAGGCCCTATTCCCACTGAGATCATTGACTACAATGTTAAAACAAACTTACATCTGCATACACGTCATCATATATAAGTTGATCATTCAATACACAAACTACTTTTATTCTGCAAAAAAACAACGAAAATAGCATATTTTAAAAGTGGATATTTTCAATGCATACACTTTTCCAAACTAGAACCTTTTGCATCAATACTGTTCATTTGTACAAAGTATTCAGAAAAGAGATATTTTAACAAATTTCATTTGATAGGGAAAAAAGTAAAAATAACCCCCCACAAAAAATTTTTCATGTTAACAGTAGATCAAAGGTTTTAAAATCATGGGAATAAAAGTAGGCAACCCTTTATAATTCAGGGCTTCCAAAATTATTTTTAGCCAGCCAGACATTTTATATATTATCCCGATTTTAATCCCTTAAGACTAAATAAACAAATGGCAATTATGGTATTCAGTTGCCGAGTTGGCCATCCCAATGATTGACATTAAAAAAAAAAAAACGATATCAAACTTTCTTTGATTCAAATTTGAAGTTCTGACGTAAACTTTTAAATTGGCAGTGCATCATTCGAAGTGTGCAACATCAGCGTACTTATATCTGCCTTAGACTCTTTATTTGTGCAAAAACGTTGTCAAAAACTTTACTTTCAATTTTAAATCTTATACCGGATGTTATCTTGACAATGGTAAAACATGGACCAGAGACTGATACGTAAATTCCGTGTACGTTTGCAAAGCATGAATGAGTGTACGTAGCTCTTTCTACGTTATTTCTTCAAGAAAATATTCGAAAAAAACGTGAGATAAAGGTATCAATGACAATTTAAGCATTTTTTGAAGAAATCAGGATGCATAATTAAATTTCACACCTGCGCACATGCACACACGTGTACTAGTTCAAACAGAGACATGTCTCTGGTTCATACAACGTGGTTATGACGATTTTTCATTTTCACCTTTTTAATTTTTTCATCAAATCATATTTGTAAACGTATTTCTGATAATTTAAATCTTTTTGACTAAATTAATTAGATGCAAACTGCTGAAATGTAAAAAAATAACTTTGAATAGACCGATCAATGTCCGGTTCAAAATAGTTTACCTGTCACCTGAACAGGTAAATTTCAGCTGTTCTACAACTAACAAGCCTTGATTTATAAAAATGAGAAGGTATTAAAGTAGGGGTTGTTTTGATAGTACTTAATGATCATGTCACTTTTATGACCGGAAATGTGTGGCTGTTAAAGGCAAAAGGTTGGGTCATAAAGATCGCGAATTATGTTAAAATGACCGTCTCTTAAGAAAGCCTTGAAAACTAAAAAGTAGATGACTGTTTCATGCTTTGCCAAACCGGACTTTTACCGGACATTATACAAATGTCCGGAATATATGACCATTTTGGAAGCCTTGCTTTATATACCAAATGACAGAACAAATGGAAAATGATGGTAATTTTCTGGATTTCATACAAGTACTTCCGAAGAGAAAAAAAGTCAATAATCCAGATTGAACAAAACAGTAAAAAAACATGTTAAATAAACCTACCTGTCTTGATATAGTAACAAGACATGAAATTCTGTCAAAACCATGGAAATAGGATGTGTCTTCTCACCATCACTGTCTTTAGGGTATCTGATATAGCTGTTAAGGCAATCTAATTCTCACTGGATTTAAAACAAAATAATGTTTAAATGTCATGAATAGGGTCTAAAACAATAAAAAATGTGTCTTAAAGACACCATGGCCTACTCATACTATCACATTTCCTAGTTCAGTGTACTGCAAAACCCTATCACATATCTTAAATAGTTTTTGTTATACTGAAAATATGTACTTAGTTTCAAGTTGATATGAGCAAAACTTCATGGTATTCTATCTCAAACCAAAACTTCAACCCCATATGGCACAGACCAGGAAACATAATACCAATTTCTATTGTAAGGGGGGGCATTAAAACTGACAAATATAAATTCCAATTCGATAAACTGTTAAAAAAAACCAGACCACAAGTGTAAATTTTAGTTTAGTTGTGCAGTTTCTGCAGATATTGCATACATTTCATGACTTAACCAATATGTAATAAACTATATATCCAGTCCAATTAGTTTTTCATTCTTATTCAGTAGGATACGGTATAAGTTTTGTTTGAGTTGTCACAGATTTTGGTCCAGCTTCACCTGTGAAATCCAAATTTCCAAAGTAAACACCAGGTCCTGAAAAAAAACATATAGAAGTATTAACTATCAAAACATGATTTAACTATTTTATTTTTAGATGTTTAAAGAACTACTTGCATTTCTATGTTTATCTAGAATAATGTTTTAACACCAGCTTTAAAGTCGTATGAAACTAATTTCTGGTGATTATAATGTTCGAGAACTTTTTGAACCAATGCATGCATATATTCTAAACTTAGTCCTCTGTGCACAATTTAAATACCATTTATTAAGAATCAATAATTTATAAGAGACAAAAAAATAATTCTAATGACTGTTAATCTATAGCAATGGCTGCTTATTTACTTTTTTGAGTTTTTTGGCGGAGGTAGAAGTATAATGATAAAACCCTGATAAACAATCAATGCAGAAAGGTAAGCAGTCAAGGGCATTACTTAAACAAGTAACTTTTAAAATTACCTATACAAGTAATGTTGAAAACGAGGCTATTCTAAAAATGACTTATATAAGTAACTTTTCTAAATATTATTTTTATAGGTGTCCAATTATACAGATTTTACTAGTTTTAACAAATTTTTACAGTCATCTGGTTATTTTTCCCATGAAATGTAAAATCTAATCCTTCTGAAACACTTATTGCCTTTCTGATGCACTAATCTTTCATATCGATGCTTCTGGATCAAAGATTGGTCTCTTGGGACTATTAAAATATTGTTTCCTTGAAAATCTTAAAGGTAGAAAGATATAAATAGATAGAAAGTTGTGAATTAATTAAGACTTGAAGTTATTTATAATTTGTAACCCAAAACAATTACATATGTTCCTTAAATAAATGTTATTACTAATTCTTTCAAACATGTATAAAATAACTTATTCAAGTAACATTTTTGTCATTATCTTTAAAGTAACCCTTTATTTCTATACTCCTCTCAAATATAATGAATTCTTAATTTTATGATATAATTTTAAAAATCATGAAAACTACATTTAGTCCATGCTTCTAATGAAATTTTAATAACTCTATTGAGTAATTTTATATTTTTCAAAAACAAAAATTACCTATATAAGTAACTAAAAAAAAAGTTATTTGTTTAAGAAACGCCCCTGACTGAGTATAATAAGTAAGAAGTTATTTGGATGATAGAGCCATGTTCAAAATCAAGTTGACCTAAATATTCCATCCTGATAAGTTTCCAAACACATCACATCTACTTCCTAGTCTATATTTTTGCATTATTTCTGTAAATTTAAATAAAGGACACCCAAGGTTAACAGTACAAGAATTACACAAAATATCAATAAAACACACTGTTCACTAGTACTGATAAAAGTACTGATAAACTATCATGCACATCTTGGAATTCTATGTGGCGTTTTTTTGGTTATTCATTATTAAAATTTTATATTCTATTCTACTTTAACTAAACTATAATCATCATACCTGTCATCCATGCAAATGTCTTTGCAGATCCTCTAAACTTTGGAAAATAAAGTTTTAATTCACTGTATCCCATATTTCCTGGCAACTCTAAGAAGGGAGCTAAAAAAAAGAAAACAAAAATTTTGATTTCATTACAGAGAAAGGGTTACGTCTTTAAATCTAATATTACAATAATACGTGAAAAATATAAGGTGTAATACCAACATTGATTTTCCCCTATTAGTCTTTGTTAAATTTGCACTTTTCTAAAAATTGTGCAGAATTTATCTTTGTTTCAAACTAAGAAATACTTGGCATAAGTAAAGTTTTATCCTGTCCAGTACTATAGACAGAATTTTACATAACATTTCATTGCATATAAGAAAATAACCATCACAGGAAGTTAACCAATCAAATTTTCACCCCTTTTTTTCCTGTGTACAAGCTTTAGTAACCATGTAACCTCAAGCTTCCAAAATATTCTATAGAAACACCAAATAAAACAATAATGGTGCTTTGAAACACCCAAGATATATGTTTATGACTCAGATTTTTTTCACTGCAATGAAATGTAGGATTAATTTCCTACAACTGTCAAATTTGAGGGAATATTTTTTCAAACCTTTTTCGTATGCAACTGGATGTGACGTACTATGATTTGGTGGTATTATACCATAACATGATTTACCAAAAATACTTGGGAGTACAACAGACAACATCAACAACAACTACCTGACACCTCGCAAAAAATATATGTACATACAAAGACAACGAACAACCATATTTTATCATCTTATCTATCAATCATAATAACAATCTTTTCTCATTTTACATTTCGTTGCTATGCAAATATCTTAAGCTTATATTACATATGTACATGTATAGTAAAATTCAAATTGCAACTGGGGCTGTATATAGAAAATAAAAATATTCTTTTGAGTAGTATATACTGTATTTGAGAAAACTGTGACATAAATATTTGTTTGACAAACTAATGACAAGGTGATAGCAGTACACTTCATTTGAAATAATAATATGATATATTACATATAATGACTAGATAGCATTAAATATTTCATTAAAGAATACCAGGAATGAGCAATTATGAATGTAGGCATATTAATTTGTAAAAAGACCATAACTAATTCAAAAAATTTAAATGGAAAATGGGAGGAAAAATCATAAATTATTAATAAACAAAACCCTAAGATTTTTTATTGCATAATTCATCAGACAAATAAACAGATGTATACAATTATTATGTTCCTCTGTCGTGTGACAGATGTGAGCAAAAATCTGAGAACCCAAAGTTTCATTTAAATCATACCTTTTTGTTTTTCATACTCTGCAAAGAACTGTTGAAACATTGGAGGCTCTGCAGACTTTGATACACTGCCCAGAAACTGATATAAACGTCTGAAAAAAGTTATTATCCCCATAATAAACAATATCATTCATTAGAATGTTGACTATCTCATTTTTATGTTGTTTCACATTATAAAACCACCCTTGAAGGTTTTGGGTGCAAAGTTATAAAACTCCTCAGGCTACATGAATAAGATATTAAGCCAAGTCATTGAAATTATACAGCTTCAAGACTTCTTAAATCCATTCTATCTCCCCAATAAAATTGTATTTACTTCCCTTTCAGATATTGCAAAAACTCTTGCTGCTTATGTTTGGTTAAATAAAGTTAATCATTTCTTTTTGGTTGGAACTCTTTAATTTGTATAGCATGTACAATGCTATGACACAATCTACTGGAATGTGAGATAAAATTATCAAACAACTATTTTTTAACATGTGCATGAATAGACATTAAGGTGTTATAATGCTGATGAAATTGTAATGGAGATTGATTGTAAAAGAATAGGGTAAAGTGCTAATGTTTGTACAGTACTAACTCTTATTACTTTAATAGAGCACATAAAACTGTAAGAAATATAGTATTCTATAAAAAATTATAAAAAAAACTGTTGACACAGAGACACGTCTCGCCTGTCAGCAGAAAATAAAAAAAAAAAAAATCTGATGGACAGTAACATTGCTAATTAATTCAAAGTCACTGGACCATGAACTAGGGGCAGGGCCTCTAATTGGTTGACAAACTGAAATGTACTGATAGTAATGCAACTTTATAGAAAATATCATTGTCTATCACAAGTACTTCCTATCAAACTAACTTGAGCAGAAAACTTAACAACAAAAATTGCTTATTAATTGAAAGTTGCTGAACTATGAACTAAGGGGCAGGGCCTCGAAATGGTTGACAAACTGAGATGTACTGAAAGTAATGCAATTTTATAGAAAATATTGTTGATCTATCACAAGTAGTTCCTTTCAAACTGACAAGTAGAAAACTTAACAATAATTCGCCCCGCCAACAATGCTGCAGGAAAAGCAATACCTATGTCTCACATTCCTAACTTTCATTACAGGCGAGACAAAAACAGTACAGATTCAACCAACTGAAGTAATATTCTTAGCCTGGAGTTGTAGCTATTATGACATATTTGTTCTCTAGCATAGATTCACAGGGCATTCTATGGAACTTTAAACCTGTCACAAATACTAACCCTGGAGTTGTAGCTAGTATGAAATATTTGTTCTCTGTCATAGATTCACAGGGCATTCTCTGGAACTCTAAACCTTTCACATATACTTACCCTGGAGTTGTAGCAAGTATGTAATATTTGTACTCTGTCATAGATTCACAGGGCATTCTATCAAACTCTAAACCAGTCACAGATACTGCATTCTCACTTCCTAAGTTAAATAACTAAAAAAAAGTTACATAATTAATTACTGTTTATTGTGTGTGGCATTATGCATCGTACAAGTAACAACCAATAGCACGGGGGGTCTCTTCCTATATGAAGGTATATACATATGTGCCGCTGGAATGGGTCCCTTTTTTGATACGTCAAATATATCAATGGGGTGCAATTTTACCGAGGAAGTATATCAATAGGTAGTAATTGACCAATTGTGATATATCAATGGGTCATCTTTTTTCAGTTTGTTGTGCAACGATCTTCACTGAATGGGTTATGATTTCGCTATGAATTATATGTATAGGTAGGGATTTCACAATTATTCAATATATGAATGGAGGGGTGTTTTTTAAATCCCAGCTGCACAACTGTACCCAAAATCCCATGTTGAGACCCCCCCCCTGTGACCAATAGCTGAATATATAACTAATAAACTTTAAAACAAGCTATCAAATGATCATGATATTTTATGGTCCTGTTTAACACTCCCAGAAAAAATATTGCTATTTCTTATTTTACTTGAATCACTCATTGGTAGTAAACAGCTATGTATTACATTTTTTTTACCTTTAAGGATATTGAACTGTAAGGTATTTATTCATCTAATCACTGTTAATATGAAAATAATCAAAATTTTGAGGATAATTGGATTGTTTTTACTTTAATTTCTAAGAAATATCATCATTGCCAATCACAAACTGTAGAGATAACTGAAGTAGCCTTCAAATGTTGAATTTTGGCAAAAAGAAATCTTTTATTTTTCATTTGTTTCCCACAGATTATAATTTTTAATTAAAAAATACTCTTATACATTTAGGACCATCTGCAGTAAAAGTATAAAAAGTATCTATTATGAAACAAACATTTAAAATTACAGTCGACTATCGTTATCTCGAAGTAAACCGAACCAGAGAAATATTTCGAAATACCCGTAGTTCGACACAAAAGAATACTGGAAGTTTGACAGACCAAGGGACACAACTCTTGCTTTGCTTGGTAAGGCCAAGGGATCTGGTCATGAGATTGATGTATCAGTATGTAATGTTCTTTTATCATTTTAATAAAATTATATGATTTTTCATCTCTTATTCATTTCTTTATACAGTTACAATTTATTCCTGTGGGTTTTAACTGAGAGAGTAATATTCAATCGATCTTAGCTTTATTATAAGTTACAAACTGGTCATTCTCGTATACAAGAGATTTAAGAAAATTTAGATTTCTTTTCATTTTCTGTTATTTCAATCTTTTTCTTCAAAAAAAAAGTTACAAAAAGATTAAAGACGCAGATTGAGTAGTTTTGAGTTGATCACTAAGTCTTAATCCCTACTTTATACACAACCAAGCTCATAAATGTATGAATACCATTAATTGTTTTTCAAACGTTTTAAATAATTTTCGAGTCAACGAGAGTTAACTGTATCTTCATATACACTGACATTTTTTATACAATTTTTATCAGTTTCTACAATATACCGGTATCTCAAAATACATCTTTTTACAACAACTATAAAGAAACGTGCAAATTTAAATCTGTATGCAAAATGCAGGATATCACATGTACATTTTTTTGCCACTGATTAAATATGCATGTATTACTTCTCTTGAAGAAATAAACTTTTTAAAACACTGTCCGCTGTGTATATTGCTTGATCAGAACAACATTGCAATTCCACATAAAGAGAAAAATGTTTCCAGTTACACTAAGAAACATCATATTTAACAATAGACCCAACCATTTTTTTTACCAAAGACTCAACCTTATTTAAAAGATATTTTTGCAATTGTGAAAAATAAAAGTCTTTTTTTTTGTTTGTGACAACTGTCTGCATACAATTCCAAACTAGCAAGGCTTGGTTGAGAAAAAAACTGGGTTTAACCTCCTTCTGACCAATACTGTTTCTTTTGCCTCACAAATTTTTATAAGAAGATCTATCAAGTTTCCAAAAAGTTACAAACTTAAAACATTTGATAAGTTAGTAGTAAACACATATCTTTATAAAAATAAGGAGATGTGGAATGATTGCCAATGATCCAACTCTCCACTAGAAACCAAATGATGTAGAAGTAAGCAACTAAAGGTCACTGTGCTTCTACAATGAGCAAAACCCATTCCATGTAGTAAGCTATAAAAGGCCACGACAGGACAAATGTAAAAATATTCAAACAAGAAACTTAACTGCCTGATTTATATGAAAAACTGATATTATATCAAGCAACAAACGACAACCACAGGCTCCTGACTTTGGACAGGCACATACAGAATACAATAGGGTTAAATATGTTATAGTACTCCAACTTTAGAACAAATCTGTACACAACCAATTTCAACAACATCTCAGTATAGATAAGCCAATGAAATGTCACAAAATATTTCAAACAGTAATGAATATGAATAAAGCATATGAAAATAAATGTGGATAGTGGACACATGTGGACACAGATGATGCCCCCGCTTGCATATCATATAGTTATAAAGGGACATAACTGAAGAACAGTAAAAGTGACGCTACCCAAATTTGAACTTGATCTGAGTTTTGTGTGTAAGTCTCATAACATTTGGTTGAGGCTAACTTAAGTAGAGAACAGAAATTATAAAAATTCAGCAATTTTTCTATTTATAAAGGGGCATAACTCAATAATGGTTAAAGTGACACTACCCAAATTCAACTTGATCTGTGTTTTATCAGTGGAAGTCAAAATTAAACATTGCATTGTATAAAGCATTGATTGTAGTTGGTTCAACTATAATCATGGACAAAGGAAGATAACTCCAATTTTAAAAATAACTTGATATTAAGAAGAAAATAAAAATTTTGCAATTTTTTCCATTTATAAAGGGGCATAACTCTAGAAAGGTTAAAGTGACGCCACCAAAATTCACACTTGATCTGTGTTTTGTGGAAATAAGCATTGTGTATAAGTTTCATAACATTTGGTTGAGGCAAACTTAAGTTAGAGAACAGAAACTAAATATTTTGCAATTTTTCCATTTATAAAGGGGCATAACTCTAGAACGGTTAAAGTGACGCTACCAAAATTCAAACTTGATCTGTGTTTTGTGGTAATAAGCCTTGTGAATAAGTTTCATAACATTTGGTTGAGGCAAACTTAAGTTAGAGGACGGAAACTAAAAATTTTGCAATTTTTCCATTTATAAAGGGGCATAACTCTAGAACGGTTAAAGTGACGCCACCAAAATTCAAACTTGATCTGTGTTTTGTGGTAATAAGCATTGTGTATCAGTTTCATAACATTTGGTTGAGGCAAACTCAAGTAAGAGAACGGAAACCAATTTTGGGACTTACGGATGTACGTACAGACGGACAAGGGTAAAACTTACTGCCCCCACCGCTACGGCGGGGGCATAATAAAAAAGCAGGATCATGCACACATCAGAAAATTTTCTCATTAAATGTTTTGAGATTAAACCGATAATGAAAACACAAAGAAGCTAGGAACACTGTAAAATACCTCCTCTGATTTAGAAAGCAGCTTAAACTAGAAATGATATACAAAACACATTTGACTCAGGACATATTTATGTAAAACAAAATAAGTTTTTTAAGTGTTGTCAATACTGAAAGGTTAAAAAGAAAAATAATAATTCATTAAACTGAGTTTCTGTGAGATTCTACTAAATATAAATGAAAAAAAGACAAAAAAAGAATTTTTAACTCAGACAGAACTTTTTTTGCTTTTTCACCAATGTTTAATCATGAATGCAATGGTTGTCACTGTCTCTTTTAATTTGTGCCTATTAGCATTTTATCAAACTCTAAATGTTCATGTTTCTTGAAGATGTTTTATTAATGTGTTGCTTTCACATGTATTTTTTTTTTTGTTTCTACATTCAATACATGATAACTCAGGGTCTTTTACAGCTCATCTTGAAGCACGGAGTCATTTACCCTTAGTTGAAGGCCATACAGTTACCTGTAGATGTTTAGAAACTTATTTTCTAGCATTTATTCATCTTCAGTGTTTAGTCTTTGCCTAATTGACGATCATAGAAAATTCTTCTTTATTCTAAATTAAAAGTTTAATTGAGAAAACTTCATTTTTGCTTTTTTCATTACTGTTTTACATAAAATATTTCTCAATAACTCTATAAATCTTTATACCAATAATTTTTTCCGCTCCTAATTCATTCCTAAATCAAACAACAAATAAACAGATGTTTTAAACATCATGGTACAAATTGTTACCTGTTTGAGATACTGATCTAGACTTCCTTGGAAAAATCGACTATTCTCATTGTCTGTAAGTTCTGTCTCAAAAATCAAACCTGTAATAAAGTAACACATTTACTAATGTCTGGACTTTTACTTCAATTTCTTTGAACATATGCATCGTTTGACTGTGACATTACAGTCAAAATATTAGTTCTATATCATTTATATCAAATAACTGTTTAATGTTTTGGTTGTTTTAATTTTAGCCACTAAATCAATCATCTAAATTCCTTACCGCTATTATTCTATTGAATCAAATTGCTGACATTTGGTTTTAAGGACATGTGACTGGACTTCAAAATCACATAGCCATAGATTGCATTGGTAAAGATTGGTAAAGATCTGATTAATGGCTCAAAAGATATTGTCCGGAATTGTAACTTTCCCATAAATTTTGGTCTATTTGTACTGTAACCTTTACCTTTGGCCTACTGACCCAAAAATTAAATTACATTTCAGTCTATCAGTTGCTGTTGTGACCGTGACCTTGGACATCAAAAGCAGTAGATGTCTTCATCACCCTATGGTCTTTACCAAACATTATATTTTTGTCCAGAAAATGAATTTTAATGTCCTCATAGCATTCATCATAATCATATTATAAGATGAGTTGCAACCTAGTAAATTTTAATTCCTAGAATTAACTTAATTAAAACTGTATACAATACGAATAAAGTGTTTTATAAATACCTTTACTGGTTCCTAATAAAATAGCACCAGTTGTTGATTCATTGGCATTCTGCCAGTTCCATCCCACAGAATCTATGTGATGTCCCTGCAATAAATACACACAGAGTAAAGTAACTGATTACCTAACTACCTAAATACACACAGAGTAAAGTAACTGATTACCTAACTACCTAATTTCCTGATGGAAGCTGGGGGTCATCAACCATAATTCCAAATGATTGTTATGAGTTAATTCTTTCCTTTGAATTCTGACTGTAATTTGGACAATTGTCACCAAAAATTAGAATTACGCTTTATGTTGTATAAATAATAAAAGAACAGAGTTCCAATGTCCCCTGTGTTGCACATATTTTACCTATCCAAGGACAATAACTAAAAACACCTTTTTTTTTGTTGTTCTTTAAAACTTTTAATAAATATCTTAGAGAAATGAAAGCTTGAGAGCAAATACAATGCAATTTCCAAAATAAATAGAAATATTTCCAAGGGGCAGAACTCTTTTAAAAATATTTGATCAGCACTGATTTTCGAACTTGTCCAAGACATTGCTTATATAAAACTTTTATATAAATTTGATAAAAATCTGGCAAAAATTGCACACATGAGAGCACTAACAATGCAATTTTTCATATAATTAATATTTCAAAGGGACATAAAATTGAGAATGGAAATGGGGAATGTGTCAAAGAGACAACAACCCGACCATAGAACAGACAACAGCAGAAGGTCACCAACAGGTCTTCAATGCAGCGAGAAATTCCCGCACCCGGAGGAGTCCTTCAGCTGGCCCCTAAACAAATATATATACTAGTTCAGTGATAATGAACGCCATACTAAACTCCAAATTGTACACAAGAAACTAAAATTAAAAATAATACAAGACTGACAAAGGCTAGAGGCTCCTGACTTGGGACAGGCGCAAAAATGCGGCGGGGTTAAACATGTTTATGAGATCTCAACCCTCCCCCTATACCTCTAGCCAATGTAGAAAAGTAAACGCATAACAATACGCACATTAAAATTCAGTTCAAGAGAAGTCCGAGTCTGATGTCAGAAGATGTAACCAAAGAAAATAAACAAAATGACAATAATACATAAATAACAACAGACTACCATCAGTTAACTGACATGCCAGCTCCACACTTCAATTAAACTGATTGAAAGATTATGTCTTCATCATATGAATATCAGGCACAATCATTTACTTAATCATTTCAGACCACCTAACCCGATCACACACCTTGTTGTGTGTAATAATTTCCTAGTGATGGCAATGAACAGTAATATATTACTACGCCTAGACCTAGAACATCCAGAACAACCAGATGGTAAGGTCAAACATTTTACTATTTTAAAAATAATTGATCTGCCTTGATTTTCGATCTTGTCTGAGCCATTGCTGATATAAACCTATGATATAAATTTCAAAACTTTGGGCAAGAATTGTACACATGAGAGCCCTTACAATGAAATTTTCCATATAATTCATATTTTCAAGGGCATAACTCTATTAAAAATAGTTGATTGGCACTGATTTTTGAACTTGTTCAAGACATCACTGATATAAACCAATGATATAAGTTTTATAAAAGTCTGGCAAAATTTGTTACTGTGAGAGTGCTAACAAGACCGGACAGACAGACGGACAGACGGATGGAGGGACTCCTGGTATTTCTATGTCCCCCTCAATGCATGGTGCTTGGGACAATAATATTAGTTCATTAAATCTGACTTCTCTTAGCTATCCTTCTTCTTAGAGATTCTAATAACTATAGATAAGCTTTTATTGAGGAATCTATTAGAATGAATATAAACTACAGAATATAAAAAAAATATACCTTGATTTTTCCAATAGGTTTTGGTCTCTTTGAATTTCTTGATAGGTAATAATTTTCTGTGGATTCCATACTAATGATGAAATGACGGCCAGTAGGATCCAGGAATATTTGATGGACTTTGTCCTCCACGGCTCTTGGTATTTCTACTTCTGTAAAATTATTACATTAGCTTAGATCTTAGAAATCTGGCTACAACAAAAATATTATTTAAGTCTTCAGGATTATGGTTATGAATTAGAGAAGACAAAGAGAGAGATAATATAGAAGAATGGTTGAATACAATCCAATCAATGATACTGGTTAGTGGTACAACTTTATAGCATGTAGCTATATATATATGGTCTCATTGCCAAGTGGTCTAAGTAGTTTTCTACAATGATATACTGTCAACTGTAAGGATGTGAGTTTGAACCCTGCTCATGGTGATGTTTGTTCCACATCAATCTTAATTGAAAGGTATCGCAAGTTTTCCTGCTGAAAGTCTGTGGTTCCTTCTAGAGACTATGGCATCATTTTTTTTATAACTTAATCATAGTCTTTGCTGCTTGTTATTATAATGCAGGTACTAGAATGGTGAAAACTCTTACTTGGAAGATGGTGCAGTTTTATTTCAGCTATATAAAACAATGATTTTATTGTTATATATGTATTTCATAAAAAAAAATATATCATGAATGATTTCTGGAACATATTATTTGTTTGACCTTACCATCTGGTTGTTCTGGATGTTCTAGGTCCAGGCGTAGTAATATATTACTGTTCATTGCCATCACTAGGAAATTATTACACACAACAAGGTGTGTGATCGGGTTAGGTGGTCTGAAATGATTAAGTAAAATTACACAGGAAAGTAAATAAAACACTTATCATGCATGTAATATCATATGATCTAATAACAATCTGAAACCAGTTGCAGAAACGTAAATTAATGTTAAACTTCTTTTTAATTTTATGCATTAATCATTTCTGTTGTATTTTTTAACAACTGAATTATAATAAAACTTAAATGACATTTAATGTTAATTGGTGTTTGTGCAACTCTGACTGAACTAAAAATGATTTTGATACATATTTTTTCGCCAAATTATGGTAGCCATGATGTGTAAGGTGGTTTTAAGAATCAATTAAGCAATCAATCACTATCAAGTTGCAGTTGAGAATTTTACAATATATACAATATCAGTTCTCATATAAAGAAATGACTCAATTTTCCTGAAATAAGTGCCAAAAAATACTTTACAATTCTTGCCCTTCGTAATATGTGCATTGCCAACACATAAAAAAAACCTAAATGTTCCCTTGTATGCATAAATATTTATTGACTGTTTTACTGCAGACCTAGATTAATGCAGCACAATATTGTACCATACTTACTTAAAATTCACTTTCTTTTTGCTAAATATAGGTATATCTGACTCTAATCTGGCATCTATAAAACCTGGACCAATCTATTAAATAAGAGTATTAATGGATTGGAGTTATTTGCTTAAAATTGCCCTCATCTTCATATGCAACATGCACTAATTCCTTCATAACTAACCAAATTCAACTTGTTATAGTGACAACTAGATTTTAGAAATAAATGGAGAATGTGTCTATGGGCCACAGATGCCCCCGCTTGGTTTGGTTGAGGCAAACTAAAGTTAGAGAACGAAAACGACAGATTTAGCCATTTTTCCATTTATAAAGGGACATAACTCAAGAACGGTAGAAGTGACGCTACCCAATTTCAAACTTGATTTGTGTTTTGTGGTAATAAGCATTGTGTATAAGTTTCATAACATTTGGTTGAGGCAAACTAAAGTTAAAGAATAGAAACGAAAAATTCAGCAATTTTTATGTTTATAAAGGGGCACAACTCATGAACGGTAAAAGTGACTCCACCCAATTTCGAATTAGATCTGTGTTTTGTGGTAATAAGCATTGTGTATAAGTTTTATAACAATTGGTGGAGATAAACTAAAGTTAGAGAAGGGAAACCAATTTTGGGGACGTACGGACGAGACGGACGGGACGGACAAGGGTAACACTTAATGCCCCCTCCGCTATGGCGGGGCATAAAAAGACGATTCTGAACAATTTTTTTTGTTGAAGCCTCGTCTACCAGGTAGTTCATCACTACAATCTAGTATAAAGGATATCGATCTTTTTTCCCATCTGAATGTACCAAGTTTAAATTTGGTTAATCAAAAAAGAAATCAACTAGTTTGTTTTTCAACACGGAGGCCAAAAGATATAGATCCCAAATAGAAATTCTAATGAAAAACCATCTATTAAAATTATTGTTTACATTTCAACAAAATGACCCAAAATTAGCCCTTTATCATATCATGTCATATTGTGAAGTATTTAGCTATTGCATTATTAAAAGAATCGTATTAAATTGACAAAGCAAAGGCAATGCATCATTAAAACATTATACATGTAATAAACTTAGGAATTATTTCTTTATTTAAAGCTTTGTTACATGAATGATGCTAAAGGGGCACTAGCTGTCAAATTCATGTTCACCGATTTGACTCAAATTCTCATATTTGATTTATAACAATGTAAAACATTTATCCAAATTATAAAAAGTCTAAAATAAACAATTTACAGGGCATGGGCTCGAGAATATGTAGCTTCGTTTCGTGTGTATTTTAGTCTACACAGCTACTTTTGCATAGGCACTATTTCTGTACCAAAAATCTGTAGTACTGGAAATCTACTTTTAATATTCAGTACTATTTTGTTACTTTAAAATTATTGTAATATTTAGGTACAGGTATTTTACAGTACTTGATTTGTACTAAAAATTTAAGTACTACAGATTTTTGGTTACCCCATTACATTTTTAGCATTTAGAAAGTTTGTCTATTTCAAATCTCTTAAAGTTATGATTTTCAAACATGGAATATTGTGATCACTGTTGGTATTATTTCTGTACCAAAATTTTAAGTACAAATAAAGTACTGTAAAATACAGGTACCTAAATATTACAATAACTTTAAAGTAAAGAAATAGTACTAAATATCAAAAGTAAATTTCCAGTACTACAGATTTTAAGTACAGAAATAGTACCTATGCAAAAATAGCAGTGTATACGTAGGTGCCTTCTAATTAACTATCGAGTTGACCTCCGAACACATCCGATGGCCATATAAGCGATATAAACATAAATATAGATATAAATAGATATTGAAACTCGTGCAATTGGATTTTTCTAGGTCTGTTTAATTTCATATTGTAGATTAAAAATATATGTTAATCATCTTTTTAACCTGTATAAGAAAGATTTTTGTGGATCGAATCAGTCAATCAAATAATTTACCTTTGTTTCACTTTCAATGTTGACATTCTTTTCCTTTAAATAACTCAACACGCACAATGCATGCATTATCTATTTCTAGCCAAGGGGTTAAATTGAAGTTAACATGAATACGGATTCAATGGGGTCGAATTATTCACTTGCAAGTGAATAATTCATCATCAATGTTTTTTTAGCTTATTTTGACAAAATTGAACCATACTGGCTGCTAAAAGCGAATTATTATTTCACTATTATGATTGAACAAAAAAAATCATATTTCAGATTTTTTATATATCTCGTAGCTAGTTCCCCTTTAAAATTTAAACATGTCTTACTTTTACAATAATTATTCAGAGTTAGTAACAAAACATATGTTGTTATGGTGTACATCATGACTTACTGGTTCCTGTACTGGTGCTACTCTTACAGAGGCAGCTCTAGCGGATTCTTCTTCATATTGGTCTAAAATTGAGGCCATGGTTCAATAACAGATACCAACTGCTGCAATAGATTCAGAGGTAAAAACTTTTAATCACTGACTTTAATCAAGAGTGACTACGTTATAGATAATGCATATTTTAAGGTTTTTCTTATTATATGACAAGAAAAACCTTAAAATATGCATTATCTGACTTATATACCATCAAAAAAATATTATTTTCTGCAAAGATTTGCTGGATTTGCATCCTATTTTACCAACCACACTTAAGTGGGATATTCTTTTCTGATGCGTTCAGGTCTTAATATGCCCTACGGCTCATTTATAATGTGAAATAAAACTCATTTTAATCTAGATATAAACTTTAGAAATCATTATCCAGGCACAATAAAAATATTACTGTAACTGCATGAAGCAAGACACAAATGAATCATGTTGTGAACTGTTACTGCCAGATAACTGTGTATGAAAAATACAAAAAAAAAGTCAGTTTGTACATGTGTTGTAAGTAACTTACATGTATTGTATCAACTTAGTTGATGAAAGGGGGATGCTATGTTTTTTTCATGACATTTTTATCGCGGAAAAGTATGATTTTCAATGTAGTGTTAACCATGTTAACTAAGCAAAGTTTCAAAGTCAATAGACCTTGACTGAGGGGGCGGGGCCAAATAATCTCCATGGTAATAAGATGTGGCAATTCTAATACAACTGCATACAAAATATCATTGACCTACCACTAGTGGTTCACCATGAACTAGACCTAATCACAAACTAATACATTGTTGACGCCGCTGCCGTAGTCGTCGTCATCGCAGACGCCGGAAACAGCATACCTATGTCTCGCTTTTTGACTCCGTCAAGGCGAGACAATAAAAGGTTCTGTTGAACCTGGTGTCTTGCAATTGAATGCTGCTATTAGTGTTATATTTCCAAAAAATAAATACATAATAGTAACATTGATCAGTTAAATACAGAAAAATCAATATTAAAATAAACTGTTATCACAGAGATATGTCTCGCCTTTTTGTAATTTTGATAATGCAAATGTTGAAATTAAAATTGCAATACTTTAACATGTAAGTAATGCAAATATTCAAAGTCGATGAACTATGACTGAAGGTACATGGCTAAACAATCTCCACGGAATGAGATGTGCCAATGCTAATACAACTGCATACCAAATACCATTGACTTATTATAAGTCGTTTCCTTTAAACAAACCTAAACACAAACATTAACTTGTAAACTATGTAAACATGGTAAAAGCTTCAAAGTCAATGAACCATGACCAGGGGTGGGGCTATATAATCTCCATGGAAACGATACTTGCAAATGCCAATAAATTTGCATACCAAATATCAATGACTTAACATTAGCAGTTCATCTTAAACTGATCTAATCACAAACTAATACATGTAAACTAAGCAAAAGTTTCAAAGTAAATAGGGGCGGGGCCGAATATTCTCCATGGAAATGAGATGTGATAATGTTTATACAACTGAACACCAATAAACATTGGCCTACCACTAATATTTCCCCTTGAACTGACCTAATCACAAACTAATACATGTAAACTTTTCAAAGTCTATAGACCATGACTAAGGGGACGGAGCCAAATAATCTCCATGGAAATGAGATATGCCCATGCTTATACAACTGCAAACCAAATATCATTGACCTACTACTAGTGGTTCCCCATAAATTGACCTAATCACAAACTAATACATGTTGTTATTTATGTATTATTGTCATTTTGTTTATTTTCTTTGGTTACATCTTCTGACATCAGACTCGGACTTCTCTTGAACTGAATATTAATGTGCGTATTGTTATGCGTTTACTTTTCTACATTGGCTAGAGGTATAGGGGGAGGGTTGAGATCTCATAAACATGTTTAACCCCGCCGCATTTTTGCGCCTGTCCCAAGTCAGGAGCCTCTAGCCTTTGTTAGTCTTGTATTATTTTTAATTTTAGTTTCTTGTGTACAATTTGGAGTTTAGTATGGCGTTCATTATCACTGAACTAGTATATATATTTGTTTAGGGGCCAGCTGAAGGACGCCTCCGGGTGCGGGAATTTCTCGCTGCATTGAAGACCTGTTGGTGGCCTTCTGCTGTTGTCTGTTCTGTGGTCGGGTTGTTGTCTCTTTGACACATTCCCCATTTCCATTCTCAATTTTAACTATGAAAAGTTTCAAAGTCAATAGACCTTGACTGAGGGGGCGGGGCCAAATAATCTCCATGGTAATGAGATGTGCCAATGCTTATACAACTGCATACCAAATATCACTGACCTACCACTAGTGGTTCACCATGAACTAGACCTAATCACAAACTAATACATTGTTGACGCCGCCGCCGCCAGAAACAGTATACCTATGTCTCCCTTTTTGACTCTGTCAAGGCGAGACAAAAATCAAATTTTCCAGTGTATGTGTTTATACTCTTGATTATGAAAAATCTTCTGTCCAAGTTTTGTAAAATTGAAAAGCAAACTAGACATGATCAGACTTATCATAGACTGTCATGACTGTAGACACTTAACTCATCGATTTACTGACAGCATGTTTACATTTGTTTATAGAGAAGTGTATATATAGCTTTCATGTCAATCTGGCCAAAGTCGATCAGTCCCAAATTGTTCCAGCCCAAGTTGATTTGGCCTACATTTCAAGTCGATCTGGCCCCAATTTAAACAATTTTTTTTTTACATGTGACAAAACTTATATGTTTTTGACATGAAGCTCATAAATATCAATGAAGTTTATGAACAATAGCAAAGGTGGAAGATCAAAAATTGTGCCTTTGATGCATATCAAAATATATAGTTTTCAATGGGAGACATTTATTAGAATATTGTTTTTAAGATTTCAATTTTCATATCGAAATATATTATTTGTTTTAATTTTAATGTAAAACATGTAAAATGTTTATATCCAGATTTCATATTAAAATATATTATTTTTTTAATGTAAAATATTTCTATCTACATTTCATATTGAAATATATTATTTTTTTTATGTAAAATATTTCTATTAAAATCATTTTATCACCTTTAATGAGTTAGGATGATTATGCAGTATATAGCATAAATGTTGATTATGATTTTATTAGAAGTTATAAAGTCATATATCAAGAATATTGGGTATGCATATTTATAATAAAAACATATAACTTTACATGCATGACATGTATTACAGAAGTTACTTTATTAGTGCAATCATTAGTTATTCAGCAATTTTTCATATGACTTTGATCTTAATAATCTTTTCAATTGGTGTAATAAAATTGGTTAATACGTGTACCATGTGCATGATGTGTACACAAGTTGATTCCCAAGAAGCTGCGGAACCGTAATTCTTATGGTCCTTTTATATTTTTTTTTGATTTTGCGGATCTATGGTCCGCAACTAGTCAAAAAATATCATAAGGACCTAAGAGCTACGCAGCTAATTCCCAAGCTAATGTACGCACAAGTTTTTTTTTTAAAGTTATAAAATCTATTAAAATTGAGAAATATTGTTTGATTTGCCGAATCCCTTTCATAAAAAGTTAATTACCTATTGACATTGATAAAAAATACTGTATCCTAATAAGTATTCCTCCTATCTGCGAAATTTAGTATTTACACAACTTTTTCATGTGCAAATTGCCTGACTTACCATGAATTGAATACTTCACAAAACACTCAGACTTTTATTGTAATTATTCATTATCTTAGTATGGGGCAGGAATGACTTGGGTTGGTTGATTTGGAGTCTAATCAACTTAGGGCCAGAACTACATGTACCTGATGCCGTGTATGTAAGTAACTGGATTTTTACCCTCGGTGTTCCTTATGAAGAAAGCTTATACAGAGAGAAGATTTTCTAAATTGTCCCTGAATGACCCTATAACTAGCTCTGAACCTTCAGATGTCAAATTTTTAATATCGTGATGCAAAATTTTGCTGGAACTTGCATGATTTTAACCCTCTTGCTACATCCATTAGTTCCTGGATGTTATGCTGCAGAATATTCATTTTCATCGTGTCTTTGGCAAGATGATTTATCTTCAGCCCTAACCAGTCCAAAATATTCATTTCCAAATCCTCCTGCAGCCCCCGAAAATCAAATGTTCCCCATACAAATGTAACTGCCTCTTTTTTCAGACCTGGGGGAGGAAACCTTCGTTTCTCGTTTATTTCTTACAAAAAATATACCACGCAAAATTGATAAGACAGCCTAACTATAGCATCTTACTAACCTCGTCTTTAACTAATAAATTCTTCTGATAAACTATCAATGGGAAGTTCTAAAAAAAATTGTCAGGAAATACAAATTTGTACGGTTGTCAAACCATGGAGGCTGCCATATTTGTTTTCTTAATTTCGTCCGATAACCAAAAATAGAAGTTATAGTAAAAGAATGCGACGGACGAAAATTCTTAAACAGAAATATCTTATTTCACAGCAAGTGTTTCAAAGCTTTTAAATAAAACCAAATGTGATTATCTATCTGCATCAATCTCTATTCATCAGAAGACCTTAAATTCAGAAATTATTGCTAGGTTTTTATTAATGCGAATGGGTTAGTAAAATTTCTATACAAACTGTTAGACTGATTTTTCATAATAACATGGCACTGGCTACGGTTACATGGAAATGTAACAATAATAAAAATATTATTGTTACATTGGAGACTAATTGCTGGAATACAGGGTTGGGTAAGGATCCGATTAATTACGAATGTAACAATAATTATTGAGTCTACAGTTACATTGTGTTATAATGTTACAGTAATGCACTTTTTGTTAATGTACGCTAGATTAATTAAACGTAAATCTTCTATAGTTGTGTTGCTTATTTTTTTTCGCCAATTAGAATGAAATTACTATCACAAAATATCTGGACTCTGAAAATGAAAACACCGATTCCACCAGTTTCAACATGTCGGCAAATTGCCTTCACAATCAGTGGCGGATCCAGAGGGGGGCGTAGAGGGCGTACGCCCCCCCTTTGCTCACACTTTTTTTTTTTTTTTTTTGTAAAATGATTAATCAGACAAGACTTCGCGAACTTTGCCATTTCCCGTGTATTTAATTTTTATGCGACAATTCTTTACTTATAAAGATATTTTTCGCTCGTATTTACTGTAATATATTATTGATTATGTCAAAGTCATGTGATTCGCTACGGTGGAGTTGACCAGTACGTCGAAAAAACGTCACTCAGTCCTTTTGAAATTCAAATTACAGTAACACATTGCTTAGGCTGAGGATAACAAGCATGACGCCTTCAAAGCGATAAAGTATTGAGCAAGAACGTATTGACAATATTATTTACCTACGAAAACATGTTTAACCCAACACGCCCCAACCCATTAATAACATTGCTGAATAGTGATCCCCAGTCAGTAAGCTCTAGATATAGATTTAAAGTCTAAGGTACGGACCATTTAATTTGAGGGGGCAGTCTGAGATATTTCAGAGAAAAAATTCTGACCCTGATTTTTGCCTTAAACACAAATTCTGGCCGTAAATGGATTGAAAACAATAATCTTGTCCACTTTTTTGCTATTAGAAAAAAATATTTTCAACAAAATTATTTAGCATTAAATGAACATGATGAATAAAAAACGAGCGTAATTTTTTTTTGGGGGGGTTGCATGTGAATCCCATATCTGACCGGAGTGTCTGTTTCGCCGAACTGATATACTGAATACTTTTTTCAACGCCCGACTGCAACCTGCCTGCTGGGTGTGGCCTATATGTCTCCATGTGTCGACCGTCATTCACAACTTCATTGTCATTTCCGACTCATTCGTAGCCTTTGGTTGATTTGGAACCCCTCACTTCCCTTGTTGGTTGAAACATTTCAACCAAACATTTGGATAAAAATTGCTTGTTTGTCTTTCTTCGTGTCGGTCGTATTGTAAATTTCATTGAATAGCCGTATATCTTGTTTACAAGAAATCTGTGAGGTTATGCTAACTAACCATACAACAAACGAGAATTTTCCATGTCCATTTTTTACTGACAAATATTAATTAGTACATAGCTTTGGATCCATCCAATCATTTTATAATAGACAATTAATGGAGAGAATACGGCACCAAAAATGTCCAACCCCTACACTTTAACTATAAAATGCATTTTACACTTATTTTATGTATTTTAGCCAAAAAAAGGTCCAAAAAATTTTTCGCCTCCCTCCGCTCGGCCAACTTTCATACTACGCCCCCCCTTTCCAAAATCCTGGATCCGCCCCTGACAATTGACTTGTATTTTTATTTTCTATTGGGTTTTTCAGCTTTGCTAAGTTGGATATAGAAATCGGAGGTGAACATAAAATCAGTAATGGACGGTAATGAAATCATATTACAACCTCACATTATATATGCTTCCAACAAAAAAATGGATGAAAATATAAACATCGCAAAAAGGATTTATATATACAAATCCTTGATCGCAAGAGTAAAAAAATATTGAAAATTTCTTTAACTTTAAAAAAGTATAAAACAGAATGGAATTGTACAGTATGAAATACAGACAAGCAAATTACTGCACCACTCGTTTGTGATGGCTGCTTGGTTTCACCAGGATTCGTCAGACTAAAACATGCTCCCAAAAACAACATATTAGATTTGAAGAAACTGAAAAATTGCAAATGAAATTTTAAAGATTGTATGCAATTTTGTAAAATTCAAATAAAACTTTTCAAGTTTTATTTTATTACATATTACTAAGTCACCCAGCGTACATTGAAGTGAATTAATGTAACAATAATGCAGTGTAACCGTACTAGACTCAATAACTATTGTTACATCCGTAATTAATCGGTTCCTTACCCAACCTTGCATTCCAGCAATTAGTCTCCAATGTAACAATAATATTTTTATTATTGTTACATTTCCATGTAACCGTTGCCAGTGCCTAACAACATTGAAGTGGAATTAAAGTCTTATAGGATTGTAAGTATGCTTTATTTTATCACCTTGCACTTTCATGACTTGACTGAGGTTTTCTACAGCAGTTTGTTCAAATTTCTGACCAGTTGATCAGTTTGGTTTTATAAAACAAATTGCAATTTAGTCAGAATTTTGAATAAGTTGCAATAGGTTGAGAGCAACACTTACAGTCAAGTCACAGTAAAATATTCTCATTCTAATATCTGATACATATATCTGTATGCAGCTTTTCCTGAAATCTCAATAATTAATCTCACATTTTTGTCCATTCTTTAAAAATCGCAATAATAAATGCATGCAATAATTTCTGAATTTACAGTATATAGTATTTTAATAAATCATATTTCCAATAATTGGAGCTGCCAATCTAAGATTCATCTCTTTTGTTATATGTCTTTGGTTGTAAAATGTGACATTTTCAATGTTGAAGATTTCACTTGAAAAGGAATTCTGTTTTTACGAATAAAAAAACTTAAGAACTTTATTGAAACTAATCTTAATCACAATATATGAAGCAATTTTTTAACATAAAAAAATTCTTCTGCAATCTGATTGCTCAAACTAAATACCATCACAAGTCTAGCTACTGCTTAAATCAGAATCAATTTTATTGGAATGATAGGAAAGGATGGCAGAGGGGCCCAGTCAAAATTGTTTGCCTACAGATAAACAAAATGTTCATTTTTCATTGAAGTTAATAATTCTTCCCATTATTATCAGATGTTATGAAACAAGAATAATATATTCAGTTGAAACATCAGAACTAAGGATTTAATTAACTTGATATGGCAGAAATAGTGAGGTTTTGTGAGAATACATATCATATAAAAAGCTATTTTTTATTCTTATAAAACACAATGATGCATCTTTGTCTATAATGTAAAAGTATTTTGAGGGGGAAAATTGGAAATTGATAAAGTTTCCATGAAAGCCACTGGTTTATTGAATCCTTCATATTAATCAGTTTTTTGTTTTCTGTGTGGTGTTTTGTAACGTTTTTTTACCCTTTTTCCTTTTTTGATAGTTTTTCTTTGGCTGATGATCTTTTTTGTTTGTTTGGTTTCTTCTGTCTCTTGATTGCAACTTTAACTAATGTCATTGGAATCAAGATATTACTTAAATTGACTGTTATATGATCTGCCCTTCTTACAGATATTGAGGTGAAATTTCTTAAACAGTAAAATAGGAACTTTCAGATCAAATGTGAGTTGAAAGGACTTATGATCTTAATTGTGGTTAGTGAACTTTAAAAATCATAAAAGTTCTGGTCTTCTCATTTGCTGTCAGTCATGTATTGAGCTGACATTTGGAATGCCACTGAAGATTAAATAGTTACAGAACTCATACAAGCTTCAATCTGATTGACCTAATTTGACCAAATCACAGCCTTTGGTCTTCTTTGTTGTCAACTCTCCATGAAGGTCAAATGATCAAAACAAAAAGGGAAAGGGATGAGTACTTTAAACAAGAGTGCACATGCTGAAATGTTTCACCTGCTGTACTGATCATGATTGCTTTTTTTGTTTTGTTGAAAGTCTTTTAAGATCACTGTTTTACTACAGGTATCACATAAACTTAACATTATTAAGATCCATGAAGATAAAGTCAAGATCAGATAATTCATTTCAGATGGACATGTATACCTTAAAATCATTCCATACACCGAATATTGTTGTCTTAGTGGTGTCTGGGAAATGGACCTATCCACAAAAAGTTAACAGTGATCAACAATTGAGATAGGTTCAATATCAGATATATTCTACCAGATGGATATGTACACAATACAATCTTTCCATACATTAACTATAGTTAACCTTTTGCTTCTAGTACTATAAATTCTGAAATTTTGCCATGAATTTCCAGTATCAGAACCACAAAACCTGAATTTTGAACAATGAACCAGGAAAATGTTTTCAATGTTAGATGAACCTTACCACAGGGACATGAACACTTTACAATCTTCCCATACACCAAAAATAGTTGAACTATTGCTTAAAATATCCAGGTATCTGAATCACACTTAACCACAAAAACTTAACGTTGACCACAGATCCATGAAAAGAGGGCAAGGGCAGATGAACCCTGTCTAATGGGCAGGTAGACCTTGCAATGATTCAAAATACCAAATATAGTTACCCTGTTATATGTAAGAAAATCATGTGAGAAATCAAAAAAAAGTTTTTTTAAAGAGTCTCCAAACCATGAAAATGAGATCAATGACAATGGACATAAGCAAGATGGAAACTTTAGAAAATAAAAAATCTGTTTACAAGATATGAAGTAACCAGGTCTTCATAAAATAAATCTTTCTACAAATAGTTTACGGTATAACCACTGCCAGATTTGATCCCCAGTTTGGCATTCTGCAATATATGTGGCAGGAGGGACAAACTTAGATGTAAATGTGCCTTTCCCATTTCAGGACCACAGTTTATGTCTTAGTGGTTTTTATTGCCTTTTGAACAATTTTTGTCATATTGTGTCAATCTGAGACAGACATACATTTGATATATGGTTAAGACTCTTGTCCACTGTAAAGACCTAGCTGACAACAAAATATCTTATCTGGTTTTAACAATGTATAATGTGCTGTTGAATTGTTTTCTAATTGACATTTACCCTGTATTTCCTATTTTAAATGTGTAACTATAGATATTGAATCAAACTTAACAATAAGCAACTTATAAATTACATCATCACTGATTAATAAAAATCAATGAACCATGAAAATGAGGTGTAAGTCATGTGACCTCCACATCAGACAGAACCATACCTGTAGACCTAATATAGTTCATCTATGACTAACAATTAACTGAATGAAAAAATTTACTTTGAAGAAAACTTTTTGCTGATCAAGGAAACATAAAAATGCTTGTCTGACATTTCAGTGATTCTAATGACAAATGTATACTATAGTTAACTTGTGTTTCAGATATGATCACTTGATGTCATCTTGAAAAAGGACAGTGTGATCTCATGTCCTGTCGATCTACAGATAAAACTAAGAGAATGTTTCATGTGACTGATGACTTCATATCATGATGATGATTTAGTTAAGATATGTGGTGATCAGCTTAATTGCTTAAATGAGATAATGCTTTTTTTTCAAAAGTGTATCCAGAAATTGTCCAACATAATAGCTATATCTGATTAAGGAAATATCTTATACTACTCAAATAAACTTAAAAATCTCAATCAAGCGAATGTAAAATATATTTATTTTTCATGACACTTTTTGCCTTTTAGATGGATTTGAACGGATATCCAATTCTAGGTCAAGATCGTCTAAATCATCGTCATTATCAGTTACACTGAATACAGGAGTAGATAATTTCCTAGAATTTAAAGTAGTTAGCCATGAAGGACTTTGTGAACACTGTTGTACAATCTCACTTGAGTTATTGTTTGATGACTGGAAACTAACAGATAAGTTTGGCGACTGTGAACTTGAAGGTGTTGAGTCTTTCGAGTGACTATTAGTTGTGTTGCGTACAAGATTCAATAAATCGCATGCACGTTTTATTTTTGCTGAATCGTCAATTGTGCCTCTTATCTGAGAATTTGAACCAGCATTAGAAATAGTAACATTTTGTGATTGTATACTGTCCATCCATAGATGTCCTGACATCATACTTTCAGATAGCCCGCTATCTTCCCCGCTTACTTTCCTTTCACTCTTTTGACCCTGATATTGATGAACATCCTCCACAGACCTATCAGTTTCATCAGCTGACAGTTCATGTTTTCTTGCAATAGATGAATTAGCTTTATCAAAAGCAAACTGTTTTAACTTTGAAATAGTACTTGCTGGAATCTTTTCCTTCATTTCATGATGGACTTTTTCTTTAATAGTTATATTTGAGTGAGCTTCTTTCTTGGGTCCATTCTTAAATTTTTTTTCCGGAGTTTCAGTTTCTTCTAAATCATCCATTTTTCTTTCTGGTTCCTTATTGCACATTTTAGATTTAAGTTTAGCAACTAGTCTCTTCCCTTTAAAGTTTTTGTTATTTGTTTCACCTTTATCTTTTACATAAATGAGTTTACCTTTGCTTTTCAGTTCAACATCAATTTCATCCATGAAATCTAAATTCTCATCTAGTGTTTCATTTGTTTTGCTATTTAGATGTTTGTGAGTTCTTTCATTCCTATTCTTGATAACACCAGCTACATGATTTTTAGAAACAGGTGTTTCTGCCTGCTTTTCATGAAGAACCGACGAGAGGTCCAAAGTCTGTATTCCATCATTGTGACCTTTAGGAGATACCCTTGACAGTTGTGTTGAAGTGAAAGGAACATCATTTGATTCACCTGGAGTTAGTCCAACAGTTGGACAAACCACAGGATGAGAGAGTGAGAACGGTTCTGTTCCACCACTACAATTCAGTAAATCTAATGACACGTCTATATGATTAACAGAGCTATCGAAACTGTTTTCTCTTGATCTACTTTGTAAATTTGATTCTGTTTTGTTATTTTTGTCATCTTTTTCAATTTCCTGACTAGGTAAATGTTTGTAAGAATTCTGATGAATTTCTGTTCTACTTTTTAATCGATAAGACGTCTCAGCATTTGATGTTCCATTTTGTGTTGAATTATCAGGTATTGGTAATTCACTTAATACCGAATTGATTGTTATATTTTCTATTATTGATCTCTGCTTTTTTATATTTGTTGAAGTGTCACCTGCTTCAGGAGATACTTCTCTTTGATAATTAGACAACTGGGTAATGTCCCTTGTTTTCTGTGATGGTGAAATACTACTGTTTTGTAAATCTACAGAGTTCTGTGATGGGTTAATATTACATGTTTGTGAATCTACAGAGTTCTGTGTTATCGTACCCATAGTTTCTGAGATAACTTCAGTATGAGTCATATTACTATTCTGTGTATTACTCCGTTGGCTAATGTCCACCGTCTCATTTACAATTAAGTTTTTGTAGTTCTCCAGTATTTTCATCTCATCTTCCAAAATATCAGTTAAACTCAATCTGTTTAGAACCAGTTCAGCTGAAAAAAAAGTATTTTTTCATCATAGTCACAGCTCACAGTGAAAGATTCAACATTTGTATTATGCAATTAATTTTGTGAAAACCTAAAACCTTTTGATACTTTAAATAGTGCACTTCTATACAATCAACGTACATGTATATAATTTTAATTTTAAATATATGAATCTGAGATAACAAATTTGTGACATATGCACTTTTAAAATCACTATGCAGTTTAATGTTTTTTTAGCAACTTTTAACAATGTACTGTTGGGTCCATGCAAGATTATAATTATTTCAAACACAATGGCTGACTTCAGGATATTTATAATTCAGTGGTGTGTTCTGCATGTCTATTTTTTATCCATGAACTAAATGAAATGATTGGAGTTCTACGTGTCTCTATTCTGTTTCCCGATCTAATCAAGGAAAACTGTATGTAAATCATCAACATACAAACCTTGTAATTTGTATTCTTCCTCTGCACTGTCTGGGAAGGCTGTGTGCAAAGCATTGACTCCTCCCAATAATGCAGCTCCCTATACAACAAAAAAAGAATTTATTAAAATGTATATAACTTTTTTAGCTTAATTGACATTAAAATATCAGTCCTTAAATTAAAATAACTTTGTGATCACATATTCAGATTTACCTATTTCATTCATATAAAAGTTTGAAAATTAAAAAAAAAATTCCTATACATTTTATTTTTAGTTTTTCTGATAAATAGAAATAAATCACACTACAAGTTGATGTCTATTTTTTTTTAAACCACATTAAAATAAAATGATAAGAGAGTTGTAGACCTGCATGGTTGATTCCATCAATGTGACTGCAACCACTGCATCCTGTACTGTTACTGTGTTTCTGAACATCAGTCTGGCATGAGCTGTAATGAAAAATATTAACTTAAATTCGGCAAGAACTGAAATGAAAAACTTCTGAATTAAAATAATAAACATTATAAATATATGCCTGTCTAAACTCAACTATTTCACCATGAAATCTGAATTACATCAGAGTAGTTTAAGCAGCATTTACAATTTTGTATTATCTTTTATTTTCTATCATGATTTCCTTGATAGAAGGTTGCTACTTACATGGAATCTTATGAAACAAGGTTTCCAAGTGGTAGAGTTGAAGTCATCCCTTTAAAAATTTTACAGACACCATCACAAGTTGGTTCACCTGTAAACACAATCTTGTTCTCTTTTCCTTGATTGTGGAATGTTCTAGTGAGATTAATCCCTGAATTTATACTTACCAGGTGTGGAGCAGGATCTGCTTACACGTCTGGAGCACTGGAGATAAGATAACCCCTAGTTATTGGTGGGGTTCGTGTTGCTCAGTTTTTAGTTTTATATGTAGTGTTTTGTATATTGTTGTTTTGTCTTTTCCTCATTTTTCATTTTTTATCATGGCCTTGTCAGTTTCTCTATTACTTATGAGTTTTGAATATCTCTTTGACATCTTCTGCCTCTTTTTTTCTAAATCTGAACCTGCTATGGAGTAACATTATGTTTATTAATTACCTGCTATGGAGTAAAATGTTTATTCTATCAGGACTGTGACAAACTTCTTAGGTGCTGCAAATACTTCATTTCCTTATTTTTTAAAAGATTTCTTAACTTGGTATGCTACGGAAAATTGTAGTTCAACCTGAGTATCAGCATTTAACCTTGTGATAAGATGACAACCGTGACATATTTGAAGCATAGCAGTATTTCTTAACTATAGACAACCTTATCATGGTCTGGAGTAATCTCATGGTTCTTGCAGCAATCTTATCATGACCTGGAGTACAAACTTTTCATACTCCGGGGTAACCTGGTTGTTAAAGTTTTAGCAGCATCTCTATCCTTGTGACAACTTTATCATGATTTAGAGTAACCCAATTGAGTCTCATTTCTCACCATGTGACAACTTATGCTCTACAGCAATTTCACTGCAATTCTTACAGCAATCTAACTTTGTTCTGGAGTATAGAAACATTTCTTACCTTGTGATAATCTTATCATGCTCTGAAGCAACCTCATGGTAGTTCTTGCAGCATTTCGATCATCAGCTCCTCTTTGTGCCTTGTAATACTCTCTTAAAACCCTGTAATGTTGTTCAATAACATAAGAGACTCTGAGGAATCAAAGCACCCATAAAATATTATTATAATTCAAATTGAATCATTTTAATTGATCTGTCTGCTTTATATACGATTTATAGTATTTTTGTTTACCATTGTATTTTCTTATTCAAGTGTATGATTGTTTTTCTGACAGAAAGCAGTAATTCTTCAATATAAAGAATTATCTATTTATTATTACAAGTTTATGCGCTTACAGCATTAGAACGCTCATGAAATTGTGTAATGTTTGGATATTGATTGGTGGCTGTCTCATTGACCTTATACCGCACATCTCCTTTTGTTCACATTTTCCAACAATATAAATAAAATTGTTGATGTAGGCATTAACATTAGGGTATATAGAATAACTTTAAACAGAAATACCTGCTAGCATCTTCAGTAAGTTCTGGATTAATGGTCTTAACCAGTGATATGTAAGCCTGCATCTTCTCCATACTCCAGAGAGATCTTGGGTCAACATCGCCTACAAGTGTTAATCTAATACAGATACTAACCTTCATATGCAAAATGTACTGCTGAGACATTGTTAATTATGCTAAAGTATATTTAAAGTACATAAAGTACAGACTGTTTACATTCAGATGTTTTGTAATATATTCAGGAAGCATCTAAAATGTATTGTTTTCCAAAATATAATATTTTCAATTTATAAATGACTTACATATAAAGACTTTTATGACTTTTAAAAAAAAAATCTTTAATATAAGGTTTAAACTAATTTTCTGAGAGCCATTTATATATTTCACAACTTTAGCAAGAAGAAAAAATTATGTTCATATAAATCATTATGAATAAGTCAAACTTGGATCTTTTTTATGTGAACACACAAACAACTAGAAATAAAAGAAGAATGTGTCTGAGAACACAAATGCCCCCGCTCAAGCTCCATACAAACGAAAATGGGACGGACAGATTACAAGGGTAACACTTAATGCCCCCGTCGTCTTTTTATACATTGTGACTTGGATGGAGAGTTGTCTCATTGGCACTCATACCACACCTTTTTATACGACCGCAAAAATTAAAAATTTTTTGGTCGTATATTGGTATGACGTTGGCGTCGTCGTCCGGCGTCGTCCGGCGTCGTCCGAAGACACATTGGTTTTCGCACTCTAACTTTAGTTTAAGTGAATGGATCTCCATGAAATTTTACCATAAGGTTCAATACCACGAAAGGAAGGTTGGGATTGATTTTGGGGGTTATGGTACCAACAGTTAAGGAATTAGGGGCCAAAAAGGGGCCAAAAATAAGCATTTTTGTAACTTCCAGACAATAACTTGTGTGTAAGTGTATGGATCTCTTTGACATTGTACCACAAGGTTCCATATCACAAAGGGAAGGCTGTAATTGATTTTGGGGGTAATTGCCTCAAAATGTTAGGAATTAGGGGCCAAAAAAGGGGCAAAAAACAAGCATTTTTCTAGTTTCATGACAATAACTTGTGTTCAAGTGTATGGATCTCTCTGAAATTGTACTGCAAGGTACCATACCACAAAGGGAAGGCTGAGATTGAGTTTGGGGGTGATGAATCATAAGGGGGTTCAAAAATTTGGGGGGGGGATTTTTTTTTTTCTTTTTTTTTTCTTTTTTTCCTTTTTTTTTTCTTTTAAAATTTTCCATTTTAAGTTGGTTATTTCTGATTTATATTTAAAAGCAAATAATAATGATATGGTAGGAGATACACACCAAACAGGATGTGTAAATTATTATATAATAAGTATTGTGCAATAGCAAGAAATTTTCAATTGCACAGTATTGCACAATAGCAAGAAATCTTCAATTGCACAGTATTGCGCAATAGCAAGAAATCTTCAATTGCACAGTATTGCGCAATAGCAAGAAATATCCAATAGCACAATATTGCGCAATAGCAAGAAATTGTCAATTGTACTGTATTGCGCAATAGCAAGAAATAATCAATTGCACAGTATTGTGCAAAAGATGATACTTCGTATAAATTGCTTATTTCTTGATCAATTTCAATGGGGTTTTATTCTTGAATTCTTGGGGTTCTTTAATATGCTGAATCTAACCGTGTATTAAGTTTTTGGATTTTGGGCCCCGTTTTTAAATTGGTCCACATTGAGGTCCAAAGGGTCCAAAATTTAACTTTGTTTGATTTCATCAAAAATTGAATTATTGGGGTTCTTTGATATGCCGAATCTAACCGTGTATTTAGATTCTTAATTTTTGGTTCTGTTTTCAAATTGGTCTACATAAAGGTCCAAAGGGTCCAAAATTAAACTTAGTTTGATTTCAACAAAAATTGAATATATGGGGTTCTTTGATATGCTGAATCTAACCATGTATTTAGATTTTTGATTATGGGCCCAGCTTTCAAGTTGGTCCAAATCGGGGTCCAAAATTAAACTTTGTTTGATTTCAACAAAAATTGAATATATGGGGTTCTTTGATATGCTGAATCTAACCATGTATTTAGATTTTTGATTATGGGCCCAGTTTTCAAGATGGTCCAAATCGGGGTCCAAAATTAAACTTTGTTTGATTTCAACAAAAATTGAATATATGGGTTTCTTTGATATGCTGAATCTAACCATGTATTTAGATTTTTGATTTTTGGGCCCCGTTATCAACTTTGTCCACATTGAGATCAAAAGGGTCCAAAATTAAACTTTGTTTGATTTCATCAAAAATTGAATATATGGGGTTCTTTGATATGCTGAATCTAACCATGTATTTAGATTTTTGATTATGGGCCCAGTTTTCAAGTTGGTCCAAATCGAGGTCCAAAATTAAACTTTGTTTGATTTCAACAAAAATTGAATATATGGGGTTCTTTGATATGCTGAATCTAACCATGTATTAAGATTTTTGATTATGGGCCCAGTTTTCAAGTTGGTCCAAATCGGGGTCCAAAATTAAACTTTGTTTGATTTCAACAAAAATTGAATATATGGGTTTCTTTGATATGCTGAATCTAACCATGTATTTAGATTTTTGATTTTTGGGCCCCGTTATCAACTTTGTCCACATTGAGATCAAAAGGGTCCAAAATTAAACTTTGTTTGATTTCATCAAAAATTGAATATATGGGGTTCTTTGATATGCTGAATCTAACCATGTATTTAGATTTTTGATTATGGGCCCAGTTTTCAAGTTGGTCCAAATCGGGGTCCAAAATTAAACTTTGTTTGATTTCAACAAAAATTGAATATATGGGGTTCTTTGATATGCTGAATCTAACCATGTATTTAGATTTTTGATTATGGGCCCAGTTTTCAAGTTGGTCCAAATCGGGGTCCAAAATTAAACTTTGTTTGATTTCAACAAAAATTGAATATATGGGGTTCTTTGATATGCTGAATCTAACCATGAATTTAGATTTTTGATTATGGGCCCAGTTTTCAAGTTGGTCCAAATCGGGGTCCAAAATTAAACTTTGTTTGATTTCAACAAAAAATGAATATATGGGGTTCTTTGATATGCTGAATCTAACCGTGTATTAAGTTTTTGGATTTTGGGCCCCGTTTTTAAATTGGTCCACATTGAAGTCCAAAGGGTCCAAAATTTAACTTTGTTTGATTTCATCAAAAATTGAATTATTGGGGTTCTTTGATATGCTGAATCTAACCATGTATTTAGATTTTTGATTTTTGGGCCCCGTTATCAACTTTGTCCACATTGAGATCAAAAGGGTCCAAAATTAAACTCTGTTTGATTTCATCAAAAATTGAATATATGGGGTTCTTTGATATGCTGAATCTAACCATGTATTTAGATTTTTGATTATGGGCCCAGTTTTCAAGTTGGTCCAAATCAGGGTCCAAAATTAAACTTTGTTTGATTTCAACAAAAATTGAATATATGGGGTTCTTTGATATGCTGAATCTAACCGTGTATTAAGTTTTTGGATTTTGGGCCCCGTTTTTAAATTGGTCCACATTGAAGTCCAAAGGGTCCAAAATTTAACTTTGTTTGATTTCATCAAAAATTGAATTATTGGGGTTCTTTGATATGCTGAATCTAACCATGTATTTAGATTTTGGATATTGGACCATAAAAGGTGAATGTCCAATTTAAAATTTTTAAGTTCTTAGACCACATTCATTCCCTGTCAGAAACCTATGCTGTGTCAAATATTTAATCACAATCCAAATTCAGAGCTGTTTCAAGCTTGAATGTTGTGTCCATACTTGCCCAAACTGTTCAGGGTTCGACCTCTGCGGTCGTATCAAGCTGCGCCCTGCGGAGCATTTTATTATTTATATGTAAAAATAAGTTATATTATGGTATGTGGATATCAATGGCACCCTATCTTACCTAATGGATCTTTATTTTCCAGTATGAATGACGATACCACTCTATCCCAGTCTTCATTCTGTGAGTCCAATAGTACTAATACTAAGTCAAATCTACTCAACAATGGACTGGCTAAAGCAACATTTACACTCAATGACTGTAAATATAGTCAATATAAATCATAATGGATATAATATTGGAAATTTAAGTGATCAAATCAAATTATTAATTGTGTTAATATCAAAAGGGCTTTTATTTTTTTTTTTCAAATCAAAATACTGCATGGTACAGACACAATTTATATTTTCCAAGTAGGGTTTTGGTCTCTTGTTGTCTCTTTGACACATTCCCCATTTCCATTCTCAATTTTATTTTGGTTTATTTTACTGTGTTCGAACTTAAACTTTTTAAAGTTTTACCAAAGTAACTACTGTAAATTCAGAAATAATGGCGAGGTTTTTATTAATGCAAATAAAGCGACTACTCGAGTATCACAATAATAAGACCTCGCATTCTGATATCAAATACATATATCTGTATGTAGCTTTTCCTAAAATCGCAATAATTGAAACTCGCATTTTTGTTAATTTTCAAAAAATAGCAATAATAAATGCACACAATAATTTCTGAATTTACAGTAATATTTCTAATCTTACCTCATTTGGATCATAATGACCTTTAGGATTGGTAGCAGCAAGGATACTTGTCTTTGTATCAAGTTTACAAACCATTCCAGCCTAAATAAAATATAACACTGTGTTACTTCATTGAGCATTGGTTCATTCAGACTTTTTAATTGCCAAATAACCAACTCCAAGAAATAACTTGCTTAACGGTATTTGAAATAGTAGAAACAAGGCCAAAAAAACACTTTACATTTACACATTTATACATTCTCTTCATTAATTTTCTTCTTCTATAGAGTGCGGAAGGTCGTGGGTTACAACCCCAGCCGGGTCAAACCAAACACTTTAAAATTGGTATTTGTTGCTTCTCCTCTAAGCATGCGGCATTTAGGAGTAAGAGCAAAGACTGTTCGGCTCAGAGTCAGAATAATGTGTCCAGGTAAGGTGACTTGTCTCCCTGCGGACTGTTACCTTGTGAACTAGCACTTTAAAAATCCGGCTCAGCGTGTCAGTCTAGTACAAAGCAGGGTTAATATTCATATAACATTAACATACTAGTCCTGAATATGCATTAAAATGGAAATGCATGAACATTTTGTTTGTTTCTAAAAATATTTCCTTGCATCACCTTGGCAACACTGATTGTTTGTTGTTCCATAGCTTCATGTATACTGGCTTTATCATGTTCTCTGATACTATTGAATTCATCAATACAACACAGGCCACCATCAGCTAGGACTAAAGCACCTGCTTCTAACTGCCACTCACCACCATCCTATAATGAAAAATTATTATCAACATAGTAAGCCATCACATAGTGTTGTAATTAAAGTCAAACTGGACCCTAAATAAACCGGTTTCCTGTCCATTGTATTCTGTGTATGCCAAAAGCCGGTCTAATAATGCAGTCCCAATAATTATTACATTAATTATTACCTGTCAAAACCGGTTTGTTCAATATGTAATCAAAACAAAATTATTTATACAAGACAGGTTTTTAGGATAACAATTAGCAAGGTGTTAAACAGTGAACTCAAATTAGTGAGCTATTTTTATTGAAACACTATTAAGTTTTCATTAAAAATAAATAAAATGAAACAACTCAATACATCGTCAACAAATATATCTCAGATAGAACTCAAGTTGTTACATTGATAGATACACTTTTTAAATAACGGGGTGAGATTTACATCTTGCTTTCGAAATGCTCGGTTCCCTTCTGTGAACCTCAAAACAGATGACAATAATGGAGAAGACGAGGTTTACAACATTCCTTGTCAAGTTTATTGGTATGCACCACAATGTTTCCACCGTGATGAAATTTCGTTTGATAAAATTCCTTCTTTTTTATCAGCTATACCAACATAGGAAATAAATGATGGAAGTAAAAATGAAAGGATTCTAATGCAAATAAAAACAATGAATTCAAAGGGAAAGTGAAACTGATGAGTCAGAGACAGATGCTACCGTGGCCAATTGGACATACTAGGATATGTAAAAAATGGTATAATACTATTCTTTTGCATTCTGGGTAAAACTGGTTTCCAAAATTTCAATGATATACATCACCAATGAATACAATGACTGAAGACACGATCGTGCTTAATAAAATGGTGAACAGACAGGGAACGCTTGTAATGTTCATGTCACAATATTTTCACACAAACACGAGTAGAAGTAGTTCCTTACCCAATTACATATTCATACAGCAGCAAGGATATGCATGAGACCTGTATCAAATATAATGTATGCTTGTTAACGTAGTCTCCAATGTCAGTCACATTGACACATCAACACATCAACATTGACATGTTGACCCATTGACACATTGACACAGCCTAAGTTGCTAGATTGCTCATTGACACAGCCTACAACGTTAGATTGCTGTTTAAAACAGCCTACGGCACTAGTTTGCCTTTTGACACAACCTACAGCGCTATATTTCTCTTTGACACAGCCTACAGTGCTAGATTGCTCTTTGACACAGCCTACAGCGCTAGATTGCGGTTTGACACAGCCTATGGCGTTAGATTGCCTTTTGATCCTAACCCTAATCCTAAACTCTTATCCTAAACCTACCCTAATCCTAACCCTTATCTCAAACCCTAATCCTAACCCTAAAATTAACCCTAAATACGAGCCTATACCCTAACCCTAGCCTACGACGCTAGATTACCATTTGACACAGCCTACTCCAGTAGATTCCTATTTTACACAGCCTTATGGCGGTAAATTTACCCATTACACTTACCATGGTGCCAGAGGACCCTAGATGCCAAAGTGGCACAGCACAAGGCGTTATATTGTTCTTTGTCAAAGCCTAGCTATGGCGACTGATTGATCATGAACCAGTGTCAGTGTGTCGATGTGTTGATATGTTGATGTGTCAATGTGTCAATATGTCGATCAGTCAATGTTTCAATATGTAGATGTGTCAATGTGTCCAGATCAGCCATTAAATGTAATGCTGATTCACTCATTAATGATTCACTGATGAGAACTATTTCTTCTGTATTCTCCAGTTGATCCCAAACATGACATAACTTTTAATAAATAAATTATAACTGTATTTGTTTTTAATTAGTTTGAACTTTTACATGCAAAATATCTGACGTCACAAGTCAATAACTTCCTGTCAAACCAGAAACCTGAATAAACCGACCCACTGTCCAAACTGGCCCTTTTTCATAGTCCCATAGCCAGCCAGGTTATACAGTTTTTAGTGCATTGCCTTAATCAGACTTTACTTCCAGCAGCAAAGTACAATTAAATTTACCCTAGCCATATTGTTGCTCATCTCCAATAGATCGATGATAAACAGAAAATAACAAATGGGTAACATTTGCAATTCATCATTTGAGATATATTACTGAGAACTGTGGTTTCATTTATTTTCGTGGGTACCAAATATCATGGATTGAAAAAAATTTTATTTTCAAAGATATTTGATTTCTGGTTTTGGCAAAGTCTGTGATCAAGCCCGATTCACCTTTACTCACGAAACCCACAGAAATTGGTATTCAACGAATCCAGAATCATTCTGGTGCAGGTGCAATTAAATAGTTTCTGCGATGCCAAAAAAAGGTTCATTTGAATCATCTGTAAAAGCCTACCTTCACAGCTGTAACAGTAAGTCCTGCACTTGTACTACCAATCCCTGTTGTCAAAACAGATCGTGGTGTGATCTTCGTGGCATACTTCAGAAACTGAGATTTTCCTGTTCCTAAAAATATAGCAGGATTTATGTTGTTAACCATTTTTTCAATTTAACCAAAACAATGGTAGTTGCATTTAAGATTTATTCTGAATCCTAGATATTTTCATAGCAGATATTTGGTTTAGTGGTGAGTTTTAGATCAAGTTAATGTTTTGTTGCAACTAAACCACTTTTCACAGAATTATTGCCCTTGTATTTGGCAGTAGAAAGGGTTACTTGTCATCCCAAAAAAATCTAGATTTAGTGATCATGTAGTCTATTATGGTACAGATATCATCAATGTATAACAAGATGTACTGTGAGCTATTCTATACTATTTAACTATTCTGTAAACAGCTTGTTGATGAGCTATGGATGTGACTCATCACAAGGTAAAGTATGCTCATATGAAGCATGATACCAAATTTCAGAAAGCTCTGATTTGTAGTTCCTGAGAAAAATATAATGAATGTTTCATGAGACAGTGTTTAACCAGTATGCTGTGGATTCATTATTTTTCATTGGATACCAGTTTTCATGGATTTCGAACCACAAACTTAAAAGTTCAACGAATTGTGAATCTTCTTTAGGGAAGTTTGCAGGCTTTGGCAAAAGCACAAAATCAAATAACCAGGAAAATGTTAGTTTTCCCCAAAACATGAAAATTGGTACCCACAAAAATAAAAGAATTCATAGTGTCCAACTCTGAATGTAAACCCTTCAGAGAATGGATATAAATACAATTCTTTTTTAACTTTAATTTCCACATTTATACACTACACAAACTATTTTACCTGGATCCCCAACTAATAACATATGTATTTCTCCTCTCACTCTGGTTCCAGTTTCATCCACTCTCTACAAAATCATAAACATGCATTTTATACTACATTTGTCTCCTTTACTTAAATATACAATTAACAAACCATAGCCGATTCTAAAATTTTATTTCATTTCATCTAGTGTAAGTTATTTTTTAAGTCAGGTTTAGTAACTGATAATTATTTTAAAAAGGCAATATCTGGTCACTTCTGCCAAATATCCTTATCGGACAATCAATAAAATTCTAAAGTCAGTAATTTTTAAAACATTCTGGTCAATTACTTTCTAATGATAGTTAACTAAATGTAAAAAGGTCGTAAGGCCTTAGGGTCATGCAATATCCAGGCATTCTAGGGAAGAGCCCATAATTACCACTTTACCTTTATATTATATTTTTAATAATCTACCCAATATTCCTCCCAAGACAAGTTGAAATAGGCTGAATTATTTAGTATAACTTTCATATTACGAGTACCATTATAAGACATCTACATGCTGACAGACTATAACTATATAAAAGGGATAAAAAGTGCCTGGTTAGATGACAAAGAGAAAATTGATGTCAATTTCTCACATCGCTTTTGTTAGTTTAAAAGCACATATAGATGTAAAATGGTCTTCATTTTAATGTATAGTGAAATTTCTATCAACTAGTGAACCAGGTTAAACAAGTTTTGTGTTAAAGAGTTGTAGGCTGTACAATATATTCCTGCTGTACCTTTAAACAGCTTACAAACAGGGCTAGGCCATTGTCATCACTGGCTTTACAAGATAGAGATGGCACTAACATTGTGGTTGGCATATGTTTCATCCTGAACTCAAAACAGCAAGGGAAAAGTTTTACTACTTAAATGTGTTGGCTAGCTAATTTCCAAATTTTGATACAGACTTGAATGCCAATCAAGATATAAACTGTAGTTATATCTATATGAGCCCTACCAGTATAGCATCATGATTTTCATGCCAGACCAAATGTAACTATTTATACACCTACCTGAACCCCACCAGCTAAAGCCATAGCTACGGCAAGTTTGACCACATATAATCCATAGACTTGTGGACAAAAACTGGTCAAGATCTGGTTTCTCCCCGTCAGTGGTTGATGAGAACGACTCTCCCAAAATGATAGGATTTCCTTTTTCTGAAAAATACAATTGAAATGAATAGCTGGGCCATGAGCTCATGATACACCCGTCGCTTTTTCAACGAATAAAGTTCCATAACTCCTCAATGTCATTTTTCATCACTTGGCGTCTGTCGTCGTCGTCCGTTAACTTTTACAAAAATTTGTAAGGGTTCCCCGGAACCCAGTGTCTCGCCTACTTTTGCTGTTAATCACAGGCTCAACAAAAATGAGGAAAAAAATTGATAAAAATATTCCTCTCTATACTATCTTTTGATTGTAAGTAGCTTCTGTCCAAGTTTGGTAAAAATCCAGGATAGTTTATGAATCTAATAAATGTTATAAAAACTTAAACTGCAGACTGTATGTAATGTTAACTGGAAGAAAAACTAAGTCCATTTATAAGTAAAATACGGAAAAAATGGAACAAAATGTTAACAAAATTTCCTTCTAGATACTAGCTTTTAATCATAAACAAGCTTCTGTCCAAGTTTGGTACAAATCCAGGATAGTTTAAGAAAGTTGTTAAAATTTTAAAAACTTTAACCACAGAGTGAATGTAATGTTAACTGGCAGAAAAACTAAGTCCATTTATAAGTAAAATATGGAAAAAATGGAATTTTTTTTTTACAAAAAATGGAATTTTTTTTTTACAAAAAATTTCTGGATACTATCTTATGATCATAAACAAGCTTCTGTCCAAGTTTGGTACAAATCCAGGATAGTTTAAGAAAGTTATTAAAATTTCAAAAACTTTAACCACAGAGTGAATGTAATGTTTCCTGGCAGAAAAACTAAGTCCATTTATAAGTAAAATACGGAAAAAATGGAATTTTTTTTTTACAAAATTTACATTTGAATATTATCTTATGATCATAAACAAGCTTCTGACCAAGTTTGGTAGACATCAAGGATAGTTTAAGAAAGTTATTAAAATTTCAAAAACTTTAACCACAGAGTGAATATTTGTGGACGCCGACGACGCCGACGGAATGTAGGATCGCTATGTCTCGCTTTTTCGACAAAAGTCGAAGGCTCGACAAAAATCTTCTCCTCTGAAACTACTATACCAAATTCAACCAAACTTGGCCAAAATCATCTTTGGGGTATATAGTTTTAAAAATGTGTCTGATGACCCCGCCTGCCAACCAAGATGGCTGACATGGCTAAAATTAGAACATAGGGGTAAAATGCAAGTTTTATCTATTATTTTGAAAACTGTTATAAATAGAGAAAATCTGATGGGAGCAAAACTGTTCAGAATGTTGAGCTATACCAATTGTCCATATAAGTCAAAACTGTCAGAGGACTTCTTAATGGAGTTATTGCCCTTAAATGACAAATTTTACCATTTTTTTCACTTTTGCCTATTATCTTGAAAACTATAATAGATAGAAAGAAACTTTAAATTGCACAACTGATCAGCAAGACAAGATCTACAAATAAGTCTGCATGGTCGAAATCGTCAGTTGACTCTTTATTAGAGTTATTGCCCATTGATCATTTTTACCAATTTTTGGTGTTTTTGCCTTATATCTTAGAAATTATAATAGATAGATAGAAACTTAAATAAGCAAAAATGATCAGCCAGACAAGATCTACAATTAAGACAATATGGAGGAAATCAACCGACAAGTCCTTATTGGAGTTATTGCCCTTTAATGACAATTTTTTTTTTCCATATTTTTTTGCGTTTTGCCTTACATGATAAAAATTATAATAGATAAATAAATGATCAGCAATACGAGATGAACAAAACAGAGATTTTTGTCATGAATTCTATTCTCGTCTTCAATGTTTGAGAGTGTCCTTTGTTGAATATGCACATAGACCAAGGTGAGCGACACAGGCTCTTTAGAGCCTCTAGTTTAAGAATAAAATCCCATAACTCAGAAACATAAAAAATAAAATTTATAAAAAATTGAAAGGGAGCTTACATCAATAGATGTAAACAATTCACCAAAGTTTCAGGAAAATTGGTTAAAGCATTTTTGAGTTATTGTCCAACATGTTGACGACAGACGGACAGATGGACTTAATTAGTATATCTCATTTTATGCTTTTTAAACAAATTCCTAGCACTGAAATTGCTCCTGCTTTTTCCTTGGGTTTGTATAACCATAGCTTTAGGGGTATTTGTTGTCTGTTTGTTTATCTGTATTCTGTAGTAATTAATATCACTGTACACAAATCTTAAAGATATAATTTTGCATATTTCCAAATACTTTAAATTAATTGTGAGATATGAATTTTCATACTATAAAGAATACACTAGTTTAAATAAAAAGAGTATTGAAGAGTGGAGCATCCCCTTTATAATTACACTTACAATCAAATTGATATATACGAACAATGGAACAAAAAAAAATGACACAAAAACATGTCTCCAGTTACAAAAGATGTCGACTATGAAAATTATCTGATCTTCATATGTGAGGAAACCATTGTGCCATGTTTCCATCCATTTTAAAACAACCTGTAGGATATTTTATGTAGAAAGTCTTTATTTTGCAAGAAGAATCCCAAAAATATCAAAACTGATAAAAAATAAAAATAAATAAAAATGCACACAAGGCCTAAAATAAAATTTCATTTGTTTGGCATTTATGCCCGACCCACTGAAAAACTTGCCGCCCAAAAAATTTTATTTGCGTTTCAGAAATTTATTTTTTTTCATTTTAAAAAAATTGAAATTGTGCCGGAATTTGATCGTATACGCCGAGTTTGTTCCTGACTTTACTTATTTCAAATCACGATCTTAAAAGCGCTTGCCTTACACTGTATTGGGAGCAAACATTTAAATGACATGGAATAGAAAAAGTCTGCCAAAAGTAATGTCAAAGAGGCCGGCAGGGGGAAGCATCTCCCTATGCTGCAATGGTTAAGGGAGATGGATTTTATCAAAAATCAAATTTTCAGCTATTCATTGAAAGAAACGTTCTGAGAGACAGAAACAGTTGATGTCTGCTTGACTTTGTCGCTTCATGAGATAGGTTTTCACCGGGACATCACAGAACAAATATGCGTGACTCTTACATTTGTTGAATTCATTAAATATTTGAAATTTATCATTGACAAATTTTCCCTTGAACCAGAGAATAAAGTATCTACTATAGTCAGAACCACAATGATGCATTCAAGATAATTATGGCTGAAAGCACCAAAGCAAAAAGACCAAAATGGTCCCAGATTTACAGGTTTTTAGTAGTTTTGTACCAGTAGATGCTAGCCTGGTACAAAACATACATATTTTAAAGACTAGCATCTTTTGTCAATTGAAGTACTTCCCCCTTTTCTTGCCTTTCTTCTTAACATGAATAAGATAATTCTTAAAACATAAAAGATACTGACAGAAACATATTTATAAATGTATCTAACGTGAAAGTACCCAAATTGCACCTATTTTGACAGTTTTTTCACCTACGTTTCATTATTATCTAGACAAAAGTTTCCGTTTTGTATTTATTTTGTAGATGTATCATTATTTACTATATGGTTTCACCAATTTAAATTTGAATCCATATTGAATCATAGAAAAATTGATTAACAGATGTATTGTTTTATTTCTTCAAATATTTAGAACAATTTGACATTAGTCCATGCTTACTATTTAGTTTTTTGAAAAATGGATGCTTGTAACATATTTTATTTGCTAATTTTTTAAAGATGACTTTTTGTGGACGTCGCATGACGACGTTTCCGTACATTTTACTTTTTTCAGTGAACACTTCATCTGTTATATATACTGTGAACGTTTTGTTTATATTTAAATATATTTACCTATATTGAAAGACGTGCATAATGTCCAATCATAAAAATGCAACTTGTATAGTCTCTAAGAAAACTTGTAAGATTTTCGCTGCCATTTTTGCTAAATAGGTGCAATTTGGGTACTCGGTGCAATTTGGGTACTGTGACGTTAGTGTACTAGTGATGAATAAAATCCCCTCCTTTTCCACAATTCTAAGGGCTCATTAATTTATCTGTATTCATGTAATGCATGTCCAGATTTCTGTTAATCAAACAAGCATTACAACCCATAATTTATTTATCTGCAAAAATTGTCCTGCTGCATATTTCTATTTTGAATTTATCATACGTTTTAAACCTAGCCTTGAAAAACCTTGCACTTGGATAATATTAGTATAAACACCATGTCTATTTGTGCCAACCTTCCAAATTTTTAATATTTTGCTATCCTAATTTGGTACAGATCCTTTATCCTCAAAACTTATCAGGGGCAGTAGGCGTGTTTGTATGGTACCGGTAGTTTGTCACACCTTACATGTATGATTACTAGCCTCTAGGTGTTGGTTTGAGCCCTAGTTGGGCAGTTGCAAAAATTAAGGTTTGATTTTCATGTCATATGTGATCAGGTTAGTCAGTTTCCTCTAGCAGGTAGGCACTTTTCTTCCAGTGATATTGTTGTCTTTTTTCAAAACAACCTCTACCGTTTTTTATTGGGAAAAAATTAAATGCATATTTTTTATTGAAATTGGGAAATTTGTATATTTTATTCTAAACACATTTCCGATTTTTTGCCGACCTTTGCAGTCTTTTTTGCACTGTTTTTTCATGTATATTTTGGTTGTCAGACATTTTCAACCTGAAAGGTACTTTTCTAAGAGGGGAAAGAAACAGAAGCAATGATGGTACTTAATGCATTGAAAACCACATGTGTTACAAACACCATGATGATTCTGATCAGAAAACCGGATCTCAAAAGTGCTTTCTAATATCAAAATAATAACATGAATACGATATTTACAATCATTACTACCAATGCCATCACTGTTTGGGGAAAATGTAAAACTTTTTGGGAGGAATTTTAAGCCATTTTTTTTAGTAATTGGGAATTTTCTCAAGGGGAAAAAGCCGAATTTCGGCTGTAATTTGAGGAAAACAATATCACTGACTCAAGTACTACGGTTTAGTACGCCAACAAAACTGACTGCCATGAAATTACCCAAATGGTGTAGAAAGTGATGTTTATAAAACCAAAGCAAACAATCAAAGTTTTAAATCATTGTCTATTTGTACAAGGAGCCGTACTGGTTGAGCCATTTAAAATATGGTAATTTTACCAAACTGTGACCACAACTTCAAGATGTGAAATCAGGTCTCTGTTCAACAGGCAGTCCCACAATTAAAGTTCAATTTTCACGTCATACATTTTATAAGGTTAAATTGTCAGTTTCCTGCCTCAGTTCTGTGTTTTTTTCTGGGTACTTTGGTTAACTCTGCCAATAAAACTGACATTATCCATATGATGTAGAATGCGACATTGACGGTTGACCCCTTTCAAAGAAACCATTAGCATGTACACACAACAATGCTGCAATGCTTTAGACACCATTGATCTAGAGACTTCATGATTTACATGTATAAAGCTTTTGAATTAAAAAAAAAAAAATAATTTCCCTACCTACCTACCCACCTGCTGATAGTGTGGGTCGGCAATGCCAAACAAACAATTTTTTAAGGGTGACCAAACTACACATTTTTGTTCAATTAAAATGTTAATTTTTTTGCATTGGCACACTTCCCCATATATGTAGAAATGTTGAAGCCCATGTTTACAAAGGGCATCCTCCTAAAACCATTTGATGAAAACAACTATAAATGTGCACAATTTGCTTAGTAATTCTGTGGAGTTTTGTTCCATTAAATAATTAAATTTAAAGTTATCTTATTTCAGACCAAGTTATCTAAAATTACATATAAGCAGGAATCGCACTACAGGGTGAATAAGGCAAAACAATCATTTTGATGTCCATCACTTTGCTTATTTGCTACACTGAGCACTGTCAGTTTCAAAAATAGAAGTGTGAGCCCTGATAAGTGAAATACCAGATCTTGATTGACGAGAACTGAATTACGCTGTTCATTGGTCACTAGAACATGGTTAGCTTTCATTACAACTTCAATTTCACATCGACTGTCTACAGATGCTGGCCGCCATCTTCTTTTAACTGTTCCACTGTAATAAAATACCATTAAAGACTTTCTAAAGGTTGGAAACAAATTTTCAAGGTTTGAAAACTTAAAATTTACTATTTTTGTCTATTTTGTGATTTTTGTACTGTAGGTATTAATCCTAATTAATAAAGATTTTTTTCTTCTTCAAAATGACTACTATATCAATAGTGAATAAAAGAACAGAGTCCCAATGTCCCGGTATTGCATATATTTTATCTATCCAGGGGCAATTACTAAATTAAAATAATTTTTATTAAACTTTTTATAATTATCTTAAGCATGTTAAGAGAAATGAAGGGTTGATAGCAAATACAATGCAGTTTACAATATAATTAATATTTCTAAGTGGCACAACTCTTTTAAAAATAATTGATCGACACTGATTTTCAAACTTGTCTGAGACATTGCTAATATAAACCTATGATGTAAGTTTCATAAAAATCAGGCAAGAATAGTATATGCGAGAGAACTAACAAGAGCGAACGGACGGACGCCAGGTATTTCTATGTCCCCCGCAATGCTTTGCATGGGAGACAAAAGAGTATAAATAAAAATTTAAATAAGATGAACAATTATTGCTTATACATAAAATGTAAGTCACAATAACCTAATTCTTATTTTTCATCACTACTACATGCTGAACAAAAAAACATAATTTTTCTATGATAAAACAGTTACGTTTTTATATATATGGACCTTGTCCAACTGTCCATATTTTTCCTCCCACAGTTTAGGTGATTTTTAAAAGCTTGATATTTGATTTTTATGTGCAAGTTCATTGTGATATTTAAAAGATAGTTTCAACGATTCTGGAATGTCAAAGTATATCAATATCTGTTCAAATAAACTATTTTCATACAATCTTGGTAATCTTGTGAGCACAAAATAGAATAATATGTTTATATTACTACAACTCAGTAGATGTAGCTGCTGCTAATGTAGTGTCAATCTACAAGGGTACCAATCATCCAATAGCTGGTGCCTCAGTACTGGCATGGTTCAAATGATACATTTTGTCTGTATTAAAATTTTCAGTTTATAAATTATGGAATTCAAAACAAAAGTGTTGATAATAGTTATATAACATTGTATAATGACATCATTTTCCGATGAACAGCTTAAGGGTACTTACCATATAGTGACATCATCCCCTGCCTTACAAGTGTCCACAAGATCCTCCTCTAGTATAACCCACATTGATCGGGGTATGGTCCCTACGGCTAGTTTCTGAACTTGTTCTTGGACCTTTATTTCCTGATAATTTCTACAGTTTACAGGTTGACCTCCTAGAAGAAATCTTTATCTTAAGTAACATGTAATTCTTGATACAAATTTTCATTGTTTAAATATTTAAATTCACAATTTTATAAAAATTAAACAAGAATGTGACTGAAGACACGAATGACCTCGCTCAAGCTTTGCAATTGTCCAGGTTAAAAAGGGGCATGACCCTAGAACCGTAAATGACTAACTGCCCAATTCAAACTCTGTCTGCATGTTGTGGTTCTCAGCATTGTGCATGAGTTTCATAAAATTTGGATGAGAAAAACTTAAGCAAGAGTGTGGAAACTGAAAAACTTGCAATTTTCCAAGTTATGAAGGGGCATAACTCTAGAACGGTTAATGACATACTGCCAAAATTTAAACTCGGTCTGCGTGTTGTAGTTCTTAGCATTGTGTATGAGTATCATATGATTTGCATGAGGCAAACTTAAGTAAGAGTATAAAAATGTAAAAATTTGCAATTTTCAAGTTATAAAGGGACATAACTCTAGAACAGCAAGCGACTCACTGCCCACATTCGAACTCTGTCTGAGTGTTGTTGTTCTCAGCATTGAGTATATGTTTAACAAAATTTGGGTCAGGAAAACTTAAATATGAGTGCGGAAACAAAAAGGGACAGATGGAAGGAAGGACGGTCAAGGGTAACACTTATATTGCCCCCCATTGCCTATGACTGGGGCATATGTCTGCCAGTTTTGGTTCTTAGCATTGTGTATGAGTTTCATAAAATTTTAAATATAAAAACTTGTTAAAGTGCGGAAATGGGATGGATGGAAGATGGATGGATGAACAGATCAAGGATCCGGAAATTTTTTCACACAATTTCGGTCATTTTCAGATGATTGAAAAGTTGGTGCCCCTTTCAAATTGTTGATGTCAAACTAGATTCATAGCATCAACGAACTTGTATTGATGTTTCATCGCATTTACTAAGTAAGATTCTTACCATTTTTCTAAAAACCTTCAAGAACAGTTTAGGGAAGGCAACAGTTTAAAATTGAAATGATTTTAATGACTCAAAATGGTTAATTTCTCAGACATTGCTTACGTTTCTTTCCATTTGACAAAATTAAAACCGGAAGTTTTGCGATAATATTAAAGTACGAATAATTCCGGATTCATTTCCGGGATTCGTTTTGTTTATCAAATTGACAGGAAATCACCGGCTTCTTTTTAATTTTATTACCTTTAAAAGTGTTTGAATATAACAGATTATAGTTGCACTCGTTTATTTTAGCATGAAATCAATTTGCCTTTTACGATTAAATATTTAATTTGCTGAAGACAATTTCACGCAGGCGTATTACATAGTAAATAAAGCACATGTGTTACTCATGAAAAAATACTTTTTTCTACGTCAATTAAAGTAAGGTTTATTTTTAAATCAGAATTGATGATTGTCTTTGCTGAAAGTAATTAAATAATGAATACACTTGTCAGGGAATTTTAATTTCTTAAAGATATTATTCTGAGCTTGTGATCAATGTGACCAATTGTCAGGTGTGAATTAAAACCACAGGTAAAAAGTGGTTAGCGATCATTAGCCAATGTTTCCCGTAGGCATTGATATAGATATTAGGAGGGCCCTCAGGATTATTAAACTACTGGAGTGGCAGTTTTATTACAGGAAAGGGATTATAAACAAAAACAAGTGATCACAAGTGGAAAATGGCGATTAAGAAACCCGATTTCAAACATGAAGTCAATGAAATGACCGAAATTATTTCTGTTAAAAAATAAAATTTATCCTAAATCCCAATTACTCATTTAGGACATATAGCTTTCATCTTAGGACATGACTGGCAAATATGACCGTTCCCGGACCCTTAGTACAGATGGATGGACAGACAGACGGTCAAGGGTAAAACTTAATGCCCCTATTGTCTACTGCTAATGCATAAAAAACAGCTATCTTGTCTGAAAACTAATCATGAACTCCATAAACAGAAGTTGATGAACAAAGGAAATGCAAATGCATCACACAGTATAACATTCTCACATCAGAAGTTTGATTCCCCCATTTCAGAAAGCCTTGATTTTTAGTTTCTAAGTAAAATGTGACGAAAATGTCATTAATTTCAAATATGTGTAAAATTATATATGTATTTGGTAACAAGGAGGTGAAAGAGTCATGAATCCGAAAATACAACACATGGTATAGCATGCAAACATGAAGCTTAATACTAAATTTCTGGAAGCTTTGATATGTAGTTCCTGAGATAAACACGACAAACATATTATGGGATTGACAGGCAGAAACATGGACAGAAATAAACCAGTATAGCCCACTCCCTGCAGAGTAGGAGTATTATTATTCATCATATGAAACTTTTGTGGACTTACCTGTATCATTGACTAGTGTGAAAGTTTTTGGACTTCCCTGTATCCCTGTATCATTTTCTAGTGTGAAGTTTGTAGTAGACTTACGTATATCATTGGCTTGTGTGAAGTCTGTAGACTTACCTGTTTCATTGACTAGTGTAAAGTTTGTAAACGCTAACTGTATCAATGACAAGTGTGAAGTTTTTAGAGTTATTTGCATCATTGACTAGTGTAAAGTATGTAGACTTACCTGTATCATTGACCATGGTGAAGTCTAGTCATGTCATTTTGCTTAGTTTCTTTTATTACCTATTCTGACATCTGACTCAAACTTCTTTTAAACTGAGTTTTACTGTGCCTATTGCTGTGTGTTTGTTTATTCTACATTGGCTAGAGGTATAGGGGGAGGGTTGAGATCTCACTAAACATGTTTAAACCCCGCAGCATTTTTGCGCCTGTCCCAAATCAGGAGCCTCTGGCCTTTGTTAGTCTTGTATGTTTTTTTCAATTTTAGTTCATTTCTATGTTTTGGAGTTTAGTGTGACGTCCATTTTCATTGAACTAGTACACATTTTAGTTTAGGGCCAGCTGAAGCCTGCCTCCGGGTGCAGGATTTTCACGCTGTGTTGAAGACCTATTGGTGGCCTTCGGCTGTTTTCTGCTCTTTGGTCAGGTTGTTGTCTCTTTGACACATTCCCCATTTCCATTCTCAATTTTATGTGCATCTTTGACAAGTGTGAAGTCCGTCATTGACTAGTCCCTGTATCATTGACTAATGTGAAGTTTGTAGACTTAATTGTATCATTGACTAGTGTGAAGTTTGTAGACTTACCTGTATCATCGACTAATGTAGTTTGTAGACTTGCCTGTATCATTGACTAATGTGAAGTTTGTAGACTTAACTGTATCATTGACTAATGTGAAGTCTGTAGACTTACCTGTGTCATTGACTAGTGTGAAGTCTGTAGACTTACCTGTGTCATTGACTAGTGTGAAGTCTGTAGACTTAATTGTGTCATTGACTAATGTGAAGTTTGTAGACTTAACTGTATCATTGACTAATGTGAAGTTTGTAGACTTACCTGTATCATTGACTAATGTGAAGTCTGTAGACTTACCTGTGTCATTGACTAGTGTGAAGTTTGTAGACTTACCTGTGTCATTGACTAGTGTGAAGTCTGTAGACTTACCTACCTGTGTCATTGACTAATGTGAAGTCTGTAGACTTACCTGTATCATTGACTAATGTGAAGTTTGTAGACTTAATTGTATCATTGACTAGTGTGAAGTTTGTAGACTTAATTGTATCATCGACTAGTGTGAAGTTTGTAGACTTAATTGTATCATTGACTAATGTGAAGTTTGTAGACTTAATTGTATCATTGACTAGTGTGAAGTCTGTAGACTTACCTGTATCATTGACTAATGTGAAGTTTGTAGACTTAATTTTATCATTGACTAGTGTGAAGTCTGTAGACTTACCTGTATCATTGACTAGTGTGAAGTCTGTAAGACTTACCTGTATCATTGACTAGTGTGAAGTTTGTAGTTTTGCTTGTATCATGGACTTGTGTGAAGTCTGTAAGACTTACCTGTTTCATTGAGTAGTGTGAAGTCTATAGACTTACCAGTATCAATGACTAGTGTGAAGTTTGAAAAACTTACCTGTGTCATTAACTAGTGTGAAGTTTGTGGAGTTACATGCTTCATTGGTACACTTGCTTGGTTTCCCTACTGTATAAAACTGTTCTATGTCAGCCTGAAGTAAAGAATTTCAATTATTGATGAACATTTATTACATTATTATAATTCCAATTATATTACAATGAATTAATTTTATTATAGAAATAAAGGTAATGTTATTTTTTTTTTTCATATAATTTCCAAAAAGATAAAAACCCATAAAGCATCACGTTTAACTTTTTTTATGTAAATTCATTCAATAAAATTAATGCAAATGGAAGTCCTTATTTATTTTTAAAAAAAATCTCCTCTTTATAGTAAAACATATTTTTAATGCTAATTAGATGTCAGTACCTCTACAGTAAATATACTTCTACATTTAGCACAGATATATTCTTTTTCATACTCTAACATCTTCATAATGGTGGTTCTTATCACTGTGCCTGTAAAATAATCATACAATGTTTCCAAATTATATTTTATGAGATGAAAAATTACCCAAATGCATTAAAGGGACATTAGCTAAAATTTAGATAAAAAATAAAAATATCATTTTCTTTGTGTCAAACATTTATGAAAGTGGAATATTGAAATAATATTTTGCTATAAGCAGTCAGTTTGGACCAATTTTGTCAAAAAAAGCTCAAAAACATTGCTGATGTATTATTGACTTGCAAGTTAATAATTCTACCTCATTTGAATCTGTATACATGCGACCTTCAATTTAACCCTTAGCTGTAGATGTGTTTGGCATGAGCCTTGCATGTTCAATTATTGATAAAGAAAAGTGAAACAAGGAACCCACCATGAAGAATCATTTATTTGACTTAGTCTGCCTGCAAAGCATTATCTTACATAGGTAAAAAGATGATTTACATATTTTTAACTCAAAAAGACCAAGAAAAATTGTCATTATATGATTGCACATGCTTTTCTGTCTCTTCATAATATATATATATGTTAACATTGGGTTATATGACTATTGGCATTCTTTGGGGGTGAAATACACACAAAATGCTGATACATTAGAATGAGTCCATGTTTCTTTTGGACTTTTTGTAATTTGAATATAGGTTTTAGTATGTTATAAATCAAATATGAGAATTCGAGTCAAATCTGTGAACACGATTTTGACAGCTTATGCGCCTTTAAGGTACCTCTACGACAATGGGGAAAAGTTTTCCTGTATACAATTTGTTTTAGATAAGAAAACTGTTTTTGTATAAAAATAAAGAGATGTGGTATGATTGCCAATGAGACAACTATCTTACAGACTTCAAATGACATGTACCTGTTATAGACAAGAAACTGTCTACATCAGCAGTTCTAGGCAGTGTAGTTCTGGTCAGCTCAGGACAAACAGGCAAAGACATAATTCTAGCATGAATATGTTTCTTAACATTCTGAAAATATATTCATTAGAATCTATCTCAGATGTTGTAATATCATTGATGTATATGAAAACAATGATTGTATCATTTGAATGGTCTAGCAGTGAATGGAAGAAGAATTTGGATCTTAATTCCATTAGATTTCTTCATAAAAGTTCCATTACTAGGACCAAAATTAGTATTTTTCCTCCATGGCTGACCTTGAAACAAATTGTATCTACAGATTCACCTCTTTATACTTATGTTAAAATTTTGACCTCCATACCAATAGCTTACTTTTAGGTACCATTGCTGACTATAAAGGTAAAGGGAGTAGTAAAAAGTTAACTTGTTTTCTTGTATGGCATGATGTCTTAAGGAATAAGATTTAGTTGATTCAAATTAGCTCTTTTAATATTGATTTTAATGATAATAATAATCATTTGTACCTTCAACTTAGCAAATATTGATGGATTATCTATATAAACAAATCATATCAACCATATTATATAAAATTTATTTACCATCAGATGTTTCTGTGGATGATTTGTCATCAAGACACTTTGACTCTCCACCATTGCTGCATCAAACACAGGAAACAACTTGTCAGGATTTGATAACAACACTTCACAAATTGACATGTTGTGTTCAAACAATGACAAGGCACTGAAAATAACAGAACTTCACAGATTGACATGTTGTGTTCAAACAATGACAGGGCACTGAAAATAACAGAACATCACAGATTGACATGTTGTGTTCAAACAATGACAGGGCACTGAAAATAACAGAACATCACAGATTGACATAATGTGTCCAAACAATGACAGGGCACTGAAAATAACAGAAACATCACAGATTGACATGTTGTGTTCAAACAATGACAGGGCACTGAAAATAACAGAACATCACAGATTAACAGGTTGTGTTCAAACAATGACAGGGCATTGAAAATAACAGAAACATCACAGATTGACATGTTGTGTTCAAACAATGACAGGGCACTGAAAATAACAGAACTTCACAAATTGACAGGTTGTGTTCAAACAATGACAGGGCATTGAAAATAACAGAACTTCACAGATTGACATGTTGTGTTAAAACAATGACAGGGCACTGAAAAAAACAGATTTCCACAGATTTACAAACATGTTGTGTTTAAACAATGACAGGGCATTGAAAATAACAATTTTCACATAATGCTTTACTATACTAATGCAAAAAGAAAGAATATGTGGAGATGTACTTATATATCATGATATAATGGGGGGAAAAAATATGTTCTTCTTCTAGCTGTTGCATCTACTGAATGAACTCTCAGTAATCCTGTTAGAAATATCTAATTTTTTGTTGATATTCTGTTCATTTATTTATGTATGAACAATATTTATCTATCAAACTCTATCAAATCACTATTACTGTCAAGCTGTTTGTATAGTGCACACATTTATACCCTGGGTCATGTTTCTTGTAAGAGGGGTGCGCATTATACATGCCTACAAACATTTTCTTAGTCATTTTTCAGGTCCAAACTCCGACAAAGATAATACAAGGCGAAGTGAAGAGTACGGAATTTTTTGCAAAAACCTCGATTGTTATTATGTTTAACATGTTGAATTTGTAATATGTATCTTATTGTACTTGATATGTCATGTTTTATTCAAATAAAATACATTTTATAACTCTGTAGTTACATTTATCGTGTAAATTTGTCCATCTGTTTGCAATCCGGAAGTTTGCCATGACTTAATAAATACACAATAAAGCTTTTGTTGTCGGTTAAATTAGCCTCTGTGTTTCTTGTTGTCATAACTTACTGTTTTTGTATGTGTTCATCATGGAGAGTAGCAGATAAGTGTATGAAAATTGAATAAACCACGCTCATTTTGAAAATATAAACCAGCTTTTTTCTAATGTATCAGGTGATCAATCATGTGACTTAATATTGTAAAGTGATGATTTAGTCTATGAGAACTTTTTTTTTATAAATACGTTTCTACTTTGTAACTTTTAAACAACTGTTTAAAAACTTTCAAGAAATTATGATTGAAAACATGATAATCCCATAATTGTAACCTGAACGAATTTAATTAGGAACAAGGTTAACCTGTCATTGATTTGTTTTGACATCGATTAGACCCATTGATTGAGGTGTGATAGTCCGGATTCCAATGCATGGTCAGCTTGGACTCTTAATACAAGATGATACAATCTAATGAATACATGGCATACAATGTGTTTATTAATCATTAAAGATTAAGAAATAGATGTTAATGATAATTATTTGACTGATTCGTAATTATTTTATTGTTACAATCAGAACATTAATTAGGATATTTAATCTTGTCTTTGATACTCAAACAATTTATTAAATTTGGTTTTAAAAAACAAACTTAAATGAAGATTTATCTCAATCTATTTACATTTTAAAATAAAATTCTTATTCATTTGTCAGAATATTTGCAATTTCCTATTAATTACTTATTCTGTACGGAATTCTCCAACATCGGTGTCCATTTAAAAAACTTCCAGTTTAACGGTAGACTTCCTGTTTGTCGATTTTGGAGCTGTGACTTTTCCGAAAATGTCTATGAGTATTATACAAACAAGAAACTTTTTTTCTCAAGTTTCTTGGACCATAAAGGGGTGCGAACAATACACACCAAAAGATGGTTATTTATTCGTGAAAACTCTGCATCCAAAAGGAAACGCCAAGCTTAAAGCGCCGATCTACATGCCACCAGCATGTAAATGGACCAAGGAAAATAAATGAACTATAAATTTACAACCAGGCCGATAAACCGATTAACTACAGTAGACGATCAAAAAAATTATATATATACCAAATAATTAACAAGGGAACAATTTCTTACAAGTATATTTTCCATTAGCGGCAATCAAAATCTTCCCATTGTTACGGAAGCGCCAGGAAGTAGAAACAACCAACGATACCAAGCCTTTAGAACAATGTCATGTATCATATAACAGTAAAACGAACACAAGTAACATTGTAAGCAAACTTAATTTTTCTATATTTATCTGATCTATTTATAACTTTCACATTTGATTGTCTGATGTCGCCTGCCTTGCAGTTGATGTATGTAGACCACAGTAAATAAAATTGCAGACCATTTGAAGTGTTGTTGTCAATTTTGATTATTATTTATCTATGTTCTCTCCTTCTTTGACATTGTGTCACAGATATTGAGAAATGAGTGTATGCAACCCTGGGGGTATATTTCGGTTAATAGATATAGATTTGGATACTTTTCATAAAGATCATAATTGAGACAAGTGGCAGAGTGGATTAAAACTATACAATATGGCTTTGTAGGAGCCTGTAATTCAGTGGTTGTCGTTTGTTGCTGTGTTACATATTTGTTTTTTTCGTTCAATATTTTGTACATAAATCAGGCTGTTAGTTTTCTCCTTTGAATTGTTTTACATTTGTCATTTTGGGGCCTTTTATAGCTGACTATGGGGTATGGGCTTTGCTCATTGTTGAAGTCCGTATGGTGATCTGTAGTTGTTAATTTCCTGGTCATTTGGTCTCTTGTGAAGAGTTGTTTCATTGGCAATCATACCACATCTTCTTTTTTATATAGTATTGAACAAACAATATTTCATTAGACTTAAGCAATAGTGATTTACAAAGTCTACTGATTTGTATGCCCAGTCTTTTGGTCTTCTTAAAAATTTCTTGTGCAATAAGGCAAACCACCATGTTGAGAAATACATTTTGTACTATACAGCGATAAATCATTCTAATTTTACATAATATATTTACTTGACAGTAACCGAGAAGTGGTCTTCATTATCCTCATTCAGTAAGATATCCACCAAGTTTTCTGTATGATGTTCTAACACATATCTCTGTAGGATAGCTGAAAAAAAGTGTACAAATTTCACTTGTAAATACAATATTTTAAACAGAAGATACATGTATTACATTTTGACAGGAACATTCCTTTAATGCTTTACTTTGTATAGTAACTTATCAAAGCTCCCACTTATGAACAAAGTGCAGTTATCTCATTCTGGGAGATGGGGTCTCATTCCGATTTCCTGGTTTTAAAATTAGAAAATCCTGGAATCCTGGAAATATTTTGTGAAAAATCCTGATTACTATATATTTGATCGACAATTTGAGAGTTTGAAGGTTCAATGCGTGTACAATATAAAAGTCTCAGATATGATTGATGTTCAAAGTCTGTCAGCCGTAACCAATCCCACTATTTATTATATCAATATCACTGTGAAGTCAAGCTGCACATATGCATTTTTGTTCTCATAAGTGTCCGGTAGCCAGTCATAGAATTGGCCAAAATCCAGTCCAAGTCAATATAAGAACCTAAAAGACAAGAACTGGAATAGTTTTGCAAGGAGATAAAATTGAATCTATTATAAGTCACCATTCGGAAAAGCACTAAACCAAGTCACAGACATGAAAAGAACTACAAATGTCACATGTTTGAAAGATTTATAAACATGATAAAGTAGTCAAAACGTTGGTTTACATTATCAAAATTAAAAAATACCTGAATTTAAGACAGTCACTTTAATTTGAAACTAGTACATCTTCCACAAGTAATGACTATCTTGCAATAAAAAAACTAGTTGACTCCCCTGTATGTTATTCTCATGATGTGCATTAGCTGATTAAATAGAGTGTGCTTTATTTGATACCAAGCTCTTTGAGGACTTAAGTGGCAATAGTGTAATAATCTGGTTGTATACTACTAGAAGATAAAGAGCAACGATTAAAGTGTTTGCTTGACTCTTGTTTGATATCAGTCATATCATGATACTTTTCACACATAATGCTCTATAAAGAAATGCAGTGATAGGTGTATTGTAATAAACGAATAAAACTCTATACTTTGCGTTGTGTTACTTTTATGATCAAAATCTATATCGAAGGCGCCCATACAAAGGTACAAATTAACGTCATAAACATAAGACGTAAATACGGGAAACATAATGTTAACATTTGCAGTATATTCTCAACATACTGGGGGGCCGCAAAAGTATATCTTTGTATAAAATTGAAATATTTCTTTAACTGTCCATATATGAAACGAAAAAATATGTTTTAAAATATGATGGGCAATTACTGTCTCTAGAAATCACTATGATAAAAAAATTAGCAGTCTCTATAAAGATTTTAAAATCGGACACAAAATTAATGTCTAAGATATTGTCCAAGTTTTAATGTTCTCCTTTGCACGCATAGCTGCCTTTCGCATAGGCACTGTTCTTCTGGTATCAACTTCATTCGTCTCATCTGCTTTATTTGGTAGTTCCTCTTCGTTGATCTCTAGCGGATAAAGTTTGATGATCGGGCGAGTTGTACGGCCACTGTTAGTTCTGATAGTTGCAGATCTGATTAAACCATCATTTCCAACAACTAATTCTTCAACAATTGCTATTTTCCACCGATTTCGAGGTTTGTCGTCATGAACTTGTACAATATCTCCGACCCGGATGTTGATTTTGTTGTCTCCACTCTTTTTATGAAACTCTCTAAGTGCTGTTAAATATTCGGACTTCCAATGGTTCCAAAATTGTTTAATTATAAACGAAAGTCTTTGTGCACGCTTTGAAGCATCAGACGTGTTCATTACGTAAGGTTCATCAATATTATCTATCTCAATTCTCGGATATGGTACAGATGTAATACGACGACCATATAGTAGGTGGGCTGGTGTTAATGGTTCACTGTCATCAATGTCTGTAGATACATAAGTCAATGGTCGATCATTTAAAATCTTTTCAATTTCGGCAATTAACGTTTGCAGTGTCTCCATGTTAATCAATGCACATCCAAGTATTGTCTTTAAATTCGTTTTAGTTAATGCAATAAGTCTCTCCCACCATCCTCCGAACCACGGGGCTCGGCTAGGGATAAATCTCCACTCGAATCCATGCGTAGATAATGTCTCTTTGATCTTCTGGGATTCACACAGTTGTTTAATCTCTTGTGATGCTGAAATAAAAGATGTAGCGTTGTCTGACATCATAACATGTGGTAAGGATTTTTTACAAGTAAATCTTCTGAATCCTAACAAAAATGAATTTCTGTATGTCGGTAAGTGTGGGATTATAGTGTGATGATTCGAACGAGTCCCAAAAAGTTTGCCACATGAGTGTTTCTCCTGTAAATGTAGGCAAGATGAGTTTCGGAAGTTGGTGATTTTGCATAACGTTGGGCGGAACATGGTACATTTGTTGTTGAACAGAGCTATATGTATTTTCTACTGAACTATGCTGATTCGTAGTTTTCGTTGATTGATTATTCAGATTAGGTAAGGTGGTAATATTCGAAGTTGGTGAATTTGAGTTATTTTTACGAATGTATCTAATTTTAGTATTCAGAAAGAATTTATACTCATCTGTCTGTAGAATTTCATCCTCAACATCCTCATCCTTTGTTAAATTTAGAATTTCTTCATCCAAAGCACTAATAATCTTCTGTTTTTGCGAAAGTGTTTCTAATAATTCTGTACTTTCTTCTATGTCTAAATTCTGCTCTTCTTCAGATTTTCTCAACAGTCTTGTTACAGCACTTTTATGGCCTGCTCTCACTGCTTTCAGTTTACTTTCCATGGCGTCACGGCACCAAAATGTATTGTAATAAACGAATAAAACTCTATACTTTGCGTTGTGTTACTTTTATGATCAAAATCTATATCGAAGGCGCCCATACAAAGGTACAAATTAACGTCATAAACATAAGACGTAAATACGGGAAACATAACGTTAACATTTGCAGTATATTCTCAACAATAGGAACACTTCAGGAAAGAAAATGTTTGGAAATGGAATATTTAATTAAGTATACACTCGTCGTTTTCTGTTACCAGATGCTGATAAAAGGTGCACATATAATGGGGAAATCAGTTCCGCATAACAAAAATCTTTCATTGTCATTCATTGATTCCCTCATACATTCTACATGTTCTAGATCTGATTCTGATTGAAGTATTATGAAGATGACACTTTGATGGTTACAAGGTACAGGTTTTGTCAATCCAATTAAAAATCAGCATAAAGATCCTGATTTCCCGTGGCTAAAAACATGGCTTTACCATATCCCGATGTATTTCTATTCCGAATTCCAGACCTTTAAACAATGCAATCCCAATTTCCAGTTGGCCAATCCAGGCGTCCTGAAAATGGTCCCCCCCCCCACCCCCCTTTTCTTCTAATTTGCCAGAATATTCAGCAATATGAATGTGGCAGTTTCTGCCAGATAATGGCCACAATCAACAAACTGATTATACTGCCATGGATTTGGTGCGCATACTGGACCAAGAATACAGGTCTGTTCGCCCCGATTTGTGTTCGCCCTAATACCTGTCCGACCAGGGTCTGTTCGCCCTTGGTCCGTTCGCCCTTATACCTGTTCGCCTTGGGTCCGTTCGCTCTGATTTTTATTTTATTTTGTTGTCGTATTGTATAATGTTTATTACTTGAAAAGAGTATGTTAAAGTTTGTTGAAAATTTCCCCAAATATTTATGTTGTATTGCTGTTACCAAAAATATTTTCCTTTGATGTGCACTGAAGAGTACCAGGAATACAAGATACTTAATATAAAAACAACTGAAGACCATGTTATCTGCATGTATTTATCTTTGATACATTTTAACAATTTCAAAACAATCATTAACATTTATAAGATCTTATAACAAGATCCAATTCGTACTTCGCATCACACAACAGTTATGTCCTTAATTTTTTACACTATTATTTTAAAGAGCACATATATAGGAAATGTGTCAAAATGAACTTGAGATCAAAGAAGCCAAGCTGTGTCATGTGTGTGCGAAAAAAAAAAATCTTTTATGTCTTACAATTCATACATCGTTGTTTTTACTCATTCCAAGCTGACTAGTTTATTTAAAAGAAAATGTTACTTTCATTATTAATCCAACAAAGACAATTAATTAATACAAAAATAAGTGAGCTCAACACATTATAAGTATACCTAATCAGCATTCTAAATTACAATCAATAGTCATTAAAATTAATTCTAAATAAAACAAATGTAAGAATGAAGCCCTTTAATGCTCCATAACAAACCATTAATTTTTAAATATTTCCATGTTTTTTCATGAACTTTGAGAAATTATATTATTTTCTTTAATATTGATCATATAAATATCTGAATATGTTTATACCACTATTATGTTTTTTTTTTAAAGTAGGGCGAACAGACTCTATGGACGAACGGACTTCTCTTCTTTCTTTCTTCTTTATAATTCAGCACTCCATCAACATACTGATGATAACGTGCCGGGCACTGATTTTACTATGCCGCGCGTGCGTGGGATCTAATTTTTATTTACAGTGAATAATATACAAAAATAAAAATTTAATTTCTTTTTCCTCTGTTTTTGTACTTTACATTTTGGTTAAAAATATATACATTGTAGAATTTATTTAAATGTTTAGATGTTTATTGAGAACAGATATTGGAATCTGTTCTCGGAAACTTTCAAGAGTAGTACATTGAACTGAAGTTACTGGGAGAAGGTTCCATTGTAAGATTGTTCTTGGGTAGAATGAGTACTTGTATGAGTCTTTAGTGGTTTGTATGGGTCTGAAAGAATAAATATGTGAATGTTGTCGTGTTCTTGTATCGGATTGTGTGAGTAGATCTGTCGGGTATATGGCTACAAGATGATGTATGATTTTGTAGAAGAAGATGATGCGTGTTCTTATTCGCCTTTTCTCAAGAGTTGCCCAATTTAGTGTTTGCAGCATTTCAGTGACTGAGCTGGTGTTATGGTATCTGTTGCATGTGTACCTTGCTGCTCTGCGCTGGACCATCTCAAGTTGGTGTGTTTGTGATTTGGTATGTGGGTCCCAGACGCAGCTGCTGTATTCTAGCTTTGGTCTTACTAGTGCTATGTATGCTTTTTCTTTAACTGTTTTTGAATTTACCTTTAAATTTCTTTTAATGAAGTTCAGCTTTTGTGTGGCTGCAGCTGTGATGTTGTTTACATGCTTGTTCCATTTTAGGTCAGTTTGTATAGTAATGCCCAGATATTTTGTGGATGTTTCTTTTTGCAGTACATGTTGGTGGAGAGTATAGTCAAATTTTAATGGGTTTTTCTTGGTTGTTATCTGGAGGACTGAGCACTTGTCTGGATGGAATGACATGAGCCAGTCCTTCTCCCATTTTGCTGCTGATGTAAGGTCCTCTTGCAGTTTTTGTGTGTCTTCTTTGTTTCGTATTGTTTTATAAATTATACTGTCATCTGCAAATAATCTTAGGGTGCTGTGTTTGATGTATTCATTAAAGTCGTTGATATACACAAGGAACAGGATAGGGCCCAAAACTGTTCCTTGGGGAACACCAGATGTTACGTTAATTTTGTCTGACTGAACACCATCAATAATGACTGTTTGTGTGCGAGATGTGAGGAAATCTTCTATCCATTTTAAGGTGTTGTGTTCTATGCCATAATATTTCAGTTTGTATAGAAGTCTTTTGTGAGGAACTTTGTCAAATGCTTTGGCAAAGTCCATCACAATTATGTCAGTTTGAATGTTATTGTTGTTATTTTTTGCTAGTTCTTGGATGAATGATACTAGTTGAGTTTCACATGATCTAGATGCTCGGAATCCGTGTTGAAGGTCGTACAAGATTTTGTTATTTTCTAGGTGGTCCATCATACTACTGGCTATAATGTGTTCCATGATCTTACATAGTATACATGTGAGTGATATTGGTCTATAGACTGAGGGTGATCTTTTGTGTGTGTCCGATCGATGGGGCAAATCACACTTTTGTAAATGTGGTACCTTTGTATTCTACAAATACGTTTAAGTTTGCATTTTCTTCAGTTTCTTGGTTCATTTTCAATTTGTACCATTTACATTTCCCGCCATATTTAGACACAAAATAGATATCTAAAACCAAGTGCACAATTCCGATTAAAGCACCAACCGACCGTTAAACTCGAAAAGAAATGCTCTTTTTAAAAAAATTGTTCATTCTTATAGTGTTAAACCTAAATTAACATACTAAAAATAATATTATAGTTAGTATTATAGTCCCAGTCACTATGTACCGTCTTTCTAGGTCAGCTAAAATATGTGACAAATTTTGCCACTCCACTATGCCTTTCTATCATGTTATAGTTTCAACCCGCATTTTCAAGCATTTTTTTTTCAAATATGTCAGGGGCGGATCCAGAACCTCGAAGTTTGGGGGGGGGCACCATGAAACCAAAATTAAAGATTTGTTTAGATATGAATATATATGCGAGTGTGGGTGGTGGTGGTGTCATGTATTGGGGATGATGGTGGTCGTGGAAAGGGGGGGGGGGGGGTTAGGTCTTCATTTCTATATCTTTTCATTATTTTTGGATCCATTTCTTTCTACTCTTTTATTTGCTGCCAATTGTCCTCTATTCTTTATAGTTCATCACACCTTTAATCTGTTTTCTATATTTTTTGGGCACATTTTTTTCTAGTCTTTACTTTTTGACCATTATTCTCTAATCTGTAAACCCCATTCATACCCTCATTCACGGTAAACCATTCATACCCTCATTCATGGTAACCTATTCATACCCTCATACATGGTAATTAAAACAAGAAAATCAGTACATGCACAGCAAAAAAACACACAATAAGCAAAGGAACAGCGCTTTTATTGCTGTTCTTTATCTCAAATATGAGTATAGGTTTTCTAAAAGTACAATATCATTTTATTAATGATATATATATATAAGGCACAGACCATTCATGTTTTGTGGAGGGGGACTTAAGGTTTTTTTTGGTTTCCATAAAAAAAATAAAGGGAAAAAACACGACAATCAGTTTAAAAAAATGCTGGTATGCATTGAAAAAAAATCGTTTGTTGTTTAATAAAGTCCGAAAAAGACTGTTCTGAGAAAGACACATTCCCCAGATACCGTATACAATGTGAGTGCTTGGTAATAAAGACGTATCTCATATCGATACTAACATTCCTGACACAAAACATCTATTTTTACATATTCTTTTCAGACCGATTTTAGTTGGTAATTTCTTTCCTGATCAGAAGATTTCTCTTGTTAATCGATCTTGATCCTGTAATATTGTATTAGAAATCAATAAATATATTCGTATTAATTCCAATCAGCATGTAGATGTACATGAGGTTTACAGATTCAGATTCAATAGTTTATTAAAGTCTCACCACATACATACAAGTATAAACACATTATAATATCAAGTACACAATATAAAAATTTAGAATGCATGTGCCATTCTTAAAAGAACTATGAGAGACTGTTATATACAATTATAAAACAACAGAATTAAAACATGATTTTGTTATTTACACAAAACATAAAAGTGCAATATCACCATGCACATTCGAGGATAAAACCTGTTACATGTACATAAAAAATAACAATGATTTTTTAACAGTATAAGATACTATTTCGTCGCAATAAAATATTATGGCAGGTTTTGGCAACAGAACTACAAACATTTTCATTTTTGAACAAAAATATAAATTTTTCATCATCTGACAAAGTTAAAAACATATTATTATGTTGAATTATATCAATAAATAAAGACTGCCTTAAATCTTCATATAATGGACATGTTAACAGTACATGTTTTTCATCTTCTATATCATCACAATTGAAACATAACCTTTTATCTAAATCTAATCTTTCGTAACGACCAGTTTCAATTTTTAAAGGTGCTACTCCACATCTAAATTTCGCATATGCACTGCGATATCGAATAGGTATATTTTGCAACAAATATTGTTCAGTAGAGTATGAAAATTTAAACAATTTAAAGGGTTCTCAACTTATTTCCTTGACCATAAGAATCAAGCCTTGTACTCCATTCAGTTTTATAATTATCAAAAATATTAACTTCTAACTGATAAATTATATTTTTATCCAGTATATAATCATCTACATTACAAAACCTGTCCATATTGTAAAGTTTCAACATATCTATAACTTTATAACTCCAATTTTTAATTTTATAACTGCTTTTTCTAATTCACCATATAAATACTTTATAATTTATCCTGTTTTTATCCATTTTTGTACATCTTGCCCAGTGTCTTAAAATGTTAGACCACTGTTTAACATATGGAGGCTTCCAACCCATGTCACCTGAAACAGCATCATTGGGGGTATACTTTCCAACTCCCATATAAAATCTCATGGCTCGGTTCTGAACTGCTGAGATGCAGGAGAACTCACTTGTACCCCAAATAGCTGAGCCGTAATTGATGACTGACCAAACTAAAACTAAAATTACATAAATGCTTTTGGATATAGACATTACACAAAGGTGTCAATATTTACACACCCATCGATAAGTTGTCATAAATCACACATGTTGAAGCTGGGGTTAATTAACGACCAGTTTAGGAAGTCAGATCAAGCTGTGTCTTGATTTTAGATCTAGATAAGCAGATACAGTAGCAATAAAACTATGTTAGAAATTTTTTTGGTGACCCCGACTGGGGGGCACGTGCCCCCTGTGCCCCCCCCCCCCCCCCCCCCCCCCCCGGTAAATCCGCCACTGTATGTGCTGTAAGGAAAAATATCGAAGCATACAATTTATAAATTTATGAAGAATTTCTTAGATAGGCATAGATTAAAAAAACATAGGTTATTTTTTTGTACGGTTATTTATAATTTTAAAGTTGCTTTCCATGACACTTTAGAAAAAAAATTTAAAAACTTTCCAAATTATTGTTTTAGTATGTTTCAAAGAACAATTTTGACGGCGTTTTACGTTTGCGCGACAAAACGCATTTATTACGTTCGAGTGAAATTTGCCTATTAAAACTTCTAATTTTGTTTGGATTAATTAAAGTTTCAATTGTAAAAATGATTGAAAAATCGTAAATCTTTAAAATAAATATCATGAATTCTGGAAATAAAACAATATAGATTAAAAAAAATAAAAAAAATAACTGAAATGACAATTTTAAAATCGACCGTCGGTCTATATGTCTACCAAGTTTTGTCTACATGTGATTCAGTCTGCTACATGTCCACCAGTCTGTGTATGTATAGAAAAGAAGATTTGGTATGACTGCTAATAAAAACTTTCCGGAAGAGATTAAATGATCGACACAGAAATTAATAGCCATAGGTCACCGTACGTCCTTCAACAATGAACAAATCCCATACCGCATAATCAGCTATAAAAGGTCCCAAAGTCACAAATGTAAAACAATTCAAACGAGAAAACTAACGTCCTAATTAATGTACAAAAACGATCGAAAAACAAATATGTAACACAGCAGTCTGTCAACATGTCTACCAGTCGGTCATTATGTCTACCAAGCTGTGTCTACATGTCCATCAGTCTGTAACATGTTCACAAGTCTGTCTACATGTTTAACCGTTTGTAATTGCATTTTGTTGTGTTGTTTCGTCTGATCGTCCAAATCATCAATTTGCTAACAGCTACATGCATTCTTTTGACCTGAAAATTCACTGGGTGTATTCTCCATACCAATACCTTCACCACACCACCCTTTGTTTACACCGAACTCCAAACCCCAGGGAAAAGGCGTCTTTCACTTTCATTTAATTAACATGATTTTTCACAATGAAATGTATGCAAAGCTTTTCTTGGTGAGTATTTTTTTCAGGTAATGCAAGATGCACAACTTATTTGGTCTCAATTGTTTTTATCGTCTTGATATAATTTTTTTCACATCGTATATAGGTGTCCGTAAATGACAAAGTCAATCTTCGTGCTCATTTATGTTTGTGCATCCGATCTTTAACTTTGTATTGTGCAACACAGGTCTGAAAATTGCAAACATTTTTTTAGGGGCCAGCTACAGCCCGCCTCCGGGTGCGGGATTTTCTCCTTGTGTTGAAGACTCATTGTTAACCTTGTGCTGTTTTCTGCTCTTTATTGGATGGTTGTCTCTTTGACACATTCCCCATTTCCGTTCTCAATTTTGTTGTTTTCAAGATGGAAAAAGGCATAACTTTATATAAATACAAACAAATAACAATATCCCAACTTCTAATTACGTATGTTTTCTGTCTCTGCACGGGTTTCTCATCGTTGTTTTTTTTTTTTTATTTAACTATTCCTTACTGGCAATTCTTGTTTTTTGCGTTCAAATGCCAAACAGTTTTCGTTAAAAAATTTTAATATGTATCGCCAAAACAATTCACGTTGCAATTTTAGTTTTTTCTGACAACAGGCTAGTATAACTAGTAAACCTGTATTTCAATGATGCAATTAAAGCATCAAAATTAAAAAGCCTACTTATATCCGGTTGACAAACTGTCGTTTCACAACCATAATAATTATACATGTTTTCGCAGTAAATGTCTGTCTCTGCATGATTGGTGTCCTTTTTTATATGAAATGTAGCATTGTTTCATAGATATATATCTCGTTAGTATAGTTATTTCGTTATTAAAGAACAACCCGTCTGGAAGAATATAGTCATATTAGTTGAAATTGGCTTTGACATAGCTTTCGGTAAATGAGTGTGCTCCTATTTCGGTGCTTTTTTTTATAAGTTAATTGTTTATTAAAAAAGCACTTATACTCCCATAATATGGACATATGGCTTACACACATTACACATGATATACATATAATACAGTAACGCAATGAAAATGAACAATATTGTAACCCGTACCTCTACAGTTTTAGTGAAGCAAATTGTAATTGATATTTTACAGTTTTTTCCTATTGTGTGCTGTCCTAGGTTGGAGCTTTTTTGTGATTTTTTTTGGGGGGATGGGGTGTCGAGCGCCCACGAATATGTTTAATCCCGCCACATTCTGTATTCGCCATTCCCATGTTAGGTGCTTGTAGTACAGTGGTTGTTGTTGGTTCGTTTTGTTTTCGTAAACTATTTTGTTTTAATAATTA